ATAGAGTATTTTAAAAACGAGAAAAATTGTAAGGCTGGGTGAAACTAGCGACCCGCCGGCCGCCAGCCATCAGAAAAATCCATAGGCGCCGACACACATAGTAGCGCGGTGTCCCAACACGGTTCAATCAACGCCAAAACAACGTACGTTAGCTATTACAGTTTATAGAAAAAAATTGCAATAGTCACATTTTCAAGAGCAATAATCCCCCTTTAATTTGTGACCAAGAAATAAACATTTGGTATAATATTGTTCGAATTTTTGATAGCCAGCGTCCCCACCCACCCGTATCAGAAAAACGAAAATTAAAAAAAAAATCGGAAAAAAATTCATAACTCGAACAATTTCAGACCAAATGCTTATTTCTTGGTCGGAAATTAAAGAGCGATTAATCCTTCTTAAAATGCGAACAATAAGAATTTATTTAAAAAATTTTTGATAGTCAGCGTCCCCACCCGCCCGTATCAGAAAAACGAAAATTGGAAAAAAAATCGGAAAAAAATTCATAACTCGAATAATTTTTGACCAATTCTTTGTTTCTTGGTCGCAAATTAAAGGGGGATTATTGCTCTTCAAAATGTGACAATTGAAAATATTTTTAATAAACTTTTGATAGCCAGCGTCCCCACCCGCCCGTATCAGAAAAACGAAAATTGGGAAAAAAATCGGAAAAAAATTCATAACTCGAATAATTTTTGACCAATTCTTTGTTTCTTGGTCGCAAATTAAAGGGGGTTTATTGCTCTTCAAAATGTGACAATTGAAAATATTTTTAATAAACTTTTGATAGCCAGCGTCCCCACCCGCCCGTATCAGAAAAACGAAAATTGGGAAAAAAATCGGAAAAAAATTCATAACTCGAATAATTTTTGACCAATTCTTTGTTTCTTGGTCGGAAATTAAAGAGCGATTAATCCTTCTTAAAATGTGAACAATAAGAATTTATTTAAAAAATTTTTGATAGCCAGCGTCCTAACCCGCCCGTATCAGAAAAACGAAAATTGGGAAAAAAATCGGAAAAAAATTCATAACTCGAACAATTTTAGACCAAATGCTTATTTCTTGGTCAGAAATTAAAGGGGGATTATTGCTCTTCAAAATGTGACAATTAAAAATATTTTTAATACACTTTTGATAGCCAGCATCCCCACCCGCCCGTATCAGAAAAACGAAAATTGGGAAAAAAATCGGAAAAAAATTCATAACTCGAATAATTTTTGACCAATTCTTTGTTTTTCGGTCGCAAATTAAAGAGCGATTAATCCTTCTTAAAATGTGAACAATAAGAATTTATTTAAAAAATTTTTGATAGTCAGCGTCCCCACCCGCCCGTATCAGAAAAACGAAAATTAAAAAAAAAATCGGAAAAAAATTCATAACTCGAATAATTTTTGACCAATTCTTTGTTTTTCGGTCGCAAATTAAAGAGCGATTAATCCTTCTTAAAATGTGAACAATAAGAATTTATTTAAAAAATTTTTGATGGTCAGCGTCCCCACCCGCCCGTATCAGAAAAACGAAAATTAAAAAAAAAATCGGAATAAAATTCATAACTCGAATAATTTTTGACCAATTCTTTGTTTCTTGGTCGCAAATTAAAGGGGGATTATTGCTTTTCAAAATGTGACAATTGAAAATATTTTTAATAAACTTTTGATAGCCAGCGTCCCCACCCGCCCGTATCAGAAAAACGAAAATTGGGAAAAAAATCGGAAAAAAATTCATAACTCGAATAATTTTTGACCAATTCTTTGTTTCTTGGTCGCAAATTAAAGGGGGATTATTGCACTTCAAAATGTGACAATTGAAAATATTTTTAATACACTTTTGATAGCCAGCGTCCCCACCCGCCCGTATCAGAAAAACGAAAATTGGGAAAAAATAGGAAAAAAATTCATAACTCGAATAATTTTTGACCAATTCTTTGTTTCTTGGTCGGAAATTAAAGAGCGATTAATCCTTCTTAAAATGTGAACAATAAGAATTTATTTAAAAAATTTTTGATAGCCAGCGTCCTAACCCGCCCGTATCAGAAAAACGAAAATTGGGAAAAAAATCGGAAAAAAATTCATAACTCGAATAATTTTTGACCAATTCTTTGTTTTTCGGTCGGAAATTAAAGAGCGATTAATCCTTCTTAAAATGTGAACAATAAGAATTTATTTAAAAAATTTTTGATAGCCAGCGTCCTAACCCGCCCGTATCAGAAAAACGAAAATTGGGAAAAAAATCGGAAAAAAATTCATAACTCGAACAATTTTAGACCAAATGCTTATTTCTTGGTCAGAAATTAAAGGAGGATTATTGCTCTTCAAAATGTGACAATTGAAAATATTTTTAATACACTTTTGATAGCCAGCGTCCCCACCCGCCCGTATCAGAAAAACGAAAATTGGGAAAAAAATCGGAAAAAAATTCATAACTCGAACAATTTTAGACCAAATGCTTATTTCGTGGTCAGAAATTAAAGGAGGATTATTGCTCTTCAAAATGTGACAATTGAAAATATTTTTAATAAACTTTTGATAGCCAGCGTCCTAACCCGCCCATATCAGAAAAACGAAAATTGGGAAAAAAATCGGAAAAAAATTCATAACTCGAACAATTTTAGACCAAATGCTTATTTCTTGGTCAGAAATTAAAGGGGGATTATTGCTCTTCAAAATGTGACAATTGAAAATATTTTTAATAAACTTTTGATAGCCAGCGTCCCCACCCGCCCGTATCAGAAAAACGAAAATTAAAAAAAAAATCGGAATAAAATTCATAACTCGAATAATTTTTGACCAATTCTTTGTTTCTTGGTCGCAAATTAAAGGGGGATCATTGCTCTTCAAAATGTGACAATTGAAAATATTTTTAATACACTTTTGATAGCCAGCGTCCCCACCCGCCCGTATCAGAAAAACGAAAATTGGGAAAAAAATCGGAAAAAAATTCATAACTCGAACAATTTTAGACCAAATGCTTATTTCTTGGTCAGAAATTAAAGGGGGATTATTGCTCTTCAAAATGTGACAATTGAAAATATTTTTAATAAACTTTTGATAGCCAGCGTCCCCACCCGCCCGTATCAGAAAAACGAAAATTAAAAAAAAAATCGGAATAAAATTCATATCTCGAATAATTTTTGACCAATTCTTTGTTTCTTGGTCGCAAATTAAAGGGGGATCATTGCTCTTCAAAATGTGACAATTGAAAATATTTTTAATACACTTTTGATAGCCAGCGTCCCCACCCGCCCGTATCAGAAAAACGAAAATTGGGAAAAAAATCGGAAAAAAATTCATAACTCGAACAATTTTAGACCAAATGCTTATTTCTTGGTCAGAAATTAAAGGGGGATTATTGCTCTTCAAAATGTGACAATTGAAAATATTTTTAATAAACTTTTGATAGCCAGCGTCCCCACCCGCCCGTATCAGAAAAACGAAAATTAAAAAAAAAATCGGAATAAAATTCATAACTCGAATAATTTTTGACCAATTCTTTGTTTCTTGGTCGCAAATTAAAGGGGGATCATTGCTCTTCAAAATGTGACAATTGAAAATATTTTTAATACACTTTTGATAGCCAGCGTCCCCACCCGCCCGTATCAGAAAAACGAAAATTGGGAAAAAAATCGGAAAAAAATTCATAACTCGAATAATTTTTGACCAATTCTTTGTTTCTTGGTCGGAAATTAAAGAGCGATTAATCCTTCTTTAAATGTGAACAATAAGAATTTATTTAAAAAATTTTTGATAGCCAGCGTCCTAACCCGCCCGTATCAGAAAAACGAAAATTGGGAAAAAAATCGGAAAAAAATTCATAACTCGAATAATTTTTGACCAATTCTTTGTTTCTTGGTCGCAAATTAAAGAGCGATTAATCCTTCTTAAAATGTGAACAATAAGAATTTATTTAAAAAATTTTTGATAGTCAGCGTCCCCACCCGCCCGTATCAGAAAAACGAAAATTAAAAAAAAATCGGAATAAAATTCATAACTCGAATAATTTTTGACCAAATGCTTATTTCTTGGTCGCAAATTAAAGGGGGATTATTGCTTTTCAAAATGTGACAATTGAAAATATTTTTAATAAACTTTTGATAGCCAGCGTCCCCACCCGCCCGTATCAGAAAAACGAAAATTAAAAAAAAATCGGAAAAAAATTCATAACTCGAACAATTTTAGACCAAATGCTTATTTCTTGGTCAGAAATTAAAGGGGGATTATTGCTCTTCAAAATGTGACAATTGAAAATATTTTTAATAAACTGTAATAGCTAGCGTACGTTTTTTTTGCGTTAATTGAACCGTATAGGGCCACCGCGCTACTATGTGTGTCGGCGCCTATGGATTCTTCTGATGGGTGGCGGCCGGCGGGTCGCTAGTTTAACCGAGCCAAATTGTAAAATAGTTTTTTAATAAACAAACTCTAAAATAAATTTAAAAAAATGTTTGTCATTTTATCATATTTCAGAGAGTAAGTCTATTCAGGTTTAATTTAAAAAATTATTCAAATTAAAAAAAAGCTTTGTATATTTCACTAAGTAATAATAATTCTTTTGTAAATATGTAGGTATGTAAAATTAATTTTAATTAAATTTTTATTAAAGTGAAAAATTTACTTTATATTTTTCTGTGAAAAGAAAAATTCACCATTTTTGTAAAACAATATAAAGAAGAAAATTTAATTAAAAAAATACTAAAAATGTAAATTATCGAAATTATTAATAAAAAAATATTTACTTTACTATTTAATTTACTTTTTTTGTGTGGGAAATTTTATTGAAATTTTCATTGAATTACTATTGAAAAAAGATTGAAAATAATAAACAAAAGATGCAAAATAAATTGTAATAAAAAAAAAGAAAATTCTAAACAATTATTTTTTTGATAAAAAAATTAAATTGAATATTTTTCTTTACCGAAGAAAAACATTTCATTTTTTTAAACTTAAAGTATATTTTTACCCTTTCAATTTGTTTTCGGACTCACCGGAATTCTCGCTCAAAGATTCTCATCCCTGTCAGTGAAGTAGTGAAGACAGTTTACCTCCAAATATGCAGAACACAACACTGGCACTATAAATTTGTTCACACACATTTTTTTAATCGCGCACCAAGTTTTCAAACTATAATTTTTTATACTTTTTTAAACCAAAAACACAAGATTCAAGAAAAACGATTTAAAATCGCGCACAGACTCTAAACTTTATCTAAATTGGCCCTGAAAGTAAAACAAATAATATTTTAATACCATTGATTGTAAATTAAGTAGAACTAATTTTAATATTTTATTATTTTCTTTTAAAAATAAAAGAATTTGTTTATTTATTTAACACTAGAATTATACCAAAAGGGGAAAATATTTGTCTTGCTTCGAAAATTTTAAAATTATTTAAAGCGTTGAAATTCTTTGACATTTCGTAGACAAAAAAAATAAACTTGAGAAAATTTCATCACTCTGGATAATTTTGAATGAAAAATGTACAAATTCAAAAATGCGTTCTCATCGGTATTTCTAGTGTTAATTAAATAAATAATTAATTAATTAATTAAGAATACAAAAATTAACATAATTCTTAAAAATTAAATTAATTCTTACAATTTCGATGGATTCCCTCCTGCAAAGACAACGTATTCCAAATGACAATAATCTTCGAGTCACTTGTCCCCAGAGATCCCTTCTATAATAATTAATCGAAATATAAGAATTCCGAAAACAACAATTTGTTGTAAGAAGACCGAGTCCTCATGACTCAAATTTCTCGTTGCTGGAATTTAGATTTTCGCGACGAAATAGTAACCGCGGAGGAGGAATCTGAAAATAAAAAAATAAGTTTAAGTTATACTTATTACAAGCCTCGGATCGACTTTAACGAGCAAAAAAAGTCGCTTTAATCGATTAGAAGTAGAAAAAAAAGTCGAAAAAATCGTTTATTTAATTCAATTTTGTCATAAAAATTTTATTTTGTATTTCCCTTTATTCTTCACTGATTTCTAAATTCAATTAATTAAAACTTGAATAATTTTGCTAAATAAATATTTAAATACTTCTTATTTCTTTTTTTATGGGAAATAAATTTAAAAATATTTCAGCTTCTGAAATTTAAGAATTTCTAAAAATTACAACTACCTATAACTTTTCCAAAATTAAATTTTGGAATTTTTTCATTGTAAATTACAAAAATATACTCACTAAATCCACGAAATGCCACAATCAAAATAAATCGAGACTTGGATGAGGTACTCAACATACGGATCCTCCTCAAAAAGTGATGATTGTCCAGTGCGTACAAAACACCTCCAAGCACATCTAAACAAAACGAATGAATTTATTAATAAAAAATTAAAGAAGGGTTGCCACAAAACTTTAATTATGTTTTTTCCTGACTTTTCCCTAAATTCCAGACAAAATTTTTACTTTTTCCCTGACCCTGAAGAACATCAATAACTTATTTTTTAAATAAATATTTAATCATTATTTTTATTAGAAAATTTTTCGAGAATTCAATTATTTAAGTACAAAAATAAATAATTTATTCAATAATTGAATATTTCCTAAAATTGAATTTTCATTCAAGAATTTTATCAAAATTTTTAAAAATAATTGAATTATTTCGGCGAATTTAAAAAAAAATTAAGAATAAATGCAATTTTCTATCATTTTGTTTAAAATTGTGAAGAATTTTATTCAAATTTTTTTAAATAATTGAATTTTTTAAAACTTTTTGAAAATAATTACATTCTATCGATTTTCATTAAAAAATTGAAAATAATTGAAATCTGACAAAGAATTTAAAAAAAAAATTATTTAAATAATTGAATTCCTGTGAAAATGTTTATTTTTGAAAAGAATTGAATTCTTAGGAAGAATTTTATTAAAATTTCTTAAATAATATTGAATTGTTTCAAAAAATTTTATTTTTTTACAGAAATAATTGAATTATTTCGAAGATTTTTACAAACATTTTTGACAATAATTTGTATTCCTAGGAAGAATGAAATATTTTACGAAAATAATTATATTCTATTAACAACTTCATAATTTTTCAAATTTATTAAACATTTTTTCAAAATTTTTTTAAATAATTGAATTCTCAAGAAAAATTTTATTTATGAAAATAATTTATTTCTAGCGAAGAATTTTATTCAAATTTTTTAAAATAATTTAATTCCCATAAAAAATGTATTACTTTTGGAAAATAATTGAATTCTTAAAAAGAATTGTATTGAAAATAATTTAATTGAATAGGAAAATTTTATTAAAATTGCAATTTTATTAACTAAATCTTGTAAAGAATTTTGTCAAAATTTTTTTAAATAATAGAATTTTTAAAGGAATTTTATATAAATTTTTCAAAATAATGAAATTTCTCAGAACTATTTAAAAATTTTTTCAATTCTCTGAATATATTTGAATTTTTTGGAAAAGTTTCATTAAAAAATTAAAAATAATTGATAATTGGTGCGAAGAAATTTATGTAAAAATTGGTAAATATTTGAATTCCTGTAGAATTTTTATTAAAAATTTTGTTTAAAAAATAAAATTCTTTTTGAAAATTTTATTAATTAATTTTGCCAAGAATTTTATTAAATTTTTTGTAAATAATTAAATTTCGGAGAAGAATTTTATTATTTATTAAGATAATTGAAATCCGAAAAATTAGAAACATAACCTCAAATGTTTTGCTTCTTACATAGCTTTTTTGGGAGCGATTCACAATATCACAAATAAAAATAAAGAAATATTTGAAATGTCATAAAATTGCACTTAGCTTTTTCATAGTCGGTGGAGCTGGAGAAGATCCTTGGATTATTCTCCCTACAGGTCGCATCCTGGTCCAAAAAGATGATTGTCCAGTGCTCGAGATTCTTCCAGAGTACTTCTACAAAAGAAAACAAAAAATGGTTTTAAGAAAAGAAAACAGGAGCTTTGTTAAAAAAGATATCAGAAAATTTAATCTGAGAATTGATATTTTACTCCATTTTGGGAGTAAAATATAATTTCCGCCACCCGGAAAAAGGAAAAAGGCAAATTAAGATTTAAATTCGTTTTGCTAGAGACGTAAATATTTTAATTTTCAACATTTTATACAATTTAAAGTTGCATTTGAATGAAAAGTTACAATTTTCTGTCAATAAGAAACAATTTAGGCGACATAACCTAAAATTTGACAATGTTCCCCATTGACAAAAAATTGCAATTTTTTATTAAAAAGCAACTTTTAATTGTTTAAAACAGTGAAAAATGAATTCTTCACCCTTTCGCTAAAACAAATTTAGAATTTAATTCGTCTTTTTCTTTAAAAATAAGTACAAAATTGTGACTTTTGCTCTGCGACATTGTTCGATTCTTCCTCAAAATTTTCTCAATGTGATATTTCTCAGAAATGATATTACGCGTAATATTACGTTTAATTACTGTTATAATCACAACACAGTATACAAATTATACAACTTTAGGGAAATATACGAATATTTTTATATTTATAATAGGAGAGACGAGCAAAACATGTACAAAAGTATTCTGAACAATATTTCTTCAACACGATCACGACAGTCGCAAATATAAAAATTACCCATTTGAGAATAATTTTCATAACACAGAAGACATAAAACTAAAGAAGCAATAGCCGGAATTAAAGATATTTAAACAAACTCACTATATTTTTATAAAAATACACAAAAATTAAGACTAACAACAATGTCGATCAACTGTTGACAAACATTTCACTAAGCCCAAAGTTCTCATTGGCTGAATGGCAGAAAAGGCGCCAACAGTAAAATGTCCTGCCACGACATCTATACTCCGATCATTAAACAATAAATTGCCTACTCTGCATTATCGACCCACGAGAAGTTGGTCGATAATGCAGAGCGCATTGGCGTTTCAGCGCGAAAATTTGAAATAAGTAAAAAAATATTAATGATTTTCTAATTATTACTTTACATTATTTTATTAACCTTTTAATTGAATTTTATTTTATTTATATTATCTATTTTGAAAAAAAAATCAAAAATATTTGTTCGATCAACAAAAATTATCGTTTGAATATACGAACCACTGATTGATCGTTGCGCTCTGTTGCGGTGAGAATTATTTTAATTAAAACGCGATTCATATTTATTACGTCCTCAATTCAAGGAAAGTTTATAATTCTATGACAGAAACTACAAACTTAAAAAATGCTACAAAAATCTAGAAATTTCGACAACGTTCTGGTTGAAATTCGTTAAACCTAAACAATTTTCATCGCTTGTGTATAAATCTAAGTTTTATTCCAAATAAATAAAAAGTTTTATTAAAAACTGATTACTGATAATATTTAGGAATAACAAGTGCATTTTGAATTCATCGAAATAAATACCTTTAAATAAAGAACTGATTAACACACTAAAAATGTCGAAATCTAACGAGGTTAGTTTACTTGTATAAACTATAATTTATTCTTTTAAAAATTATTTCAATTTTACAATTTAATTGATTATTTTGAACATAAGGAAAAAAATAATTATTCAGGGTTTGACACAGGTCAGGGAAAGTAGAATGATTGCTGAAATTTAATTATTTTCAAAAGTAATAAAATTCTTCGCAAAAATTCAAATTTAATTATTTTCAAAAGTAATAAAATTCTTCGCAAAAATTCAATTTTGTTCAAAAATTTTTAAAATTCTCGTCAAAATTATCTGGAAATCAGGGAAAAGCAAAATTAATTTTTTGTGTCAACTCTGATTATTTTAAACACAAAAAAATCAATTATTATAAATATAAACACAAGAAAAAAAATTTTTAAACAAATATTTTCATATTTTCAGCTTAAAAGCGATATAGAAGATCTCAATTCCCTTCTTCAACAAGCAAAACGACAAAAATCAAAGGATCTCATCAGTATTGAAATAAGACGTTTACAAACTGAGTTAGACACTTTGACGGACAAAAATGAAATTAAAGTAACACCATCAGTTCAACGATTTGGTCCAAAAGTTTACGAAGTCAAATTAAACAATTACGGATGGGATCAAAGTGATAAGTTCATGAAAATTTATGTAACTCTAAAAAATGTTCACTCACTACCCAAGGAGTCGATTGCTTGCGATTTTACCGAATGCTCAATGGATCTTCGAATTCTCGGCCTAGACAATAAAAACTATCATCTACCAATTATAAATCTCTGTGAAACAATTGATCCGGAAAAAAGTAATTTCAAAGTGAAAACCGATCTCGTTACCATATTTCTTGCAAAGAAGACACCAATTAATTGGTCGCATGTAACTGGAGTTGAGAAAAGAATCAAGGAATCGAAAGAACCATTGGTACCGGAAGGTAAAGATCATGAACTTAAAGATCCCGATTCGGGCTTAATGAAGATGATGAAGAAAATGTATCAGGAAGGCGATGACGATATGAAAAAAACCATTGCCAAAGCATGGTGCCAGAGTCAAGATAAAAAAACTTCTCTAGGTGATAATATGATTTAAATCCTTTTTCTACTTCTATTTTATAAGAATAACTTTGTATTATATTAATTATGTTAATTATCAGTTTTCTAGTATTGTGTTTTATATATAAAAAAAAGAATTATGATAAAGTAAAGAAGACTTCATACCGCAATTTTGATTATTTTCTTTCATATTTTTTTTATCAACCTAAAAAATATATTTTAAAGATTTTAAGAAAAATGTTTTAAACCCATTTTAAAGCATTTAAGGAAATAAAAATCATGTCTTAATCATGTTTCAAATTTAAATTTTTGAATAATATATTCAAAATTTAAAAAATCCATTTATTAAGTACATAATTAATTATTATTATTCTTCGGAAGAATTCAATTATTTTTATAAATAGTAAAAATTTTTGCAAAAATTCAATTATTTTCAATAAAGTTTTAATAAAATTTCACGAAAGAAGTCAATTATTTTTTTAAATATTTTTAATTTTTCAAAACAATTCAATTATTTTAATAAATAGTAAAATTCTTTTAAAAAATTCAATTATTTTAAACTAAATTTTAATAAAGCTTCATGAAAGAAGTCAATTATTTTTTAAAATCTTATTTGAATTCAATTATTTTCAAAAGTTTTAATGAAAATTCAAATATTTTCAACAATTTTGATAAAATTCTTACCAAAATGTTTGATGAAATTCGTTGAAAAAAATAATTATTATCAAAATTCCTTTAAAAAATTTAATTATTTTCTAAAATTCAGATAAAATTCTTCGAAATAATTCAATTTTTGTTAGAAATTGTAAAATTCTTCGCAAGAATCCAATTAACTTAATAAATGAGAAAATTCTTTGCAATAATTTCACGAAAGAATTCAATGTTTTTCTTAATTTCTTATAAAATTTTTCAAAAGAATTCATTTTTCTAAAATTTTAATAAATTCCTCAAAACAATTCAATTATTTTAATAAATAGTAAAATTCTTTGCGAAAATTCAATTATTTTTAAAACAATTTTAATAAAATTTCATGAAAGAATTCAATTTTTAAAAATTTTTAATAATATTTCCAACACAATTTTAATAAATTTCTATAATAACATTTTTAATTATAATTATTAACAGACACGACTATTTAAAAAAGTGGAAAAAAATTCTCTTTTTAATTCAATTATTTTCAATTAAAATTATTCAAAAAACTATATTTTTAAAAAAAAACTAAAAGAAATTCTTCATAAAAATTTAATTATTTTCTATATTTTAAAAAAATTGTTTGAATTAATTTAATTATTTTAGAAAATTGTAAAATTCTGAGAAGAATTTAATTATTTTCTAAAAATTTTAATAAAATTCAATAATTGAATGTTTAATTTCAATTATTAAGAAACAAGATTATTTTAAAAACTTAAAAGAAATTGTTCATAAAATTCAATTACTTCCAAAATTTTCAATTAGAATTATTAAAAAATACTCCATTATTTAAAAAAAATTCAAAGAAATTCTTCAAAAGAATTTAATTAGTATTTTCAAAAATTTTAATAAAATCCTTCGCAAGAATTCAATTATTTTCATGAGTAATAAAATTCTTCGATGGAATTCAATTATTCTCAAATTTTTTGAGAAAATTCTTTGCAAGAATTTAGTATTTAAAAAAAAATATTAAAAAAAAGTTAATATCTTAATATAGATATTCAAGATTACAAGGAAAAAATTGGTTTCAACAGAAAACAAACATTTACTTTATTATTCGTTTTATTCACATTTGAGCGATTTGCAAGTGTAATTTTTTCATCAGTGCTTAAAAATTAGAGCACAATATTTTTTCCACATTTGATTTAATTTATAAAATTGTCAATTATTTTGAATACATTTTTTTTATTATATAATACTTATAAAACGTAAATCAATCACTCTGATACAATTTTAGATAATTGTTTTCATTTTTGGTAATTTTCTGTTTATTAGTAAACTAATATCAATGTTGGGTAAATTGCTTCTTTTATAATTAATTACAATTGCATTAAAAAGAAAGTAAAAACAAAATAATAAATAATAAATTATTTCATGAAAAATAAAATAAAACATTTTGTTTTATGAAATTCTTGTTTTTTTTTTCGTGTATAGCTAAATAATTTGAAAACAAACAGTTTTCAAAAAAAATAATTCGAACAACAAAAAAGGAATTTATATAAAATACAACTAAAAATGTACAACTAAAAAATTTAGCCAAATAATTCGCAATTAAAATAAATTAACATTTTTGTTTTTGAAAAGTAACTTTCCCAATATTGATTAACATGTTATTAATTATAATTAATCATAAAAATCAATTGTCAAATGATTTTATTGGTAACGATAGTCACATCACATTAAAAAATGGTGCCTAATTATTCAACAATAATATCAATTTTAAGTCGATTTCCACATCTCCATTTTTAAAATTAGTTTCTTTTTCTTTAAAGTAAAAATATACTTTTATAAAATTGGAAAATTTTGTTTTTGTTGACATTTTTTCATCATTATAAAATCGAAAGGCAAAATAAAATAAAAGATTAAAACACCTTTTTCTATAATAATATTTCTACTATTATTTAGAATTGTAATAATTGCTTCAAAATAAAAATTAGAATTCTAAAAATTTATTCAAAATAAAAATTACAATTCTAAAAACTTATTCAAAATAAAAATTACAACTGTAATAATTTATTATGAATAATCATTTCTAATTATGCTAAAAAAATAATAAAGTCGAAGCAAAATTGATTAATTTTCTTGAAATTAATTAATTTTTTAATAAATAATTGTAAAAAAAATTGAGAACTAAATGAAAGATAGAAATTCTTAAAAAGAAATTCTTAATACTTGAAACATTGGTTTCGAAATACACAATTTACATTATATTTTTTTAACTAATCGTAAATAAACTAGTTTTCTTAATCAAGCACGTTCGTTTTTTTTTCTTTTTTCACATACAGTGAATATTTCGAAAAAAAAGTCTTTTTAAGATTAGATATTGCAAATAGACTTTGATTTGTGCTTTGACGGTATGTATAATTTGCGATTTACAAAATAATTTGTACGATTTACATATAGAGATATATATTTGGTCACTGAAACGAATCTTTTATTAAAGATAATGAATTCTCAAAAAAAAAAAAAAAAAAAATGAAAAATAATTATTTTTATTTGATCTTGATCGATTATAAATATATAAATATTAAATAAAATTATTTAGAGAAAGAGGAAGTATATTTATCACTTAACTAGATCAAAAATTTGCTTTGTTTTTCTAAATAATATCCATTTATCTAAGATTCGTTTCGTTATTGAAAATTATGAGATAAGATAAAAACTATAGAAAAATGTTATATTTTATTCGAAGACCTTGACTTCTTAAAAAAGAAATTATTTGTAAATCAGTACTTGCAAAATTGGATTTAAGTCTTTGGTTCCGTCATGTAATGGAGATCGTCAATTATTTTTATATCGTCTCCTTTCCATCGTATTATTAAGAAAAAAAAATCTTTCTTTCTCTTACCGTCATTTTTAATAAATTAAAACTTAAATCTATATTTGTTATGTATTCGATGCCAATGACTGTTGGATTTCCAAATTTGAAACACGTAACGTTTCATTCATCATTTCTTTGGTTTTCTCCATTAATGATTCAACGTCATCTTTACTGAGACCTTCCGTCGAGATTGGCGGCAGGGTCGTGATTATTATTCGTCCTGTTAGCAAAAGAAATATCCTCATTAAATGTTAATCACATAAAATAATTTTAGAAAAAGAGAATTATAATAATAAATAAGTGAATGGAAATTTGAATAATTTTTTACTTTGGTATACAGATTTTTTTTTCTTTTGGAAGAAACATAATTTATTTTTATCAATATTTATGACCTCACTTACCAGAATCGAAACGTTTTTCTTCTTTACAAAGAAAATAATATGAAGAGAACACTACAGGCAGCACGGGTAATTGAGAATTGATAGCGACATAAAAGGCACCTTTTTTAAAAGGATGAATTTCACCAGTATTACGTCTTGTTCCCTCGGGAAAAAACCACAATTTTATCTGGAATATTGAAGAAAAAATACAATTATTACTACCCGGATGAATTCTATTTTTTTTATTAGAAATCGTCACGGTTTTTATGACTCTCCCAACGTTTAGAAAAATTAAAAACTATTTTCCAAATTAAAAAATTTTTTTTTACAAAACGAATTTGATAAAATTTCTAGACTTTTTAGTTTTATTTTTATTCTATAACTTGAAAAATTTTTTTAAAATTAAAAGTAGAAGGTGCATTACATTTAGAAACTTCTAATTGTAAAGACAACTTTTACTTCTGAAATATAATCTCAAGATAAAATTATCGGGTCGTGTATCATTTTCAATGTTTCTTTCAAACAGAAGCGTTTTAAAGCTATTTATCATACAGAACATTGCAAAAAAGAAAAATTGGAAAATAACAATTTGAATAAAATAAAATTAGAAAAAAATAATAAAACGTTACAAAATACTGCAAAAAAAAATTAGAAAATCATAAAAATAACGATTAGAATGAAATAAAATTCAAGAAAATGGAAAAAATATTACAGAAAAAATTAGAAAACTATAGAAATTATAAGATAACAATCAAAATAAAATCAGATTCAAAAAAATTAATAAAATGTTACAAAAAAATTGTTTTTTTAATTTCGAAAATTAGAAAATAACAAATAAAATCAAATTCGAAAAAACTTTAAAATTCAATGCAAAAAAATTAAATATTTAGAAAATTACAAAAATAAAATAAAATTCAAAGAAAAAATAAATAAAAACATTACAAACAATATTTAAAAACTAAAAATTTGAAAATTAACGATCAGAAATAAAAAAAATTCAAAAAAATGAATACAACGTTACATGCATTGCAAAAAAAAAATTAGAAAATAGCGGTTAGAATAAAATTCGATTCAAGAAAATTAACAAAACGTGACAAAACATATTTAAAAACTACAAAATTAGAAAATAACGATTTGAATAAAATTAGATTCAAGAAAATTAATAAAACGTTGCAAAAAATATTTAAAAATTACTAAAAATAGAAAATAACGAATAGAATAAAATAAAATTCGAAAAAATGTAACAAATAATTTCAAAAAATAATGGAAAATAAAAAATTAACGATTCGAATGAAATAAAATTCAAGTAAATTAATAAAGCGTCAAAAAAACATTTTTTAATTTCGAAAATTTGAAAAATAACGAATAGAATGGAATAAGATTCGAAAAAACGTTAAAATTCATTGCAAAAAAATTAGAAAATAATAATTAAAACAAATAAAATTCAAGGAAAAAATAAATATAACATTACAGAAAAAATTTTAAAAACTAAAACTTTGAAAAATAACGAATATAATAAAATAAAATTCGAAAAAATTAAAGAACACGTTTCATTTTATTTCAAGAAATAATTGAAAAATTAGAAAATAACGAATAGAATATAAAATAAAATTCGAATTAAAAAAGCGTTGCAATGCATTTTCAAGAAAAATTAAAAAATGATAAAATAACGATTAGAATGAAATAAAGTTCAAGAAAATTAATAAAACGTTCAAGAAAAGAATGAGAAAATAACGAAAAGAGTAAAATAAAATTCAAGAGAATGATAAACTCTTGCAAAAAAAATAGATAATTGAAAAATACCAATTTGAATAAAATATGATTGAAAAAATTAACATAACATTACAATGTATTGCAAGAAAAAATGATAAAGTAACAATTAGAATAAAATAAAGTTGAAAAAAATTAATAACACGTTACCTAGGTGTAAAAAATTCATTTTTTAAAAATAATACAGTAAAAAATTGTACCTTGTTCTCTTTGATTGTTTTGATTGACGAATTAATTACGCTTCGAGCTTTTTCTGAATTTATTCTATCAATAAAAATAAGACCACTGAGCCATGCGGCAATTCCAAAAGGCCAGGCGTATATAATTTCCTTTTTTGCAATAACAGTGCATTTATCCATCACTGGCCAAATGTCAAACATTCCTAAAATGTCCAAGGAACTCTGATGATTTGCAACAATAATACAAGCCTGTTCCTTCTCTAAATTTTCTCTTCCCCTCAATTCCCATCTCAATCCAAGAATGTAACTTGCATAATGACAAAAACTCGACGCAACTCTGGAAAAATTAATAAAAATTATAAACATCTTTAATTCATTAATTAAAAAATCAATACAATTAATTAATAAATCAATACAATTAATAAATTGTAATTAAAATTAAAAAAAAAATAATTTTAAATAAAAAATAAATAATTTTAATGATAAAATAATAAAATAATAAAATTTTGTAATATTGCTTATCAATTTCCTATTTTGTTATTTTTTACCATTTTTTTTTTCATTTAGAAATATTTATTTTTATCAAACAGCAATAATTAAGAAATGAATTTTTTTTTCTCGGCAACAAATTTGTGTTAATTAAACACAACACTTGACCGCATTGAATAAATAATTCTAAGGATTGATCAATTTAACCAAAGGAAATATTAAGTGATTTAAGTGAATGAAAGGTCTAAAGGGTCGATGCACATTAATGGTCATTGGCTTTAAAAAAAAAAAGAATAAGACTTACGATATATAATGAACCATAGATTACAACAAGAAGCAAATAATAATTTTACAATAACTGAAATACCAAGGATTTATCGATTATCTAAGTTTATTTATACGAACCGATATATAGAAAATATTTTTAAAGTATAAAAATAAAAAAAACCGATACAACAAAAATTTATTCAAGGCAAAAAAATATCAAAATAGTAAAAAAAAAAATTTTTTTCAGTACTTACACCAAATTTCTAACGTTGAAAGCCCGGAAACAAAAGAATGGTATCAATAACACTGAATTAAACATCACAGAACCATAATAAACCGAGAATTTAAAATAATAACGAAAAGTCCGGCTCGTTTCGTAAAGAAATGGCAAAACAAGAATAAAGGCAACGAGAATCACTTCAAAGCACGAAGGAGCCATTTTTTTCCAAAAAAAAAAAAAAAAAAAATATACACAATTTATAATTAATTTAAAAAAACGTATTTCTAGTTTTTTTTTCAATTTTTTACTTATTTCATTTAAGAACAAACATTCAGAGCGGAGCACAGTAGAAAAAAATAAAAATGTGCCGAGAGAAAAATATCTGAACGTCACTACAATATAATGTTTGTATTCAAAATGACAGCTGCTCTCCTATATGCGCTCTTTTGATAATATATATATATATTTTACGAGGGGTTCTGCATCGTGCAATATAGGCACAAAATACAATACGCTTTGCCACCACACAACTGATGCAACTCTTATTCTAAAAACTATATGGCACTTTGCGATCCTTTATATATACATGTATATATAGCAAACGCACGAATTTTTTATTTCTATCTGTCGCGCAATTAAAGAAAAATTGTTTTTATAACACGACATTTAGCCACGAGGGCAGGTCTTTTGAAACTGACACCTCGAGCCTCATGTTTAATTAACATAATAATATAAATATTGTCTTCACACTACAAATACTTATGTATTTTAAAGAATATGTTATCAACACTTGCAATGTGTTTTCGAGTTTGCGCGGTTTAACATTTTACATCCCCCTAAATTGAAAGCAATAACTCCCATTTCAATTTGCTTTAATCCTAAATACGTTCATTTCACATTTATTTTCATTATTAAAAAAATAATTTAATAGCTCTTTTAATATTTTGTTCAAACCTTTGACAAATAAAATAATAATAAAAGAAATAACAAAAAAAAATAATAATAATAAAAATAATTCCAAGTTTGTTTGCTTTTTTGTTTCTAAACTTTTTTATAATTTTTCTTTTCAAATATTTTAAATTTTAAAATTAATGTATTGAAAATCATTGAAATGTTGCAAAGAATTTTATCAAAAAAATTTGATAATAATAAAATTTCTTCAAAGAATTTTTTTATTTAATTCTCGTGAAGAATTTTATTAAAATTTTTAAAAATCATAATTAAATTCTTTTGAAGAATTTCTTGGAATTCTTTTTAAACTAATGTAGTTTTTTTAATAATTTTAATTGAAAATTTTGAAAGCAATTCAATTTTATGAAGATGAATTTTATTAAAATTGGATTAAAAATTAATTAATTCCTGCAAAGAATTTTACTATATTTATAAAAATAATTGAATTGTTCCGAAGGATTTATTAAAATTTTAGAAAATAAATTAATTTTATGTTAATATTTGAAAATTTAAATTCTTTCGAGAAATTCAATTAAAGTTGTTTAGAAAATAATTGAATTTCTTTAAAGAATTTTATTATTTTTTGAAAAAAATTGAATTCTTTCAATTTTTTTTCACAAATATATAAATTGCATTGAAAGTAATTTAATTTCTATATAGAATTTTTTAAAAATATTTTGAGAATAATTGAATTATTTTTTGAAGAATTTTAAATTTTGGTTGAAATTGAATTTTATGGAAATTTTTGAAAATAATTAAATTCTTTCGTGTAATTTTATTTAAATTGGATTAAAAATAATTGAATTCCTGCAAAGAATTTTAGTATTTACAAAAATAGTTGAATATTGTTTCGAAGAATTTATTAAAATTTTAAAAAATAATTGAAATTTATGGAAATATTGAATAATATTTGAATTCATCCGAGGAATTCAATTAAAATTGTTTTGAAAATAATTGAATTCCTGCAAAGAATTTTACAATTTATAAAATTAATTGAATTCTTGCGAAGAATTTTCCTATTTACAAAAATAATTAAATTTTTTCGAAGGTTTTTAAAATTTTAGAAAAAAATTAAATTTTCGTAAAGATTTTACTATTTAAAAAAATAATTGAATTATTTAGAAGGATTTATTAAAGTTTTTAAAAATAATTGAATTCTATTGAAATTTTTTAGAACAAATTAAAAATAAAATTGAATTTTTTAGTGAAATTTTTTGGAAAATAATTGAATTTTTTCAAAGATTTTACTATTAAAAAAATAATTGAATTCTTTCGAAAAAATACAAAATATTTAAAACATTAATTGAGGCCTTGGATCCAATAACTCGCCCGACGCTCGGAGGAACGCGCAACTGCCAGTCAGTGAGCAGTGAGCGCCTCTGGGCCACTCACTGCTACCCGACTGGCATTAGCGCGAGTCTCCGAGCGTCGGGCGAGTTATTGGATCCAAGGCCTCAATTGAATCCTTCGTGAAATTTTATTAATATTGTATATTGAAAATAATTGAATTTTTGCAAAGAATTTTACTATTTATAAAAATAATTAAATTCTTCCGAAGAATGTTATTATAATAAAATCTTTGAATTTTATTAAAACTTTTGAAAGAAACTTTCATAATAATAAACAATCGGTAAAATTAATTGTGCACTTAATAAGTGAATTGTTTTTTAATTTTGAATCTGAAATTATCGAAAAACTGAAGCTTATATTAATTGAAAGTAAAAATTTTCTAATTTGCATGATAATAATAATTTTGTTATAATTACATTATTATTATTATTATAAAATAATAGAAAAATAAAAAATACAATAAAGTAATAAATTTGAGAAAATAACTTGAAATGTTTAATTTGTATTGTCTAAATTGAAACAAAGTTTATAAGCCTTTAAGAAGGATTTCCTCTAATTTATAAAATGCGGTCTTTAACACCTTTATCTCATTAAGAATCTATTATGAGAACTACAATAACGTCTAGACTGGTTGTCTCATTAAAATCAAATGAAGCCTTTCTCTAGAAAAATACAAATATTATACAATATATTACAAAGAAAAATACATTTAGTTTCCCAACTTAATAATAAAATTTCAATAATAATAATAAAGTAACAAATAAGTAATAAAATTCAGTAAATTTTTTCCCTTCTGTCTAAATTGAATAGGAAATTTATTTCTTGTGTACTTAATACAGGAGGAAAAACCCCCTTCAAAAAAAAAGGAACAAATCATATATCTACGACCTTTATGTTTGTAAATAAGAAATTTCTGGCATATATCAAAATCAGTAGATATCAAAATTCTGTAGTGTTGTTACGTTATCATATAAACGTATATTCCAAAACGTGAGTAAAATTTTTTTAACATTTTGTATATTTAGTAAAATCGAAAGTTATAATTCGTAAGAATTGGAAAATTTGGTAAAAACGAAAATTATACGATTGTACTAATTAATTATTTATTATGTTTATTGTTAATTAGAAAAAAGTGTGATGAGCAATTCCAAAATAGAAAAAAATCGATTTTTTATCGATTTCTTTAAATATTATTTATTGAATATTATATTATTATTCAATATCAATATTATTTTAAAGTCAATTCAATTATTACCTTAAAAAACCACTTTAAAACATATTTTTTAAAATGTTTTTATATAATAATTGTAATAATACCGTCACAGCATTGTTGACATACATTTTGAGGTTATGTTTTAGTTAACAATTAAAAAAACGTCTAATAAATGCAATTTTTTACCTATTCCATTGTATTTGTTTGTAATATATTACTCACTTGTTGAGATAAATTGAAAAATCATTCAATTATACTTTATTATTATGTCAGTTTTCTTTAATTCTTGTTTTTTTTAACACAAAAAACATTGGCATGACAGAGTTTTTTAAACATACTAACGTACTTTGAAAAATGAATGGGGGCGTAAGGGGTGGGTTGGAAGGGGAGGGAAAATTTTTAGAAAAATTGTTAATTTCTTTAAAAATAGTTGATTGCGAAGAAAATTGAAATTTTTACCGTAACATTTGTCATGTTTCGTATAATAAAAATAAAAATCTATTTTATGTAGTAAAGAGAAAAAGAGATCAAATGAGATAAAACATTTAAATGAAATTATTTTTCAAAAACCGGAAATGCAGAACTGCGCATGTACTACTTCCCTTGACAGTGATTGGTTCCGAATGCAAAAGAGGAAAAGAAGGGGTACCGTAAATTCAAGGTTCCCATCCCTTCTTTAAAATTCATTTTACATTGTGTTCTCTTCGAGAGAAGTGAGAAAAGTTTGTGACACGTGACTATTTTTTGTTCCCGATTTTAATTTTCTTTTTATTATAAAAAAAGTGTTTTAATTGGTGACAAAATGTGATTTATAGATACTGTTTACTTTATTTTCTAGTTTATAAGTACGCCACATGAACAATATATGTAGTTTTCACTTAATCTCCAAGTTGAGATTTTGAGGTTAAACACACAAAATCATTTGTTTGCGGTGATATTTGACGTTTGTTGTCAAATAAACATTTTTTAGTTAGAATAATATTGAAAGTTATATTATATTATTTATAAAAAATGGCGTACTTACCAAATTCACGGATTGAGGAGGTTAAAGCAACCATTAGATCGTGTCTGGTTACACACAAGGGACCTATAACCATAAAACAATTAAACAATCAGTATCATTTTTTTGAGGAAGAAGTTATTCCTTATAAAGAGTTTCGTTTTAAAACATTACTGGATTTTTTGTCCTCTTTAAAGGATGTTTTGAGAATTATCGATAGAAATGGGGAAAGTTATGTTCGCGTTATTGATACGGAAAATACGCGTCCTATTAGTTCTTTAGTTGCTAATCAAAAACCATCAAAGCAAAAAAAATCTAAACGAATGTCGAGTGGACATTATGGAAATGTAAGTTATTTATATTTATAAATAACTTGACAGGCTTCGCACTCAATTACTAAAGACTACTATTTACTATTTATTTACGATTTCCTATACTTTTTATGTATAGATTTGTGACACTGAAAACAACTTTTTCTTTGTTTTTCGAACATAAACACTACTTTAAATCCTCTAATAGTTGAAATAAAAAAATTATTCTCAAAATATTAATGAAATTCTTAGAAACGATCAAATAAAATTTTAGTTAATTTCTTAGAAATAAATGAAAAATTTTAATAAAAAACTCTTTGAAACGATTCAATTATTTTCGTAAATTTTAAGAATATTTTTCAAAAGAATTCAATTATTTTCAGTATCTACTATTTTAATAAAATTTCACAAAAACAGTAAATTAAATAAAAATTCTAATAAAATTTTCATAGAAATTCAATATTATTTCAAATAGAAATTTTAATAAAATTTTTTAAAAGAAATTAATCATTTAAAACAATTTTAATAACATTTTCCAAAAAAAGTTTTTGATAAAAAAAATTGATTTCAATTATTTTTACACAAATAATAAAATTATTCCCAGCAATTCAATTATTTGAAAAAATAATAATATTCGTTGGAAGAATTCAATTATTTTCATAAATAATAAAATTCTTAGGAGTTTCTCAAATATTTTTAATATAATTTTAAATAAATTGCTCGGAAAATTAAATTATTCTTAAAAATTTTATTAAAATTCTTCAAAGAAATTCAATTATTTTTAAAAGTTTTGATATTTTCAATTCATTTTTAATAAAATTAATTTCAAAAAAGTTTCTAAATTCAATGATTTTCAATATCTACTATTTAAATAAAATTTTTCAAAAGAATTCAATTATTTAAACAAATTATTTAATAAAACTCGTTGCAAAAATTAAATTTTTTTCACAAGTTGTAAAATTTTTGGGAGAAATTTAATTATTTTTAAAAAGTTTTAAAAAATTTGTTGATAGAATTCACTTATTTTTAAAAATTGTAACTCTTTTGAAAAATTCAATTATTTTTAGTACATTTTTAACTGTAACTTCTTTAAAATTATTTTCATCATTTCAAATTAATTATTATTTTCTGGTATCTTTAACTAAAATTCTTCTTTAAATCAATTACTTTTTAATAATTTTTAAAAAAGAATTGAGAATTGTCTAATTCAATTTGTTTTGAAGAATAATTACATTTCTCGAGAATTCAATTAAAATTGTATTAAAAATAATTGAAATTATGAGATGAGTTTTATTATTTCGAAAAAAAATTGAATTCCTAAGAAAAATAAATTAATTATTACGAAGAAATTTATAAAAAAAATTTGTAAATTGAATTTCTGTGAAATTTTTATTATTTATGAAAATAATTGTTTGACTAGAATTTTATTAAAATTAAAATTTTATTAAAATTTTCATAAATAATAAAATTCTTGGCAGAAATTCAATTTTTTCAATACAATTCTAATAAAATGTTCCTAAAAAATTTAATTATTTTCATAAATAATAAAATTCTTATAGTAGCTTTTCAATTATTTTTAATACAATTTTAAATAAATTCCTCGAAAAATTCAAATATTTTTAAAAAGTTTATTAACATTCTTCGAAAAAATTCAATTATTTAAAAATTTGTTGATAAAATTTTTTATAAAAATTTAAATAATTGAAATAAAATTGAATTTTCTGTTAAAAATTGATTTAAAAATGAATTTCAGTTACAATTTTTTTATAATAATTGAATATTAGAATTTTTAAAAAATTTTAATAAAATTAAAAATTAAAATTAATTAAATTAATTTAAATCAATTTTAGATTTTAAAGAATTTTATTCTTTAGTTTTAAAAATTATTTTTAAATAATTCTAATCAGAAACTTGAAAAATAATATTGAGTTATAGAAAAATTATTTAAAATTGATGTTATTATCGAGATTTTTTTAGTGAGCAAATGGAATTTTTGGATAAATACTTTTTACTGTACTTTTTTCAATATTGATGCTAATTTTCGCTTCTATTTTAAAATTATTTGTCTAGTGTGAAGCCTGTCTTGTAATTATATTCTGAGTATATTTTTTTGTAAGTTCTTTTTACCTAATAACAAATTGTAATGTGTGTTTAATTCACACGTGTTTTAATTTTTTTCACGTTTTTCCTATTGTTAAATATTAATTCTTTTAATTGTCTGTGATTTAATGACAATTTTAATGATTTCAGCAGACTAGAGAATCTCATCATCGTGATAATCGTGAGGACCATTCGAGAATGAAATCTCGATCAGAGGAACAAAAATACATTTCATTCACTAATTCATCGAATTCTTCAAACGATGATTCTGATCGTTATAATAAGCCAAAGGACGATGAATTACAACGTAGCAATTACGTTAAGCCAAAGCAAGATAAAAATACTTATCGCACTGAATCTGATACAAAGTATCAAAAATCAAATCAAGTTACAACTACTAAGAATAGTGTTAATGACAACAGTATTATTAATGACGATAGCAATAGAGATTATTCAAGTATTTTAATTAATTCGAGAATTGTAGGAAGACTCCGTGAATTAATTGAAAAGCATCCTGATGGAATTTGGTGTGCGGAATTGCCAACAATATATTTCGACACTTATACCTCGACACTAAACTACGTGGATTTGGGCTTCGAAAGTGTTCGAGAATTTGCTTCGAGTCTTTCTAATGTATTTCATTGTGTACAAGTGTTTGAAGGTGGAGATCATAAATTATATAATGCCAAAAATGCACTCCCTGCTTTTTATGGATTGAAACGACAAATTGAAATTGATTCAAATAATCAAAATACTATTAATAATAATGGGGAAAAAGCAATTCCACAGAAATTGGTGAGTTTTTAAAAATTTAATTCTTTTTCGATTCAGGGTTGCCACACTTTTGCTCTTTTCAAATTTCCTGACTTTTCAATTTTTTAAAAAGTTCTTCGTGAATTTTCAAATTCCTTTGTTTACAATTTAATTTTACAAAATTTCAATTATTCTGAAATTCTTCAATTTAATATATCAGAAATTAAAAACTTCAAATAATTAAAAAAAAATAAATTAATATTTATTAGAAAATTGTACGAGAATTCAATTATTTAACTATAAAAATAAATATTTTTAAAACTGAATTTTCATAAAAAAATTTATCAACAAATTTTTAAATAATTGAATTCCCTTGACAAATTTTAATAAAATTTTTGAGAATAATTGCTTACTTTTAAAAATAATTGAATTCTTGTGATGAATATATTGTTATTTATGAAAATAATTGAATTTTGCAAAGAATTTTATTAAAATGCCTCAAAATAATTGAATTTTCGGAAATAATTTTGTTACTTATTGACATAATTGAATTATTTATGTAAATAATTGAATTCTTGGGAAGAATTTATTTAAAATCTAAAAAAATAATTAAATTTTTCAAAAAAATGTAATTAAAATTGTGTTTGAAATAATTCATTTCTTTCGAACAATTTTATTAAACTATTTAAAAATAATTAAATTCCTGTGAATTTCTAATATTTTTGTATATAATTGATTTTTTCAAGAAATTGAAATTAAATTTTTAATAATAATTACATTTTTTGAGTAATTCCTGTGAAATTGTATTAAAAATAATTGAAATCCTGCGATGAATTTTATTATTTATAAAAATAATTGAATAGTTGCAAAGAATTTTATTAAAATTTTCAAAAATAATCCCTGACATTTCTCTGACCTATGTCAACCCTGTTATAATTGTCAACTGATTAAAATAGAAGATTTTGTAAATTAAGTAATGAAAATTAATTTCAGGAACCAAAAACGATGAAACATTTCATTCCCGAAAATGTTATGAGTGTCACCGAATCAGTTGGTCAGATTATGGTAAAGGACCTCTGCCAAGATAAGGATTATGAAGAAGTAGTTCTTTGTGAATTGTTTACGCCAAATTACTTATTCTGTCATTTGAGGAAAAATCTGAAAATCTTTAAGGACTTCATGTACAATCTACAGTGAGTATTCAATTATTTCTAAAAAGAAAAAAATTTCAGGGATTGAATATCAAATTTTTGATAATTTTTAATAAATTTAAATTTTTTACCAAAGGGTGAAGACAATTAAATAAATAAAGTGTTTTTGAAGAGCCCAAAAATAATTATGCTAAATGCCATAAAAGAGAAGCAAAAATGTTGAATTTTAAGAAATTCGGTTTTTTGAATTTTTGATAATTTTAGATAAAATTAAATTTTTTAACAAAGGGTGGAGACAATTGAATAAGTAAAGTGTTTTTGAAGAGCCCAAAAATTATGAAGCTAAATGCCATAAAAGAGAAGCAAAAATGTAGAATTTTAAGAAATTCGGTTTTTTGAATTTTTGATAATTTTAGATAAATTTAAATTTTTTAACAAAGGGTGGAGACAATTGAATAAGTAAAGTGTTTTTGAAGAGTCCAAAAATTATGAAGCTAAATGCCATAAAAGAGAAGCAAAAATGTTGAATTTTAAGAAATTCGGTTTTTTGAATTTTTGATAACTTTTAATAAATTTAAATTTTTTACCAAAGGGTGGAGATTTTTAAATAAGTAAAGTGTTTTTCAAGAGCACAAAAATAATGAAGCTAAATGACATAAAACAGAACAGAAAATCTTAATTTTTAAGAAATTCGGTTTTTTAAATTTCTGATAATTTTTAAAAAATTTAATTTTTTACCAAAGAGTGGAGACTATTAAATTAGTAAAGTGTTTTTGAAGAGCCCAAAAATAATGAAGTTTTATGCCATAAAACAGCAGAGAAAATGTTAATTTTAAAGAAATTCGGTTTTTTGAATTTTAGATTTTTTACCAAAGGGTGGAGACTATTAACAGGGTGTCTAACATTAGAAGATTCATTAGAAGATTTGTATTTTCGTTTATTTCTATTATTATAGATATTAATTTATTGTTAAATATGTCACTTACTATATTTTTGTCCCGAGAAAGCAGAAATAAAATTAGTAAAAAATCAGGGAATCATTTTCTCAATCCTTGTTAGATACCCTGTTTATCATAATTCTTTAAGATTTAATTATCTTCGAACAAAGTAAATTAAAATTTTTTAAAATTTACTTTTTAGATTTATTAAAATTCCGGAGAAATCATGTTCATAATTTATAATTAAAATTCTTCAAAAATTTGATGTTTTTATATTTTTCAAAAATATAAAACGGACAGTTACAATATTATTATAAAAAATTGAATTCTTGAAGAACTTTGGAAAAATAATTAAAAATAATTGATTTAGAGATGAAGTTTAATTAAAAATTGTAGAAAATAATTGAATTTTAGAAGAATTTTTAGAAATTTTTAAATTTTATTTCCCGTTTGAGAAACAAATAAGTATTTAAAAATATTTATTTAACGAAATTATTTAATTTTTGAATAATTGAATTTAGAAATAAGTGAAAGATCAGAGAAATACAAAATAAAATTTATGTGACAACAAAGTTGTGAACTTCTTTTTTGTATAAAATGATAAAATGATCGATAATAATCTGAATTTAATTTGTTTTTCAGTTATTTCTATGAAGAAAACAAAACGAAATATCAGATTCCTCCTATTGCGTTGAAACCAGGATTAAATGTCGTGTGTCTTTTCGACAAAAAATGGCACCGAGCTATTGTTAAAATGATTAGACCTGAAGAACGAGTCGTTGTAAGTTTACAATAATATTTTATTTGATTTAATATTTGAAATTCGTTCAAGTGAAACGAATTAAGGTTTTTTTGAAAGAAATTTTAAGAATTTGTTTACTTGATTATTCACAGGTACATTTTTATGATTATGGAACTGTGAAAACTTATGGTGTTCATGAAATGTGTTTTCTACATAAAAAATTTTCACAATTACCAGCGCAAGCTATTTTATGTGGATTGCATAAAGTAAAACCAGTCGGCAATAAAGAATGGGAAAAAGGAATTTGTCACGAATTGATACTGAAATGTAAGGGGCCACTATGCGCAATGGTCTGTTCTGTAAATGAGGAGGTAATATTTTTAATATTTAGTAAACAAATTTTCAACGTTTAAAAAAAACTGAATCAAAAACGACTTTTAGAATTTTGGAATAATTTATTAATTTTAATTTTTCAGGAAAATTCAGCTCTTATCTCACTGACAAATACTGATGGAGAAGAAGACCTTCACATAAACGATTGGTTGCTCTTGAAAGAGTACGCCGCCTTGGGGAGATTTACAGCAAAGAAGAATCGCAATTTTACTTTTATGCATTACTTAAAATCTCTCGAGCATAAAGGCTACGATACAAAAAATATTACAAAAAATACCCAAGAACCTTTATTAAATGGTAGTTTCAAATTCAGCGATTCGGAATATTCCTTTAAAGAAACTAAACCATCTCCAAGAGCAATGGAACGGATTCCAAAAAGTGTGGAAAATGCCTCTAAAGATAATTCCGATTTAGAGAAAACAACTGCAAACTCCCAGAAAATTCCTTCTCTATTAAATTTAAAATTTATACAACAAGAGAGCCTTAAATCAAAAATCCAGACCAGCAAACTTAATGTTGAGGAAAATAAATCCAAAACGGAAGTTTCCTGTCCCAAAGTACTGAAACGAACACTGGCCTTAATATCGAAAACTCAAGAGAAAAGGAATGCGGAAAATAGTTTAGATACCTTTTCATCGTCTGTGACAAGTTCCAAGTCTTCCGAAAATGTTGATACCTCTGAATCTCTAAATTCAATGATTACAAATTCGAGTAAATCAAAATCGCGACTAGAAATGCTTTTGAAATTTACGAAATCATCCACTTCAACTCCGCTCGAGTTAAAATCTAAGAAAAACGAATGCAAAGTTCAAAATGAAGAGAAGATTGCCGAAAAATCTCCAGTGACTGAAGAAATTTTGGAGAACAAATCGACATCGCCCTCATCATCCAGCAGTGAAATTAACGAAGATTACATACCTTTGCATTTAAGAGAAGAAGAAAAAGTGGAACAACTACCGGAGTTCGGCACATTGAGAAGTGAATTCGGAGGACGTGGCCGCATGCAACACGTCGATTGGCATCAAATTCGACAGGACATCAAAAAAACCGAAATTCAACAAACTTGTCAATTTCGATCCAATGAAAAAGCATTAAATTTGATAAAATCCCTCGAGAAGGAAATCAACGATTCAAAGAAATCTTGTCAAAAGGAGGATGTACCAAAACTTGTTGATACCAGACAGAAAATATGCTCCCACCTTCAACGTGAATTGTCCCGTTTCAATAAATACAACACCATTAATTCAAATTTTGCCGACAAGGAATTTAATTTCACAACATTGACAAACGTTAAATCATCCACAACACCAATATCTCCATTACTTAAATTAAGACAACGTTTACACGCCAACAGTTTTCAGAGTGATTCAAAATTGATAAATTTCAAATTAGCCAAAATTATCACCGGCAAAACTGATGAAAACAATGAACCAATTAAAATTATTAACGAATCCAAAAAGTTGACGAAAACTGAAGAAATTCTCAAAAAATTAAAAATGGACAAAGTGGAACAAAACAAAGTTGAAGTAATTATCGAAAAGGAGAAAAATGAACAAAATCAATCAAAATTAACAGATTTAGAAGTTAATCAAAAGATTGAAATTTCCATCAAGGACAAGGAGAGAAAAATTAATCTACAACCAGTGAAAAAATCAGAATCTTTGGATTCTGACGATTTTTCCGATGAATTATCAGAGGTAGAATCTGATAAAATATCAATATCAACAAGTAGTGAATCAACGATTCATGAGAAATTAATAAAAGAAGAATCATCGAGCGAGGAAGAATTGACACATACGGAGGAAATAATCAACAAGAAGGAGACTGAACCCATTGTTAAGGAGAATTTATACGTATTCAACGATATGGATTTGACCAGTGATAGTGAAATATGGGACGGGTTGAGTTTTTCCGGTGAAATTGCGCCTGTTAAATTTACCAAACAAAAATCAGTTTCATCATCTCGAGTTTCGTCACCAACAAGATCGGTAACTAATTTCGATGAATCGTTCGACAGTAATATTATGAATTTTCAATACAATGAATTAATGAGCAGAAAAAAGCAAGAGGAGAATGAGAAGAAAATGATTGAATCGAAAGCAATTGAGAGGAATTCATCGTCAAATTCATCAGCGAATTCATCTGTTACGGAAAATAATTTATCGGAAAGTGCAAAGGAAATGACGGCAATTAAAAATTTCAAACCAACTGGAAGACAAGGATCTCTAATGCGTATGTTGGCGAATATTCAAAAAGAACCGCAACATATTTGAAAATCATAGTTCTTTTCATAGTTATTGTATGTTACTTTAATTTTTCACAAATTTGTAAATAAATAATGATAAAGCAAATTACTGATTCTATTAAAGTTTTGAATGTTTAAATGAACATTTTCTTTGCTTTTTTTAATTTGCACTTTAGGGCAAATAGCTTATTTTTCATTTTGAAAAAAATTATTAAAAAAATAAAATTAATTCCCAACTAAGTAATTCAATTTTAATTATTTTTCTTTTATTGGATAGTAATTTTTGAAAATATTTAAACAGAAGAAAAATTCCCTTCATTCAAACGTTCAAAACATAGAGAGAATTTTTTTTAAACCTTAATGTAAATTAAAATGTAAAAATTAAATTTTGTTAAAAATTAAATATTTTGTTAAAAATTAATTCTATTCTGAAAATAAATTTAAAAATAGTAAACTTTTAAAATAAAAATTTTTAATCTAAAAATGAACTGGAAAATTAAATAAAATGTAAAAATAATAAAGTAAATAAGTTGAAAAAAAGTAAATTTCTCTTTAAAAGAAATATTTTTTTACAATTTGCTACTATTTGGATACTTTTTTTTAGATTTGTGCCACTAAAAGCTACTTTTTTCTTTTTTTTTTAGAATATACACTGCTTTAAATCAGCTAATAATTGAAATAAAAAATTATTCTCAAAAATTTTTTTAATTTTTTTGAAACAATTCAATTATTTTTCAAAAACTTTAAGAAAATTTATCGTAAGAATTCAATTATTTTCCCAAATAATAAAAATCTTTGCTGAAATTCAATTATTTTCAATATCTATTTATTTAATCAAATTTCCCAAAAGAATTCAATTATTTAAAAGAATCTTATAATAAAATTCTCTGTAAATATTCAATTATTTTCTTAAATAATAAAATTTTTACATGAATTCAATTATTTAAAATACAATTTTCATTGCATTTTTTCGAAAAAAATCTAATATTTAAAATAATTTTTATAAAATTCTTCTCGGGAATTCAATTATTATTTGATAATGTTAATGCAACTCTTCGCAGAAATTCAATAATTTTTAAAAATTTTATTAAAATTTTATATATATAAATTGAATTATTTTCAAAAAAATTTTAATTAAATTCGTCGAAAAAAATTTATAAGAATTCAATAATTCAAGTAAATAATAAAATTCTTCGCATAAAATTCAATTAATTTCATAAATAATAAAATACTTTAGATAATATCAAATATTTTCAATATAATTTAAACTTCTTCGCAGAAATTTAATTATTTTCATATGTAATAAAATTTTTACAGGAATTCAATTATTTAAAATACAATTTTCATTGAATTTTTCTAAACAAAATCAATTATTTAAAAAAATTTATTCTTTGCAAGACTTATATTATTTTTATAAAAAATAATACGTTTGACAGAATTTCAATTATTTTTTATACAATTTTAAAAAAATTCCTCGAAAAATGCAATTATTTTTTAAAAATGTTATTAAAATTCTTCGAAAGAATTCAATTGTTTTAAGAAATTTTGATAAAATTCTTTATATGAATTTAATTTTGAGAAATATTCAATTATTCTTATTATTTTTTATATTTAAATAAATGAATTTTCGTTGAATTTTCTAATAAAAATTGATTTAAAAATGAATTTCAGTTAAAATTTTAGATAATTAAAAATTAAAAGCATTATAGCATGAATTTTTAAAAATAATTGAATTTTGAAAAGGTTTTAAATTGTAATCTTTGAAAATTTTAATTTTAATGTTGTAAAACTGTAACAATATTCAATAATTTATTTTTTTTAAATATGAAAACTAATTTTTTTCTTAAAAGAATAAATTATATTTTCAATTATTTAGAAATATTGGCAAATTTAATTGAAATAAATTGTACATTTAAAAAAAATTATTTTCTACATTTAAAAATTATTTTTAAATAAGTACCTAATTGAATTTTTGTAAATTTAAAATTAAAATTCGTAAAAATTAAAAATTTAAGTTATTATGTAAAAAAAATGTAAATATTTTTGATGAAAATTAGAAAAAAAAGCAGAATTAAATTTTTGGGATTTTTCTGAATCATCTAAAACGAGTTTTCCACTTTTGTTTCCTAAAAGTTAGTCAATTTGTCACTAATTTGGCTAGTTTGTAATTTCTCAAAAGAAAAAAAGAAAGAAAGAAAATGTCAGCAGAAATTTTGCTATTTACAGGTTATATTTGTGTTAGATTTATCTTAATTTAAAGTTCCTTTTTAATTATATAAACTTGAAACCAGTTTTTCTTGAATAGTTTGGATGTAACAAAGACTTGAACATCAATAATTTGTAATCGTAATTGCTTCTATTTCTATATATGTTTTTACTCCAAAATTTATAAACATAACCTCAAATTGTTTGCTTTTTAGGTATACACTGTAAAAAAAAATTTCTGTAGATTTACAGTTTTGTTTAGAATTTTATAAAAACTTGTAAAATAACTTCTTTAAAAGTAGTGAATTTAAAATCCCTTCTGTAAAATTAATACTTTTAATGTGTCAATTTTACAATTTTCTGTAAATTTACTACTCTGAATGTAGGTAATATTTTTGTCTTTTTATTACCTACATTCAGAGTAGTAAATTTACAGAAAATTGTAAAATTGACACATTAAAAGTATTAATTTTACAGAAGGGATTTTAAATTCACTACTTTTAAAGAAGTTATTTTACAAGTTTTTATAAAATTCTAAACAAAACTGTAAATCTACAGAAATTTTTTTTTACAGTGTACCTTTCATGGGAGAGTGTCGCATTTGCATAACTTATTATTATTAAATTATTGTACTTATTGAAATAAATAGTCAATCTTTGGAGAAAAACCCCTCTTCGAGAACAAAAAACAAACATACCTTTGTTGAAAATTATTTTAGTGGGTTATTTCCACCAACAGTGACAGAGTCGGATATTCAGTTCCAATTTCACTCGATTTTTCATATTTTCAGAAAAACTAATGTTGTTTGCAAGTTAATTAATAAATTTACTTTTATCTGAGACACAAAAACTTGAATTTAAACACACAAACCATAGGTGAGTAAGTAATAACGTCACATTTAACGTGAACGTGTTGCGTACGCGTACGCCATATTGCCAAAGAATATTGAAGGAGTGGGGGAAGTTCCCAAGGCGGGAAAATTCAAAATTTAAAGGAATCAACCAATAGAAATATTTATCAAATCAATACCGCTCCTTACGTTCGTTGCGTAAAGAACGTATTTTACCGACTTTACGTTAATATTGTAAATAGTCAATAGTTTTTGACAATCAACACGTCTGTCATTTATAAGTTTTCTTTTTACAAAGTTTACGTTCCAAAAAATTCCCGTTTCTTGAAAAAACAAGAAATTTCGAAATTATATTTCTTGACGAAATAGATAGTGTATTAATTACGTGAAGGAAAACAAAGAAATTAATAAAATCTAAGTTGGAAAAGTGCATTGCGATTGTACAGTCTGAAGAAAAAATGTACACGTGGTACAGTCGGTGTAAACAATGAAAAATTGTTTTTCAAATTTTGATCTTTTGAAGACAACGAAAACAAAAAATTGTAAGGAAACTAATTAAATTAATTACCAATTATTATTAATTTAATTATAAAATAATTAAGAAATGCTACTAATTGTATATAATAATAATAATTAAATTAAAATTTTTTTTAGGTTAGAATTTCTTGTTTTAGAAATTTTTAAACTAAAGGAAATAAATTCTTTAAAGAATTTATAATCATGGGAAATTCTGGATTGAAACAACATTACGAGACAGCAAAGAAAACAGGAACTTTAACGCTTTCAAAAAGAAAATTAGATGAATTTCCACAAAATTTACAAGATTTAACACCATTGCTACGTACATTGGATGTTTCGGAAAATAAATTTCTACATCTTCCATTGGAAATAAAGGGTTTCACTTTACTCAAACATTTAAATATCAGTCATAATAAATTATTGGATTTACCCGAGGAAATGGGTGCTTTATTAAAACTCGAGAGTTTAAATGCAAGTTCAAATCAATTAAAATCATTACCATCATCACTATCGAAATTAATGAATTTAAAACAAGTGAATTTATCCGACAATAGTTTAACTGAATTTCCCCTAATGTTTTGTGGATTAAAGCATTTAGATGTTTTGGATGTATCGAAAAACAAATTAACACACGTTCCTGACGCAGTTTCAAGTCTACATGTGACTGAACTTAATTTAAATCAAAATCATATTTCAATTATTTCAAGTAAATTGGCAAATTGTAAAAGATTAAAAACATTGAGACTCGAGGAGAATTGCCTGCAAATAAATTCAATTCCAGCGACAATTTTAAAAGATTCGAAAATTTCTGTTTTGGCCCTGGACGGAAATCTTTTTGAAATGAAACAATTTGCTGACCTTGATGGTTATGATATGTACATGGAACGTTATACTGCTGTGAAAAAGAAAATGTTCTAAATTCAGAAAAATATATTTTTCAAATTTATACTAATTTTTAGAACAAAATTTGTATAAACGCATAACATACCTATTTATTTGTTAATAAATAAATACTATAATAATAACTGCATAAATAATATAATAATAACTGCAGAAATTACACAAAAGTATTGTAAACTTTTTATCTTTTTGGATATTTCTATCTTTATATAAATTTCTATCAATTTATTACTATCCTCACGAACTCTAGATGTTTTTTTATTCTATTGCTGGTTTTATAGAAAATAATTGTAATATTATATTCCTAGACGAGTTTTAATTATAAAGTTCATATTGAACTGATTTTAATGATTATTTATTAGAAAATGCAAAATGTGAATAATTATCGCAATGTATAAAGTTATGTAAAAAATAATGTATTTCTCAATGTCAGCAACAAAATATATTTATTTTTTCTTATACAAAAATTAATTTATTAATTTTTGTTGTTTTTCCATCAAATGTAGTCAGAGTTGACACAAAAAATTAATTTTGTTCTTCCCTGATTTCCAGATAAAATTTTGACTTTCATTATAATTTTAATAAAATTTCTCGAAAAAATTCAATTATTTTCAAAATATTAATTAAATTCCTCGCAATAATTCAATTTTCATAAATATTGAAATTCTTCACAAAATTTCTCGAAAATTTAAATTATTTTTAAAATATTAATTAAATTCCTTGAAATAATTCAATTATTTTCATAAATATTGAAATTCTTTGCAAAATTTCAATTATTAATTTTAATGAAACTCTTCTTAAAAATTCAATTATTGACTAATTTACTAATTAATTACTATTTTTATTGTTTTCAAAAACTTTAATAAAATTCTTAACAAGAAATTCAATTATTTACAAAACATTCTCGAAAAAATTCAATTATTTTCATAAATAATATAATTCTTTACAAGATTTCAATTATTTAAAAAAAAATTAATAAAATTCGTTGCAAAAATCCAATTATTTTCATAAATAATAAAATTCTTCATATAGGATTTCAATTATTAAAAAGAAAATGTAATAAAAATTCGTTTCAAGAATTGAATTATTATTCTTCTAATTAATAAAATTCTTCACAATATTTCAATTATTTCCAATACAATTTTAATTCAATTATTTAAATACAAAAATAAATAATTTATTGAATAAATGGATGTTTTTCAAAATTTAATTATCTATTCTATTAATTTAATACTTTTTAAATTTTCAATTATTTAAAATTAACTGAAATTCATTTTTAAATAAATTTTTATTAGAAAACTCTACGAGAATTCAATTACATATTTAAATACAAAAATAAATAATTTATTGAATAAATGAATGTTTTTCAAATTCAATTCTCATAAAAAATTTTATCAACTTAAATAATTGAATATTTTCGACGAATTTTAATAAAACTTTCAAGAATAATAATTCGATTAAAATTGTATTAAAAATAATTGAAAATCTGTGAAAAATTTTATTATTTATGAAAATAATTGAATTTCTGTAAAAAAATTTATTATTTATGCAAATAATTGAATTCTTTTAATGAATTTTATTCAATTTTTTTAAATAATTGAATTCTTTTGAAAAATTTTATTAAAATAGTAGATATTGAAAAATTATTGAATTGAGGAAAATTTTTGAAAATAATTGAAATTTTGCCAAGAATTTTATTAAAATTTTTGAAAATAATTGAATTTATGTGAAGAATTTTATTACTTTTGAAAATAATTGAATTTCTGCAAATAATATTTGTAAATTCTCCAAAATTCAATTTTTTCCAGTACTTTGTAATAAAAATTCCTGACTTTTCCCTAATTTCCCTGACCTGTGTCAACCCTGGTAGTGTTATTTTTTTAAGGAGAAAAAAAATTCACTTTTAAAAAAGTAAAAGTCACTTTTGAAAACATATTTAAAAAAAAGTACCTTTCCAAATACGAAAAAAGGAAATCCGAGTACAGAGGGTTTTTGGAGGAGGCATTAACTTTTAACCGGTAGATAAAAATCAATCATAAATTTTACTTTCACTTTAAAAAGGGTTTAAAGTTTAAATGCCCAGTAGGTATGAATGTGCGAACAATTAAGTTATAAATCACAAATGAGTAAAGTCAAGTTCAGACCCTGGTCACCAAAATAATTTATGGCTTCGAAGGGGAGTTTGAAGGCTCTTTGAAAAGTAAACAAAGCAAAAGTGACAGTACGAGTCCTTTTTTTCACAAATTGTTTAAAGCAAACTTTGTATTTTTTTACATTGTTGTCAAAAGTCAGTTCCTAAATAGCAGAAATAAAGAAAAACTTTGGTTTGTTTATATCAAATGAACTACCTGAAATTTTTCCAAAAAATTTTTGAGGTGCCCATCAAGGACGTAATTGGTATTCTAAAGGCCCCTGGGATTCAATTTTATTTTCGTATTTTTCACGATACGAAAGTTTTAAAAGGAATACAAACTACAAAGTTTTATATTTAACTTTTAACAATCGAAATAATTTTGAGGTTAAGAATAAATTATAGTTTAGAGTGCGGCATTTAAATTTCAAGATTTCAATCGAAAAAAATTAGAAAATTATGAAAAATAAACGGTAACTTAATAAATTTTGAGGTTAGGATATAAGGGATATAAGCGATAAAAAATGAAAATGTTTATACCGGCAATTTTCGCAATATAAAACGAGTGAAAACGAATAATTTCCCCAATTTTCCCACCACTAATAAGGAACGTGGCCCAGTGAGACATATACACGCTCATGCCTTTCCGAACTCAGTGACGAACAGTGTTCGCTTGAACCCAGTGGTGCTTGGGTGCAAGTGTTTCCTCGAAAATGGCGGACGGTGCTGATTCGAATTTCCCGAGTACAGGATGAAAGTGCGCCGAATTATCGGCACTTACCTCATTTTTTGAGTTTTTGCATATTTTGAGGAAATTATAAACAAGTCCCAATCTCATTTACATTAATTGTCTCGCGATTAAACACCGTCGAAACGTAAAAAAAAATTAAGTCGCGCGGGATTGTGTATTCAGTGTGTGGAAGGTGGCGGGGCCCCCATAAGTAATAAATGGCTGACCGGAGTTGTAAAATGAGTAGCAACTAAATTCCGAATGTATCCAGAGAGCCAAATAAACTAAGGTATGAAATTAAATTAAATTCTCGACAATTTTCACGTTAAACTACCAGTGATTTTTCCAAACAATTTTTTGACACTCCAAAATCGTCTTCAAGGCAAAGAGGAAAAAAAAACCCGGTAACTTCTGAAGACAGTAAGCAAGGGTTGAACCACTCGTGATCCGCCTATGTGATTGATTGAAATGAGGGGGGTGGGTTGTGGGTTTTTATACACTATGGGTTCGTTGCCCCGAAATGAAAATTCACGCTTATCTTTCTATTTTTTGAAGAAAAATATTCAATTATTTTTCATTAGGAGAAATCTTTTCTCCGGGGGACAAGTGCTTTTTTAATGGTGTTTGCGATCATATGGTCTCAGCTTCCTCGCGGAGCATTTTTCTTTCTCCAGCCATTAAGGTTTTTTTGTTATTAAATTTGTTTCTTTTAAGAATAAAGTGTATTTAAATTGTTTTTAAAGTTGTTTTTTATATCTCTTTGACGTGGTAATTTCTATAGGAAAAATAATTGATTTTGTGGAATTTAGTCGAAAAATATGCGTACAGTCTTTTTTTTATCATTTTGCTCTGAAACTTGTTGGTTCCATAACGAATGTGTGTTGTAATTTTATTTGACACTTTTCAAGTTCACCTCCGGATAAAAATTCTTGGTGATTAATTATGTGATTATTTCTCATGTCCTTTATAAAAATCTTATCGTTCTTTAGTTGGACTCTTGGAATTTTGTTTATAATACTTAATATATCTCATTAGCAAAATTATTATTCGTTTTAAATAAAATTTCCAAATTCCCAAAGTAATAAAATTCAAGTTAATTTTTTAAGCAATTACTAAATTACAATTATCAATCAGTTATTTACTTTAGTCTCTAGATATTTTTTACCAAAATAACTATTAGTAGAACGATAATTTTTTTAACATATTGGAAATATCAATTTTGTCAAAATTTACGATTTACTCTAAAATTGCGATGAAACTAACGCTTTCCAATTTCTATACAAGGAGAAAATCGGTGACTGATTTCTCGAACAAAACCACCGAGAAAGCGATGGGGAAAAATTGTTGAAATGCCAAATAGAAATTAAAGGTCGTGGAAAAATGTTATATTCGAAATTTTCTCCTCAAAATAAAATTTAGAAGGAAGAATTTTGATAGAAAAAAATTGTTCGAAAATTTTAAGAAATACATAATTTCCTTTTCAGAAAATGTCAGAACCCGAAGAATGTCCGGCAGCTCCGGACAGTACGACAAAGGAGCAGAGACTAGGATTCTCTCATGGAGAAGATGTTTTTCTACAACTCAAAGATGGGAAATTTTATTTGGGAACAGTTGTCGAGGTTTGTTTCGATATTTTTCATTTTCTTTTTCAAAAATATACGAAAAATTTTCCTTTCTATGCTTTTTATTATCTCACTAACTTTATTTTTTGTTTTGAAAACAATTTTTTATTTTACAAACCAATTTTCAAATTTAAAAGCAAATTAAAAACAATTTAATTAGTAAATGAAAAAAGCAAATTCAAAACAATTTACTTAGTAAACGAATTTAATTAGTAAATGAAAATTGAATGATAATTGATAAAGGAAAGGATGATGAAATTAATATTTTACAGGTGGATTTGGCGAGAGAAAAGTGTCTCGTCAAATTCCTGGACAATACATCGTCCTGGTCGTCAGTCAAAGAGCTGACGAAGGTAGCAACACCAGAGGCCGATGTAATGTGTGTTCTTTGTAAGAAATCTCAACCCAAGACTGACAATGATATCATTGTTTGCGACAAATGCGGTCGCGGATATCATCAACTTTGTCACCAGGTATTCAAAAATTATATTAATTTTCTATAATAAAAAAATTCAGGCTTCGCACTCGCATCCAAAACCTACTTTTTTTAACGATTTGCTACTATTTGGATACTTTTTTTACGCTCTCATTTTAATTTATGCCACTAAAAGCTCCTTTTTTCTTTTTTTATGAGAATTTGCGTTAATTTAAAACCGCTATCAATTAAAATAAACAAATTATTGTAAATTATCTTAAAATTTTTTTGAAACGTTTCAATTATTTTCAAAAATTTTCAGAATATATTTTTCGGCAGAAATTCAATTATTTTCACAAATAATTAAATTCTTGACTGAAATTTAAATATTTTCAGTAACTAATATTTTCATAGAATTTTACAAAAGAATTCAACGATTTTAGAAAAAAATTTTAATAAAATTCTTCGCAAAAATTTAATTATTTTTATAAATACAGTCAACTCTCGATAAGACAAACTCGAAGGGAGACCGAAAAAACTTTGAGTTATCGAAAAGTTTGAGTTATTAAATGTTAATAATGCTTATAAGGAATGAACGGGACCCAAGAATTACTTTGACTTACCGAAAAATTTGAGTTATCGCGCTTTGTCTTATCGAGAGTTGACTGTAATAACGAAACTGAAGTCCACAACGTTTATCAACGAAAAAAATTAATTTAAAAATGCATTCAAGTATTATTTTTAATTTAATATTTAATTGCAAAATAATTATCAAAATATAAACATTAATCTTTTTTTTCTAAATATTTTTGTGTCAATATGGCTGCGTCATTTTTTATTAATTTATTAGGTGAACAATTTTTCTTCGTTAATCAACGTTGTGGACATCAACTTGGCAAATAATAAAATTGTCATACAATTTTTTTTTGAAAAGAATTAGTTATTTTAATAAAATTTTTATAAAACTCTCCGAAGGAAATTATTTTTAATAATTTTGATAAATTCTAATAATTCATCTATTTTTCATATAAATTATTGTAATTTAATTGCTGGAAAGAATTTAAATATTTACAAAAATTTTTAATAACATTTTTCGCAAGAATTCAATTATTTTCACAAATAATGAATTTTTTCATAAGAATTCAATTATTTCAAAAAATTAAAAACAAATTTTGTTACAAGAATTCATTAATTTTCATGAATTAATCAAATTTTTGCAGAATTCCAATTGTTTTCAATAAAATGTTAAATAGATTTCTCAAAAAAGGCTATTCTTAAAAAAATTTGTTAAATTCTTCGAAAAAATTAAATTATTTTAAAAAATTTATAATAAAATTCTTTAAAACAGGAATTTAATAAATTTTAAGAAGTAATCAATTATTTAATAAATTATTTATTTTTTTATTCACATAATTGAATTATTGTAGAAGTTTCTAAGAAAAATTGGTTTAAAATCAATGAAATATTTAAAATAGTTAATAAAATTTTTCGAATAAAATAAATATAATAAAAACTTTTTATAAAATTCTACGGCAAAAATACAATTACCTACACGGAGAGAAAAAATAAGGCTTTTCCCCATGAAAAAATATGCATTTAAGGGCATTTGAACCTTGATGACGTTACACTTTGTGCAAAGCATGTGTGACGTCATCAAGGTTCAAATGCCCTTAACGCGTGAAAATTATCACAGTTAAAATGCAGGACGCTCACGGGTTTTCCCGGTGAGATTCTTGCAACGAGCTAAGGCCAATAGGGGCTAAGGCATGGCCTAACCGCTAAACGCAAGAAATTCATCGGGAAATCCGGTGAAACTCCTACCTGAAAAAGGCATGAATTGAAGTCACAGGGAAAAGCCTTGTTTTTTCTCTCCGTGTACTTTTAAAAATTTTAATAAAATTCTTCACAAGTTATCAATTATTTTCCTAAATAATAACATTTTTCACGAGAATTCAAAAAGAATTAAATAAAATTCTTCGCAAGAATTCAATTATTTTTATAAATAATAAAATTTTTCTCAGGAATTCAATTATTACACAAAATTTTGATTCAATTTATTTATTAGAATATAATATTTATTTTTAATACGTTTTTAATAAAACTTCTTGAAAGAATTTAATTATTTTCCAAAATTTTAATGCAATTCTTCGCATAAATTCAATTATTTTAAAAAATTGATCAATTCTTTGATTCTTTGATATTGTTTATTTTTGTGTTTAAATTGTTGAATTGCAGTTAAAGTTTCTCAATAAGAATTGATTTAAAAATGAATTTCAGTTGAAATTTTAGATATTAATTATTGAATATTAAAAGCATTATAGGTTGTAAAATTTTTTGGAAATAACTAAATTTCAAGAGATTATTAAATTGAAATCGTTGAAAATTTTAATTGTTATAAAACTGTAGTAATATTTAAATTTTTACTTTAAAAAATTATTAATTCATTTTAATATTTCCTGTGGACAATTTAAATTAAATTTTATTTAATACTTTTATTTGTTTACTTGTAAAACTTACTTTTAAATATACAATTGTATTTTTTAGGATAAAAGTTTAGAAAATTATTGATTTTTTCAAAAATTTAGAATTCAAAGTTCTCTCAGCAGGATTAGAATAAAAATAAATATTTTTGATTTGAAATCAGGAAACAAGGGAAATACTGAATCAAATTTTTGTGAATCGACTAAAACAATCTTTTTTGTATTCGTTAAAATTAATTTTCGATAGCTATTTTTTTACTACTTTTTTCATTATCAAAGATACTTTTTGATACTTTTTTAAAATTAATTTTTGAGTGTGAAGCCTGAAAGTGGTTTCCCTTCTCGAGACAAAGTTTAAATTCTTAATTTATTAAATTGTTGTTATTAATATATAATTATTATTAATTTTCTGTAATCAACAGATTTACTAGATACGAAAGTTTAATTTTCCAAAATATTGTTTTTTTTAATATTGACTAATATTAATATTAACTATTATTAGTGTATCAATTAGTACGAATTAGATTTGAATAAAATCCAATTTTTTGAAAATTACAATTTTAAATTCTCGTTTTCAGCCCCAGGTAATAAAAGAAGAAACCCCTTCAGAGGCGCATTGGGTGTGCAAAAGATGCATCGACAGTCAACCGAGACATGGAGAGCCCAAGAATTCAATGGTGAAGGCAAATATTAGAAAAGTTTGTAGTGGTCGAGATCAACCGCCACCGCCTCCAGAAGACATGACAAAGTTACCTTATGACGTAAGGAAAAGAAGAATAATAAAAAATAAAAAACCTATATAAGAAATATTTCCAAAAGTAATTTGATTTTCCTCGTTTTCCAGCCGAACATGTTGAGTTGGGACTCAAATCATCGAGTGAATGCAGAACAAATTTATTGTTATTGCGGATTAAATGGCGAGTGGTACACGCAAATGTTACAATGCGCTCGTTGTAAACAATGGTTTCATGAAAAATGCGTTAGCTGTTTAACTTATCCTCTCTACAGTGGTGACAGGTAATTTCTTCAATTATACGGAAAAATGTTTATTGCTCAAAGAAAATGTTCCAAAATAGAGAAAAATAATTTTATTAATTATTTTTAAATAGAGAAAGAAAATATTATAAACAAATTTTTCTTCCAGATTTTATGTGTTTGTTTGTTCAATGTGCAATTATGGCAAGGAATTTGTTCGACGATTAGAAATAAAATGGGTAGATTTGGTGCACCTGATGCTGTACAATCTGACTGTTTATAATGCAAAAAAATATTACGATCTTGACACCGTGATTGTTCCCTATGCGAACGACAATTGGAATACTTTACAACTGCCACCTAGAGTGAGTTTTTTAATTATTAAAATTTTCTTATTCAGCGAAAAGTGCGAGGAAAATAATCAAATTTTTATGAAATCGCTAAAATGAAGTTTTTAGGGGTCAAATTGAATTTTTGGATAAATACTTTTTACTACCTTTTTCACTATTGATGCTACTTTTTTTAAAAATTTTCTAGTGTGAAGCCTGTTATTTTTATTTATTGGTATTTTAATTTATTTATTTTCACGTTTTTCAGATTCGAGACGTTAGCCAACAGATACGTAGAGATTCGATTCTCGCGATTTTAATTAGCAATAGAAATAGGTTTAAATGTGGTAGAGAAATAAAAAAGCGGACAACAATTTGGGGACTGAGAGTGAGATTACCGCCTCCTTGTCCAGTTGTCTATCTTCCTGACACTGGGGTAATTGATGACTCTGTTCTACGTCGCTGCTGGGGTGGCAACAAAAGACTGCAATACCTTCCACCGAACACTGGGTATGTATTTTTATTTTTATCAGGGGAATCAGGGAATTTAGAAAAAATAGAATTTAATTGGGAATTCAAAATCAAAATTTTATTCTTCTTCTTCTACTTTGTTATTCAATAATTTTATTCTAAGATTGAAATTGTTTTTTAAAAATATCAATTTAATTTTACAGACCGGTATTAATGACAGAGTGTACAAAACCACTCCTGGAACTGACGCATATAAAAAAGGAAAATCTCGAAGTATCAGTAAATCCAACTGATGTACTGAGAGGCGCGATCTACCAAAATAGCGAAAGAGGACAAAGTTCTGATACAAATGTACCTAATCAATCGACCGAGGCTTTGAGAGAAAGGTGCGAATTTTCAAATTTATAAAAAGTTCTATTTTCTAAACATAGAATTTTAAAAACATAGAAACGTAAGAAAATTAAGAAAATAACCAAATAAAAAGAAAACTTATAACGAATATTTGCAAAAAAATCAAAATTTTAGTTCAAAAATTTCTCTAATACAAGTACATGGCAGAAAAATTAATATTTTCGTTCTTTTTCTTTTGAAATATTAAATTCAAACTCGCGTTTTCAATATGAAAACGCATCGACAAATTTAAAATCAAACACGTTCGAGACTGAAACATCAAGTTTCTTCAATTCTTCAATTCTGTAGGTGAGTGCGTGGATTTAAAAAAAATAGAAGTCATCTACAAAGAGAGACAATGGATAGAAATGTTAATATTCGATCGAGGTGCGAGCCCTGTGGCGGTTTTTCTATTTCATTTTTTATCTTTTCCTCTGCCTATGAAGTTCATCTTTCATCTTATGCTTAATTCTTCAAAATTAAATTCAAAACTTGAACATCAAAATCAGTTATATATTTGAATTTAGTAACTGATTTTGTAAATAATCAAAGAAATAGATTAATTAGTTGTAAAAGGAAGTAAAGTCAAGAAATAAATTTTCTATTAAATGAAATTGTTTTTGCATTCAGGTACAGCGGAGGTGGTTTCGTGAAGAAATCGTTTCCATTTCCAAAATTAAGTTTACAAAGAAGAAGACGATTGATGGCTCTGAGTAGTTCTCGGGAAAGAATGCTCCGCAAACAGAAGAAGAGAGAAAAGGAAAATTCCGAATCGAATATTAAATTGCAATGTGTACGCGAGGCGAGGTATAAAAAGGCAAGAAAACTACTTAAAAACGCTATTGCTAAGGTAAATCTTTAGAATATTTTTAATACCTAACCCTGGGGAAAATATGAACAAAAGGCCTCGGATAATACGAATTTTTTTCGATTATTTTCAAAAAATGCTACTTTTTTCGACGACTCTTTCTACTTTTCTACCACATATTGTAACAAAATATTTTACTTGTTTGATTTTTCCATAAGAAATTAAGATTTTCAAATTTAAAACCTTTTGAAATTTAATAAGTTATAAGAATTTCTAATGTAAATTCTCAAAAATTATTTTCATTTTATTTCAATTATTTTCTAGAATTTTTAAAATATAATTCGTCTCTGATTTAATTTTATTTTTAATAAGTTTTTCAAAAAGTTTCTAGAGAATTCAATTATTCAAAGAAAAAATGAAAATTCACCAAAAATAATTGTGAAAACCAATTGTTTTATAAAATTTAATTTTACAAAATTTTGATTATTTAAAAAATTTTCAATTAAACTAAATATTATAATATATTCAAAAATTCAACTAATTTAAATAAAAAATGATTAAGAAACTAACTTTTCTTTTCAAGAATTCAATTATTGTTATAAATAATAAAATTGTTCACCGAAATTCAATTATTTTTATAAATTTGAATAAAATTCATTGCAAGAATTTAATTATTTATATATAAATAATAAAATTCTTCACAGAAATCCAGCTATTTTTATAAACTTGAATAAAATTCGTTGGAAGAATTAAATTATTTTCAAAAGTAATAAAATTCTTCTCCGAAATTGAATTGTTTTTGAAAAATTTTATGGTAATTTAAATTATTACAAAACATGAAGAAGGCGATCACTCCGAGTCTGGAAATCAGGGAAAAGTCAGGAAAAAATAAAATAAAATATTTGTAGCAACCCTGTATTTAACAAGATTATTGAATTTAGAAATTGTGAAAAAATTAGTTTTTGAAAAATTTGAATTAAATTTTTTTGAAGATAATTGAATTTTTGAATGTAATTAATTGAAAAACTGTAAATTAAATAAAATTCGTTCAATTTTATTAAAAGATATTGAATATTTGGAAGAATTTTATTAAAATAATAAATTTGAAAATAGTAGAATTTTATACAAGAAGTTTGAATTGAATTTATTATCGGAATTAAGGGAAAAAGTTAACTTTTTCGTAAGTCAGGGAAATTTTTGTCACAATCCTAAAAATAAAATAAAAGACTTTTTCGATATTTCTTTTGCGTCTTAAATTCAATCCGAGGCCTGCAATTTAAAGTAAAATAATAAATTGCCGAAAAAAATATTTAAATGAATTAGTTTTCCTATAAATTTATATACATATTTTGAAACTTTAGAGTAAATCGCGAAATTGTGATGCATCGGATTTGCCGCCAACACCGCCAACATCGATCTCGGGACCGCCGACACCACCTGCGACAACTTCTGGAATATCCGAGATTTTGGTACCAAATACCGTGGAATTATTGAATCAATTACCGCCGTCAACGCCAGCAGACACGAGCGGTGACGAGACAAGTTCCCGTGGCACACTCGACTCCTTCATTCCACCTCCCAAAGATTTTGAAGGTAAAAATAATCCTTTTCGAAATCTCAGCGAATTACTCGGCACACCGTGCAACATCAATCAAGGTAATTCCAATATTTCCCTCACCTTCAATCAATGTCCGATCACACTGCCCCTGCCCCTAACGCCGGTGATATCACAACCGCCCCTAATGCGACCGGCGAAACGTCAATTATCCGAGAAGGATATAATAATCGATCGTAACGGTCAAGTGAGAAGGAGACGACAGCACCGACGTGGACGACCGCCACAACAACAACAACAGCAACAATTACAATTACAACAGCAACAACAATTTCAACAAACAGCGAGTAAAACAGCGGCAATAATACCGGCGCGCAATAGTGACGTGAAAAATGAATTTGTCCGAAATTTACGAAGTTCATTTAATGGCTCGTCGAGTAGTAGTCAAATTGGAAATTGTGTTGATTATGCGCTTAATGGAAGAAGACTGAGACAACGGCAGAGTATTGATAAATTACCGCCACCCGATCCACAGATACAGAAGAAAAATTTAGTGAATAATTCACCAACATCGCCAAAATATTCACCGGTAAAACAAAATGCCCCCGATATATCGATCGATGATCTTAAATCATCGGTGAATATTTATTTTGGCGCTGCCAATCGAATAGCGTCTGGTGAGAAATTTTTCATTAAAGCTAAACGTATTGGGCCAAATGGACAGTCACAATTTCTCATCGAATGGGAAGGACCCAACACTTAACGGATAAAGGGATATGTCTTTTAAAATTTTAACAAAAAGAAAATAACAACAGTTTCTTTTATCTCGGTATCGAATCCAAAGCCGATTGACTGATCCTCTTCTATTACAGACTCGACAGTACATCGTGGATCAAAGAATTTCGCACGCACTGTTTTTTTTTTTTATTTTTTATTAAGCTGTCTCTTTTCTTGTTATCTAGTTGTCTTTCGTGTTTATTCTATTTTTCTTTTATTTTCCTCTTATTTTTCTTTTTTTTCTTATTTATCTCTTATTCTCTTACTAGTAAATTCTAGCAAAACTCGGTATTCCATTTATTATTATTTAGCTAATTTAAAAATTTTATATTTTCAAATATAAACAACAACTTATGAATAATTTCATATTCAAAATTTAAAGACTTCACTTATTAAGTCTTACATAATTAAATATTTTTGTTTATTATTTTCAAAAATTACAATAAAATTTTTCGCAAGAATTCAATTATTCTCATAAAAAATTCTTTGGAGGAATTAAAATATTTTCATTTAAATAATAAAATACTTCAAAAAATTAAATTATTTTCGAAAATTCTGATAAAATTTTTCAAAACAATTCAATTATTATAATTTAATAATCGACACAATCTGTCCTCACGTGAAGTTAATTGTTGTTTTATTTCAATTTTTTTTGGAATTTTTAATTTGACAGTTAATTTATAAATACTTAAAATAATAAAATAAGTGGATTAAGAAAATTTAATCCTAATTTCAAAAACTCAATAAAGAGGTACAGTTGCAATTTTTAAATATAATTAATAATTATTCTATGATACAATACAATCTTTAAAATTCTAATTATTTTAAAAGTATCATAATATTGAAATATAAAAAATTATGAATTTGTTAATTTCCTTAAAAATTAAAAGTTTTGAATAATTTTATTCAAAAATTCGAAAAAAAATTGAATTTTAGAATACTTGCAGTTTAATTTTTCATGAAAGTATTTAGAAATTTTAAGCAAGTAAAAAACAATAAGTATTTTAGTATAAATTTATTTTACAAAAATGATTGAAATTTGAAAGATTTAATTTGGAAATTTTTTTAAAAAATGACATTTTTGAAAAATAGTAATTAAAATATTTTCAAGATATACTTGAATTCCCGAAAATAATTTTAAAAAATTGAAATTGGAAATTTTGTAAAATTTTATATTTTGAAGAATTTTATTTTATCATCTTTAAAAATTATCTATAAATATAATTGGATTTTTGAAAATAAATTATTCTATGAATTTACAAAAATTATTCTATTTAAATAATTGAATTCTTGTATAGTTGAATTTGGGTAGAAATTGATTTAAAAAAAATTTCAGTTAAAATTTAAAAAAATAATTGAATATTTAAAGCGTTATAACAGGAATTTTAGAAATTCATTAAATTTTAAAAGATTTTTAAATTAAATACCTTTAAACTACGAATAGATTACCGGAATACAACGATTATTAATATAAATAAAATATATAGTAGAGAAGAGATAGAGATTTTTGTCTTCATTTTTTTTTTATAATTATTTTTTTAATTAATTCTCTCCCTATAAACTATTTGTTATTCTTCTCCGAAATAATGAAACCCCCCGCCCCTCCCGTATTTTTTATTAACTGTTAAAAAATGATTTCAAAAAAATAATCTTGACATTCAATGTCGTTAATTTCGTTGCTGGCCGACGGATTTTGATTTCAAGACATTTTTTTTACAAATTTTTCGTCATAAATATAATTTTATTTTATATTATACTTTTTTTTACGTAAATATATATTTTAAATGAAAAGAAAAATCAATAATGTCATTGATTATAAAAATCGGTTGTTAAATTAAATGGAGCGCCGTCCATGTTTTTTATAATTCGAGTCCAGTATTACGAAAAAAAAATGTCGTGTTCGAATTGAGAAAAGCAACGAATTGTACAATTGAAGATTTATTCTTACAGAATGTAATAATCAAATCTGTGTAGAAAACATGAAAAATTAAATTGAAGAGGAAGATAAAGAGTGTGAAAGTGTAGTCAGGAATTGTCGGCGAAAAAAAAAGAAAAAATTCTGAATTGTATCTGATATTTAAGAATTTAATACAAAAAAAAATACTATCACTATTAGACTGAGATTTAAAATATAGACGAAAAGGAATATTACAGGTTGGCTGCTGATAAAGGAAAAATTTACACAAGTTTAAATTTTTCCTTAGAGAAAAAATATTTTTTAAATTAATAATTATAAATTATTATAAATAAATAATAATTTATTATAAATTCTGAATAATTCTGAATAATTTCAAGAATTTAATTACTAAATGCAACTTAGTTATTTTACGAAATTTATAGAATTTGTTTTGTAAAATAATTTCATGAGAAAAAGAATGTAAAAAATCGAGAAATTTGAAATGAAATAGAAAGAAAAAAAATGTCATTTAGCGGCCACCCTGGAATTGAAATTTAACTATTCCTCGGTTTTCGTGATTTATTAATAATTCAGTAACTAGCATATCGTAGAAGCTAGTTTTCATAATAAAGCAAAATGTTATTTTTCAATACGACTATATAGCGTTAATAGCTCTGACATTTTCATCTTCTCGAAATTAAAATTATTTTCCAAAAGAAATTACATTTAAAATTAAAATTAATTTGATTTCAACTTATATTTGAAAAAGAATTGAAAAAATTCCTTTATTGAAAATTGTATTTTCAAACTAATTTTTTAACAGAATAATTTTTTCAAATTATTTGCTTTGAATAAAAATATAAATAAATAAAAACACTTTGTATTTTAAAAATAATTATTTACAAACTATTTATTATTAAATTAATTAAATTAATTTAATAATTAGCAATTTAAGTATTTTTTAAAATAGAAATTAATTCAATTAATAATTTAATTTCAATAATTTAATCAATATTGTAATTAACAAAATTTGAAAATATTTTAATTGGAGAAGATGAAATATTGCAAACTGCATTGCTCACAATACAAGACTAAAAAGTTATTTACAACTATACTTATAAACTTCGATGACAATTTTAATCAGAGGCATAATATTAATAGTGGAATTGATAAAATTTCATTCAATCAACTGCAATCAGTCAATTAATAATTATTTTTTATTAAACTCAAGTTTGCAACTGGTTTAAAAAACAATTTGAAAATAAACTCGAATGTTTTAGTGTTATTGCTGTTTAGGAATTATTAATTTTAATTAGTAAACTTGAATTTAATTCCATTATTTTTAATTATTTATTCATAGTTCTTTTTAGGTCTTATTATTATTATTTATTAATCTATTTATTATTATATTACTAATTTATAAATTTACAAAAAAACAACGTTCAGTCATGAATTTTTTACTAATTGTGAAATTTTTACTTCAGTTTAATTCTATTTTTCATTTAAACTGAAATGGAAAACTTTAACTTAAACAGTTAAATTAAACTGTAAATATTTTTCAATTTGTGAAAAAAAATTTAAATCAAGTGGCAATTTTATTCAAAGAGAAGGAAAATTTGTTCTAATCAATCAATTCAAGAATTTATGAAAAATTTTGTAAAGAAAAAGTTATGAATTGTTTTTTATACTCAAACGTTGCAAACTTTGGTTAAATATATTTTTGTCCTCTGTTTATTTTTTTTATTACAATCACTATAAACTTACTAAGCCGTACAAAAAAAAAAAAAAACTCGACCACAATTGCATTTAACGTACAAATAAATACTTTAAATAACAATCTTGAATTCCTTCCGTAAAAAAGAACAATCGAAATATAATTGCCAGCACGTATTTCTTTAAAAAAACAATTTTTTTTTGTTATAAAAATAAATAACGTAAACAATTAGTTGAATCGAATTTTCGATTTTGTCCTCTTTTAGAAAATATAGTTTTTAAAAGGATATTTAATGAAAATCCTGGAAAAAATAAGTCTGCATTGTACAATATTAAAAAAAAAATTCTATATGTATTAGAAAAGGATTTTATACGTGACACGATGGTCAAAGGAGCTTATTAGAAAAATTGTCAAATAAATATTGTCGGTTTTATCCTTTGATACGTGAATTTTTACTGCTACTACTACTACTATTACTACAACTACTCTGAATCGGTTTCAGTTTTAGAAAAGAGAGCCTAAAAGAAAGAAAAAAAAAGATAACGGGAATTTTAAATGAAAACACGAGTTGAAAATCATATTAACTCGAAAGAAATAATACCGATAAAATATTAATTGGTATATATCTTCTGGAAAAAAAAAATTTATTTGATTAGTTTAAAAATACAAGAAGCTAATTGTGTTCTAATTTTTAATACTGTGGTACGGGAGATTCAGCATTCTTTCTAGAAAAAAAATTAAATTTATAGTTCTAAAAAGAAAAAAAAAAAGAAAGGAAATGATGTGATAAAGATTTTTATTCAGAGAGAAAATTCTCTCATTTTATTCTGAAAATTTAAAAGAATGTTCTGCATGAATGCATTCGAAATTTAACAATTGAAAAATATTTGTAAAAATAAAGAAATTAAGTAATTCAAAAATTAGTTAATAATTAATAATTTAATTAATTATTTCATTATTTCAATTAATTAATTTACGTAATTAAATAGATTAATTTATTTCAATTAATTAATTTAAGTAATTAAATAATTAATTTAATTTAATTAATTAAAAAAAGAAAAAAAATTTGTAATTTAATTAATTTCTTTAATTAAACTTCATTTGTTAAAATTTGTAATTATTAATTATAAAAGAATAAAGAAAAATGAATTCAGTTTTCTTGATTGAAAACTATTTTTAGTTTTAGAATTTGACGAAAAAAAAGTCGTAGCGAAACCAAAATTATCGACATAAAAAAAATTGTACGTTTTTGAAACGTCTAGGTTCTTCTTTTTATCGTAAATATATATATAAAAAAATAGTGATAAAATGCTGTTCTTTTTAGGGCCCGTATCACTAATATTTAGGTGGTATCGTCTTTCCTGAAAAGGAACTTCAAGTAATTATTTTGACGAATGTCAAAAATCGACACTGCCAAGTTGAAATGAAATTATTTGTTAGAAAAAGAAAACAATGGCAAACAAGCGAAATCGGAATTTCAAATTTACACAATATTTATTTATTTATGTACAAATAAAGTAGAAATTTAAAAATTCAATATTAAAAATCGATTTCGAAAAAAAAGAAAATAGAAAGAAAATTATTTATAATTAGGTAATTATGTGAATAGAGAAAATTTTTTTTCTACGAAAAAGAAAACAATTCAATCTTGGTAATAATTAATTTTTTTAATTATTCCATGTAAAAAGTGAGATATAAAAAAAATGTTTGCAAAATTTTACGATTGCCATTTAATTTCTAACAAATAAAATGAAATTAGAAAAGTGAAATTAGGAGGAAAAGAACTACTGCCAGTATCGTATGTAAATATTCCTTTTTTGTAAGCTATAAATAGTTATGTTATTAAAAAAAAGAAAGCATATGTTCTGTATGAATGTTATACTGGGATTCTGTAATTTTTGTGGTTGTGCGTTTCATGAGTGTGAGAAAAATGTGGGAAAAAAAAAGATTGAATGGCGCTTTAATCAAATTTCAAAAGCAAAAAGACTTTATAATCCATCGTTTACCGAATATTATAAATAAATAAATAAATATATATATATATATATATATACAATTATATATAATTATATTTGCGCTATTTGTTTATTGTGAATTTTCATTTCATCACAATGACACAAGTTATTGTTCTTATCAGTCTATATGTTCACCATAATGGTTTTTTTAACAGAAAAAAAAAATAAATTTACTGTCGTATTTATTGTCGTATAACACAATGTTTTTTATTTAACATTTAAATTTCAATTATCAAATTTTGACATTTTTCTTTGAATCTTACTAAAATCCCTTTAAAGGGACTGCTTTTCACTGATAATTTTTCGAATCTTATTTTCCGATTAAAATTACTTGACTTAGTGTCAAAACATTCCGAAAATATGGAAAAAAAATTGAAAATGTTGATTGAATTTTAATTAAAAATTCTGATTCTTGTTAAAATGGAAATTGTCGACCAAAAAGAAAAAAAATATTTAAAGCGAATGTTTCGAAAATTCTTAGAGATCTTTTTAAAGAAATAAAGGGAAAAAATTGTGAATGTTGAATCAAGAGGATAGATAAAAAAAATCATGTATATAAATTAAGTAGAATTAAATTTTACAAAAAAAAAAAAAAAATGATTTAAGTAGCACCTGTGAAATCTTGTAGTTTTTATTTTCTAATTCTTCGAGTAATATTAACTATATGAGTTGAAAAAAAAATTAATAAGCTTCAAGAATTAATGGTTTGCTTTCTTAGATGGATTTCTGTGCGTATGAAAAAAAAATCTTTGCCAAACTATCTGTGTGATAAAACTTTATAAAAGCAGCTTTACGAAATTTTCAGCTGCTATTTTTTTTCTTCTTTTATTTTCTTTCGTTAAATTAATAGAATAATATTGTAAACTCGTTACTATCTCTGTATAGAAAACAAAGACTTCTCTTCAAAAAAAATCTGAGAAGTGCAAAACTAATGGGTCTTTTACTTTTTAAACTACGATTTCATAATTCTGTCGACTTCATATTTTCATAAAACTGAAAAAATAGTTTTATTTCATTTTTTTTTTTTAATTTCTCGTCGAACTAAGAATGTATGTGCAAAAATATTATTGAGCACTTTTAGAAATAAGAATTTATTTTGCTGCCTGTATAAAAAAATAAATAAGTATTCGAAGGAGGATCATGTAGAATCGAAAAATAACTCAAATATTCTTTGTGAAAGCAAAACAGAAAGAAAAAGAAAATATAAAGCCTTTGATATTTTTCTATTTTTCAAACGCAATTGAATAGAAATAGCGAGATCAATGGGACAATTTTCTGTATTTTAGATTTTGCATTTTTTATTATAACTTTTCTCAACAAAAAGAAAAAAAAAAAGAAAAAAACCAGCTTCGCAAATAAAAATCATCAGAAAAATGTGTATGAATGTAATGACCAGATTGTTTTGCATAAGATTGAAAGAATAAAATCTAGAAAATAAATAATCTATACAGAATTTCTTGCATTTTTTTCTTCACACATTTTGTTCGATTTTCGATAATTAAGAATAAACAAAACATAATCAGATGATACGAATATATATTCATTTGATAAAACAAATTTTTATTAAGTATGTGATCATTTCAGAAAGTAAATAAAAATTTCGCGAACTATGGATTTTTTCAAAGAGATACGATAAATATAAAAAAATTGCAGGAGTTCGAAAAAAACGTAAAAATGGCCATCGTTTGCGTAAGAAAATTTTACAAACTTAATTTTCCTTTTTTGCAAGTTTTTTTTAGGCTAAAAATTTCAATTTAGAATAAATATGATTATTTTTGATAATTTCAATATAAAATATATTTGTTGTAACATTTGGAAAAAAGTCGAAAAAGTCGCTATTTTTGAAAAAAAGTCTTAATATCCGAGGCCTGTAATTTAATTTTCTTTGAATGAAATATTTTAGATTTTAACTGGGATGATTGAGTTATTGACACTCGTGACAATAACGGGAGTTTTAATTACACTATTGGCACTTTTTAATCTATTAGAATTACTCATTAGAGCCGTAAATCCAGTTTGTGTTTATTTACTTCGTCATACCGGCAATTTATTCTCGGTGAGTAAAATAAAAGAATTCTATTTTTATCAAAGAAAAAAGAAACAACATTTTTCATTTAAATATTAGAATATTAAAATTACCGAATCTCTTTTTTACAATTCCTGACAAATATTTATTTGAAATTAAAAAGGCTGGGCCAAAGAGCCCCATGCCCAGTTAATTTTCGACTCCATTTTAATTGTAGTGTTCAATCCAATTGACGATTCGGAAAATGCATCAAGTTTATCTAAAAATGTGTCCTGATGAGACGATTGAAAGTACAATTGTTGGGACAATTGAACCACTTCCTTCAGATGCAGAATTCAATTTACCGGGTTCATTAAATTTAGATGAAAATAATAACGTCGATTCTAATACTAATTCGGAAATTCCTAATATTATCACTAATAATAATTTAAACGAAACTCCTGAAAATGTAAATCCAGAGGAAATTCAAATTGACTAATAACTTCAGAAATAAATATTTTTGCAAGATTTGCAAATTGAAACGATAAAAAAAATTTCCTAACCATTTGATGAATAAGAACTTGAAATTTAGTTTTGTTATTTATTAAAAATTTAATTATAACATTAAAATTTGAATAAAAGAACCTGCCAAAGAACGACAAATTCTAAAGTTGATTTGATCCATCGTCGTCAAAAAATCCATCCTTCATTTGGAGTAATTAGCGTTTATGTAATGGAAAATAAATACCAGGAAAAAGAGAGTGACTCCAAGAATATTGGAGAATATCGCCAGCTGAACGTCCGTGATCATTCTGAATAGAAAGAGTAAAACGTCTTTAAATCTCCTTTCCAAATTAATACTAATAATAAAGCATTATATTATTTTATACTTAAAGAAGACTTTTGAAGAATTTCTTTGAATTTTTTTTAAACTAATGGAGTTTCTTTAATAATTTTAATTGAAAACTTTGAAAGCAATTGAATTTTATGAAGAAGAATTTTATTAAAATTGTATTAAAAATAATTGAATTCTTGCGAAGAATTTCACTATGTATTTATAAAAATAATTTAATTATTGTTCCGAAGAATTTATTAAAATTTTAGAAAATAAATGAATTTTATGTTAATATTCGAAAATTTAAATTCTTTCGAGGAATTCTATTAAAATTGTAAAATTTGCATAACAATAATAAATTGAATATCACGTTCCGCGCGCATAACATTTGCTAGTTTATAATAATGTTTATAATTAAATAATAATTAGAAACCATTATTTATAATAATTGCCATAATTAAATAATAATTGATATAAAATTATAATTAAATCGATTAAATCGAAACAAATAGGAATTATAGGTTAAGTATTGACTTAACCTTCAATGTTTGACAAATATTGTGAAAATTGTTGATAATTTTTAAGAAAAACACAAAAGAGAATATAAATACCTGAATATTTTTGATAAACGGGTTTCAAATGAAGATAAATGTATTAATTTTTGCTAAAAAGCAAATTTAGATGACGTGAACAATTTTATTTACGTTTTTACGTGGCTAACTGACACGACATGAAGTCAGCAGTACAACTCACCAGTGTTACCAACTATCTAAACTAAAATAATTTTCCAAAGAATCAACAACCAATCGAGTTGAACTTCCGAACAACGGGACCAATCAAATTGGAGCATTTGGACGGCGGTAGTTTGTAATTATTCGAATAATTTAAGTTAGAAACGCTAAAAAACTAATTAAAAGAAGAATTATTAAAAAACTAATTTTAGAAATCTCATAATTTTATTCTTTTTAGTTTTTTTATATTTTTGTTCGCCTTTCGATTTGATCGGTCACTTAACCTAAAAATTTTCCGCTTTTTGGATTATCAGTAAAATTGTTTAAAATTCCTAATTTAATAGTTTCGCTGTTTTGCAAAATAAAAGCAGAGAGAAAATTAATAAGAATTGAAATAGTCAGGAAAAAATTGACTTACTTGATTCAACATCCGGTTTCCAAACTTCCGGAAGGATTTTCAGTTGTTTGTTGTCTTCAGTCGTCATTTGACTTCGTTAGTACACGATGCCATCGAAAAATGATTGCTCATGACAGCGTCGCTTGAATTAAATGTAACTGTTTTTTCCAGTGTTTCTACATGATTAATTAATTTCCTCATTAATTGAGAACGGGTTATTTGTCGTGTTTCGTATCGGAAATCCAGTGAAAAAGAAGTGTTATGTGAAGAGAGTTCATTGATCGTTGTTGGCTTCCCGACAGACGCCATTTTGCCATGGCCTTTTTAATGATGCAAAAGTGCGCATTTTTGAAATAATATATTCAAAAACAAAGTTTGTGTAGAGAAAAAGTACTGTAAATTCCTGTGCATTTTTTTTGTTTCAAGCGTGAAGTTTGTTACATTAAATTTACTGGCAGTTATTTCGTATATGAAACAAGTTGATATTTGACAATTTGTTAATTGACTCGCGTAGTCGAGTTTCAGGATGGCAATATGGCTGTCAGTTTCACGCGATCAGTGAATCTTGCATCACGCTGACAGAAGCATCGCTTTCTTTCGCACATGGTTTCAAGTTTCGAGAAGAGATCTATCCCCCGCGGAGAGTCTGTTTCTGCAAAGTAAGTCGTTGGCTGTATCGTGTGAGATTATTTACCAAAAAAAAAAAAAAAAAATCAAAACAAAAATAAACATCAGGCACGACAAGCAATTGCCGAGCAATCGCCATTTTTCAATTTTTGATGGATTTTATGGTGATATATACACGTCATGAAAAAAACGTCATCAGGAGCCACGCGTAATTTTCACCACGTGTAACCACCATGTCCTATGTAATCTAGATTTATTTATTTTACTTAAATTACTCATGAGTGCATAAATGAGTTGATGTTGAAATATTTTGGAGCGTCATTATAGATTTTGCGCCTGGCTCTCAAAAATGCATTCTGGGTGAATTTGGAACTGCGGAAATGGACCTCCGTTCGCGCGGCGACGTTTGTTTTTTTATCAAAAAATTCATTTTTATGTAAAATCGTCGCTTGCGCTCACTACAGAAAAAATATTAATCTTTGATAAATATGACAAAATATTTAAGTGAAAGTTACACGTGTATATTTGCCCCTGAGAATAAAAAAAAATTGCATTGTGGGTGGAAATGGAACGATGGAATTAAACCGTTAATTTTTGGATTGGATAATGAAGCGTGATCTTGTTCTGTAAATAAAGGTGTACCGTTACTTTGCCGCGTGTCGTGCGTTTCGAAAGTGACACAATTTCTTTTGAAAGCCCTGTTTTTTTTCAAATTGTCAGACCTATTTTCACAAAATGAAAGAAGTAAATTTCCTTAGTAGTTTTAAAGAAAACAGCAGTTACCAGTTTATAAAACAAGTCAAGTAGTTTTATTGTTTTTCTTTGGTAAGTGATAGGAGATTGGAATGTTTTGTGATAATTGTTTTATTAAAGAAAAATAGTCGATAAGTGTTGATTAGTTTTTGTTTAAAAACACTTTCAACGACACGTGCTTGTTTGAAGGTTAGGACGCGATTACAACCTGCCGGTGTCAGTTATGTCCTCGACGAAACGAAACACGTCAAATTACCTCAATAGAGAAAAATGCTTTTCTTTTAGTTTTCAGTTTCAGGATTTTGTTTCTTAGCATCAATAAAGATTTATAATCTTAGTTTTGCTCTGGTTTTTATTTTTAGCTAATTATAATTATTCTTTCAGCTAGTAATTTTTGTTCTATTCAATTTTTCTTCTCGTTTGTTTCTGTCGTATTCTTTTTTAATTTAAAAAACAAATGTACTTGACAAAATAGTAATTTTTTCAAAAAATCAGCTACTGAAATGTCAAAATTTTGAGGTTGTTTTATTTTCTATAACGAATTGTTTTTGGAAAATTCTTTTTGCAAATTGATTAATAAAGATAAAAATAGATAAAATAAACTTATTTTCCTTTATTATTCCTGTTGTGTATCATTTAAAGTTCCTTAAATTAAAGGTAGTTATTCTTTTGGAGAAAATCGGGGAAATTTTCGCGGGATAATTTAAATGTAAATTTAGATACTCGGGTTCTTCCGCTAATTCTCGACTTGTCATTGGATAAAGTGGTGGGGTTTTCCGGAAGAGTGATATGTCGAGGGGAAAGGGGTAGGTGGCGGTAGTCTGGGCAGTGTCGTCAGACAGAAACATCGGAACAGGACTATTCTGGACGTCGTGAGGGGAATGCGTAGCCATTGTTGCTGCTGCTATCCTTCTAGCATTTTTATATTAAATAGCGATGCTCGCTCAAAGTTGATTATACAACGTAAGATTTTTAGAAAATGTCATCCTCGTGTGTTCATTAATATTGAGTACGTGTTGTAGTTGGAACTAGTGACATTTGTGAACGTGTTTTTCTTGTTGATCGTCAGGGACGTTGAGTGTCGAGTCCGCGTCTGTGGCGTTGGTTGTTGGATCGCGTGTGCTAGAAGTTGAGACAAGCAGCGCTCGCGCTCACGCGCGAGGGAGTGAGAGTGAGTGAAGTGAGCGACACGGTGGGGCACTTTCAGTGGCGGCCATAACACCAAGTCGACCAACTAAACTAGCGAACAGGGAGAAAGCGTAGCGCGAGTGTTTCGAGGCGTAGTGGTAGTGTTTTCCAACTGAATTTCCCTGAAAAAAGGACTCCGAGAGATCAGGTAGGTCCTCGTGGGTGTTGTAGGGCAAAACGAGCTCGAGTTGTGTCAAGAATCATGTGTGATAGATGCGAAAGCGACGTATAAGTCACCGATATCGGAGCGGGCCCTTGGGAGCTTTCTTTCTTGAGCGGTCGAACCGCCATGTTGAATGAAACCTACGCCAAATCGAGCGGCCGAGGTGTTGTACCCGATTTCCTTGACTCCAACCTGTATCTAAAGTGAAAAAATCCATCTTGAAATCGTCCTCGGGAGAAATGTTGCTCTCAACACGCCGTCCACGGCGTTTGTTGTGCGTTGAAAGCATCGGTTGGGCGCGGGTCCACTAACACGTATCTTTCCCCCTCACCCATCCTCCTACTGCTCCGCCACTTCTGTCGTCTTTTGCCTCCTCCACCGTTACACTTTTCATTCTCTTATACCAACTACTTTCTTTCTCCACTTTCCCAACATCCTTCTCAATCATTTTGCTCCAATTTACGCACAAAATGCCTGACAATTCTGCTCTCAAGTGTCCTCTCTGATCTCTAGCTCTGATATCTGTCGCTGGCACGCATGCATTCATCCTCTACGTTCACGTAGCGTTTCTTCTATAATTTCGAGCTTTTTTTTCGTCTCACAATTTTCGTTTTTATTCAAAATTTTTTGCTCGATTTTTCATTCCATTTCGGTTTGAAAATTCCGTTCTAGATTTATCTTTTTTGTTATCGGTTGGGGTTTTTTTTTGGGAATTTCACGTTATATCTATATTGAAAAAAAAGAGAGAGAAAGAGATAGGTTGCTTTAAAGTAGCACGACACAAAAACGGTCGAGATATTATTTCTACCTTTACATATTGTACGAAAAATTTCATGCTTTTTTATTTTTTAGGTCTAAATCGTTGATTTTCATTCAGAAATTTTTGTGCATGATGAAAATAGTCAATTTACTTGGATCTTATGATGTGAAACGTTTTTATGATAATTTTGAGAATATCCATAGAAAGTGTCAGAAAAGAAAAAATTAAATGCTGTCCATTGGAATAATTATCAGAAATTCATCTTTTCACTGAGAAAAAAAAATAATTAAGACACAATAGAAACCATTCGAATTCAATTTTAACTACATTGCATTCAATAGAGAATTTGAATTCTATACAATTTATTCTTAATTGGTTTTTAATTTACTTTTCTAAAATGGTATTTAATTACTTTATAATGAATAGTAATTTACAAAGTATAGAATTCGCCCAAAAAATATTGCACAGAATTTGTTAAATATTGTTTCCTTGAAAAATAGTGCTAATGGTACCAAAATTAAATTGGTACATTTTTCTTGATGACAAATGTGATATTCTTAAAAGGTCACAGCATCATCGTTTTTTAATTCTTGAAAATAATATTATTATGAAATATTTTTGGAATATTTATTGGAGTAAAAATTATTCTCTTTGAAAATGCTGTTTTTTATTTAAAATTATGATATTCAATGGTTGCTCATTAATTTTCGTTCTATGTTCAATGTGTAAGGTGTAAATGTAAAATTGAAAAAATGAATTTCTGATTCTCATGGGAAATTAATGGTACCTTTTAAATCCACTTGGAGCGCTGCCTCTGCTCTGCAAATTTGGCGGGTCATTTAAATTATCTTTTCGAAAAAAATATTCAACACGATTCTTTTTTACAACATAGAGAACACAAACTTTTATCAGAGCAAATCGTCTAATTTGAACAAAAATTGTTTACATTCTTGAAAAAAGTATTTTTAAATATTTCTTTAAATTTGTCATTTTGTTTACAGAATTCGATTTTGATTATATAATTGACTTTTGTATTTTTTAATTCTGTAATTTTTTGTATTTTAAATTCTGTAATTTTTGCCCTTAATTTTAATTCATAATTTTTTGTATTTTAAATTCTGTCATTTTTGTCCCTAATTTTAATTCGTAATTTTTTGTATTTTAAATTCTGTAATTTCTTGTTTTTTAAATTCTGTAATTTTTGTCCGTAATTTAAATTCTGTAATTTTTGTCCGCAATTTTAAATTCTGTAATTTTTGTCTATTTTTAATTTGTAATTTTTGTTTGTATTTTAAATTCTGTAATTTTTGTACTTTTAATTCTATTTCTAAACAGTTTTGTGTAATTACCAAAAAAAAAAACAATTTGCAAAAAGAATGCTTTTAATAATGAAATAAATTTCTATGATTACTTTTTTTCCAGTTGAATTTTATTTTTTTCTTGTAAAAGTATAAATTGTTCTTAGTCAGTCTATATGTACATTTTTTTGGTATAAGAAGGATTCATAATTATTTTGAAAGGTTTTGAAATTCAAATAGAAATAATTTCCATGAAAGGAAAACTGGAAACATTGATTATTTATGTCTATTGTGAAATCATCCCTTCTCGAAAAGGTTTCTTTCATAATAATCCTTGAATTTAAATATAGGGGCGCCCTTCACGTATCTTTTATAAATTTAAATCTTCCAAAGATACGAATTTTCAATTAAAGAGCATAAATTAATTGTGTTACTTTTAATTTCAATTTTTCTATTCAATTCAATTTCCAATTTTCTATTCGATTCAATTTTTAATTTTCTATTTAATTCAAATTCAATTTTTCTATTAAATTCAATTTTAATTTAATTTCCATTCAATTTCAATTTAATTTCAAATTCAATTTCAATTCAATTTTAATTTCATTTTTAATGATCCACAAGTTTTGAACTTTAAAATGAACGAAATAATTTTTATTCAAAATATTTTTATAATTACCGATTGCAACAAAAGTTAAGAATTTAAATTTTACGTTTAGAAACTTTATAATTAATTTTTTTGATAGTGGAGAAAAATTATTACAATAAAAATTTAATTTGAAGAAGAAATAAATGAATTTCGTTCATTTGAACGTTCAGAACTTTAGGATAATAATTTTTACTTATAATATTTGTCGAAAAAAAAGTTTTGTTATTTTACCCAAAAATTTGGTTTTTTAGGTAAAATTACAAAACTTAAAAAATAAAAAAATGACCAAAAGGGGGAAATTTTTATTTCGAAAAGAAAAAAGCGAGAAAAAGGATAAAAACGAGAAGAAATTTTGTTTTTTAGTAATTTTTGAATAAAATTAGATTTAAAAAAGTTAAATGAAAAAATTGAGAAGAAAAATATGAGAAAAAAATATTCTGTTATTCAGATGTTGCTAGTATCGCGAGACTTGGTTGGCGGCACGGCGAATTACCAGAGAACGCAGGGCTGACATTCGAGCAACTACCATTTGGTAGGCTTGAGTAGTGTTATGTCTCCTCAGCATCGATCTCCCTGGTCACAACCGAATCGTCTTGGCAAGCAATTAGAGAGCTGCAATGCTCAATTCAAAGTATACCCTTGCCAACTCAATTGTTGATGAAGACTCGTAGCATCAATCATCGAAGTAAAGCAGTTACCTGCTACAAAGCATTTATGTACCATACATGTCGGAAAGGTAGGTGTAAGTTCGCGGCTTAGGTCACAAACAAACTCCAATCTCTTATAATCACTCCATGAATTTTTATTATCCAATCCAATATTTTTAAAAAAAACCAAAAAAATACAATAATTTCCCCCCACGACTCGCCATTCCACCCCGCCAAAAAGAACAGTAATTATATTTTCTCCTTAATAATCAATTTTTGTTTCTCACCTGTTTTTATTTTTGTTACAGAAAAGAAACCAAGATGCAGCAGGTGGACACGATCTCGCAAAATAACTCTGTGAGTATCGATTCGTTAATCGATAGAATTGTTTTCTTATTCTCTTGTCAATCATCGAATGCAGCTTTACTAATTATCGACTAATTTTACTAACTTATTATTATTGAAAACAACAAAATTTGTCGTCTTTGTCTATGAGGAGATTGTTCGTTCTAAATGTCTCGTTTTCTAATTAAAATCACGAACAAAAATTATGGAGACGGATTTTATTTACTAAAAAAAAAGATTCAATGAAGAAAACTAGAAAAAAATGTAGAAAAAAAGAAAAGAATAGAAATTCGTAATTTGTAAAATATTCAAAATCCGTTTCGAACGAAAATGATGGACATTTCATTTACTTTGAGAAAAATTGTTAGTTTAAATTTTTATGTGAGGAATAATTTAGGAAAATATTTAGAAAATGTACAAATGATAGAAATTCATGTTTGAATTGAAATTCGAACGAAAATTATAGAGACAGGGATTTTCTTTACTTTAAGAATTTATTAGTTTTAAATTTTTATTTGAAGAAAAATTTAGCAAAAAAATGTAGAAAATGTAGAAAAAAAGAAAAAGATAGAAATTCGTAATGATTGAATTAAAATCCGAATAAAAAAAATTGATAGTTTGAATTTTTATGTGAAGAAAACTGTAGAAAATTGTATAAAAAACGGAACGGATAAAAAATCGTAGTGTTTTGATTAAAATTCGAACGAAAATGATAAACAGGAATTTTATTTATTTAAAGAAAGATTATTAGTTTGAATTTTTATGCGTAGAAAAATTTGTTTGGATTTTTATGTGAAGAAATATTAGTTTTAATTTTTATGTGAAGAAATATTAGTTTTAATTTTTATTCGAGGAAAAATTAGTTTCAATTTTTATTCGAAGATTAATTAATTTCAATTTTTAAGTGACGAAAAATTTGGAATAAGAAAAAAGGCTAGAAATTTTGCTGCTACCTTTGCAATTTTGACAATGTTAATTTCTTCATTTTATTGCTCTTGAGACATAAAAATATATTGTTTTGACTGAAGAGTATGTATGAATTACAGTTAGATGTGGAGGAGCGAGAAAGGCTGTGTAATATACCGAAGGTGAGATTTCTTGAAAAGTGATTTATCTGTGAGATAATTCTAGTTGCTTTTGAGCGAGAGTAGTTTTTCTTAATTGGTAGCTTTCAGTTTTTATTGACATTAAAATGCTGGGTAAAGACATATATTATCTATTTTGGAAATTAATTTGTAGAAAGAACATTATAGTTCACAGTTATTAATCAGATTATTTTCCTATTTTTTATTTACATAATTTACAAATTTCTAATTTTGTTACGAATTTCAGTTTTGCAGAATTTTTTTTCTAATTATCTCATTACTCGATATTTTATTTTTGTATTGTTTTTATTGTATTAAAATTTTATTTGAACAAAGATGATGATTCTGCATGTGTTATAAAATTCTTTATACAAAATGTGTTTATAATGGATAATATGTTTCATTTTTGGTGTAGTGTTTCTATTCAGTAATTTGTTAATTAACACAAGCAGCCTGATTCGCTCGTTGCATGAATTTAAGGGAAAGGTTTATTAAAACAGTGGGAAATTAACCAGAAAACCTCAAGTACTACTAATATTACTCTTCTTTACTAACAGAAAATTTTCGGTTTCATGAGAATAGAACAATGTGTTTAATTACTTTCAGTTGTGTATTTTTTTCATCTCTAGAAAAATTTTATTCGATATTTATCTAAAGAATTATATTTATTTGATTTCTTTTTATTTATTAATGTTCAATTTTAATTCGTTCAGTTCATTAAATTCAATTTATTGAATTTAGTTCATTAAATTCAATTTACTAAATTCAGTTCATTAAATTTTATTTATTAAATTCAATTTGTTAAATTTAATTAAATTAAAATTAAAAATACTGAAAATTAAAGTTTTTGAATTAAAATCAAATTTTATTTAATAAGATTTCAAAGGATGTTGCAGTTAAAAAGTAAATTCATGTAGTAGCGCTAAAGTATTTTCCTGAGAGAAATAATTAATGGATCAGATTGAAATATTTGTTTGTTCGATTTGAAATTAATGGATCAGAGTAAAATATTTTTTCTCAGTGATTTGAAAATTAAGGATCGGATTAAATTATTTTTTGTTAAAATTAGAAAATAATGGATCGGATTTAAAGTACTTTTTGTTGGTGATTAATATCATTTTTCTGTACTAATTTTCTTTGTACATATTTAGCTTTCGAAAAAAAAAGAAAAACAAAAGAGAGAAAAAGTAGTTTGAAAAATTGACTTGGTGAATGTTTTCGCAATTTTTTGATGAAATAATAAATCGTGTAGACGAGTGCACCTGGTAAAGCGTCGGCAACACCGGCTGCTCCACCTCGGGAACCACCTCCACGAGAAGAGCCGCCTGTGGAACCAGTGAACGGAATTGTTCAACCGCCCGTTGTAGCGCCTCCCAATCGACCGGGTCGCAATACCAATCAGATACATTATCTTTCGAAAGGTGTTTTCAAAGCAGTATGGAAGCATCAATTTGCTTGGCCGTTTCAGCAGCCAGTCGATGCGAAAAAGCTCAATTTACCAGTAAGTATCTTTTGGAATTTTTTTAAATTACCGTAAATTTGCTATTTTCATATTTGCTTCTTGTTTTAATTTTAATTTATTTATTTCGTTACATTAAAAGTGAGATTGAAAGCGTTAACGTTAAATTGAACGTTAACGTTCATAACGTTCAATTTATTAACAATTAGTAGAGATAAACTTGAATTTGTAATTTTAATTCACAATTTTTTGTTTCTTTTAAACAGGACTATCACAAAATTATCAAGCAGCCGATGGATTTGGGTACAATCAAAAAACGTTTAGAGAATTTCTATTACTGGAGCGCCAAAGAATGCATTCAAGATTTCAATACAATGTTCACCAATTGTTACGTTTACAACAAACCAGGCGAGGATGTTGTGGTTATGGCGCAAGCTCTCGAAAAGTTGTTCCTAACGAAGGTAATATAAATTTCTTTTTATTAAAGAAACTGTAGAATTATAACAGGGATCACAGACTCATCTTTTTACCTTTTTTTTTTAAATTTTGGCTTCTATTAAACCTATTTTTTTAATTTTCACCTATTTGATCTATTTTGTAAACTTTTATAATATTTTCCATCAAAAGTAGTCTTTACAAATTTTTAATTAATTTCTTTCTCAACAAATTTAAAATTCTAAATTGTTGAAACTTTCATCGATCAAAAAAGTTTATAGATCTTCATTAATTTCATCTATTAAATTCTTAGTTGACTCTAAATTTAAATCGTGAAAATTTTTAATCTCTTGAATTCTGTAATTAATCTTTTTTTTAATTAAGCTCAAATTAAGTTGATCTGATTTTCAATTTTTCCAAATTTTAATCAATTTCTAATTCAATCATTAAAAATTCAATTTTTAATTCAATTCCATTTAAATAGAAAGGTAAAACGTTAAGATTTTGAATTGAAAAACGTAAAAAAGAATTGAAGATTTTAATCTTCAAAAAATTAAATTTCTGACAAAAAATAAATAAACAAAAATGTTTTGAATTCAAAATCATAATTTAATTTGCAAATTTTATATAACATTCCAAAAAACATAAAATAGGTAGTTACTTATAAATTATTCTAGAAAAACTAATTTTTATAAGTTCAAAATGCAGTTATTGTTATTTATTTTATAGGAAAAAGCGTATTTTTTCATTTTAATGTTTTGTTTAAAAAAAATGTTGCAATTTTTATAACTTTTAAATTTTTCAATCAGTAATAATTTAATGATTGCTTTAAATTTTTGATAATTATATTCTTTAGGGAAATGTAATTAAAATTGCATTTAAAATAATTGAATTCTTATAAAGAACTGCATTACAATTTTAGAAAATAATTGTATTGTTTAGAGAAATTTTATAAAACGTGTATTGAAAATAATTTAAATCTTCCAAAAATTTTTATTACAATTTATGAAAATAATTACATTTCTACGAAGAATATCATTGTTTATGAAGTGAAAAAAAAACGTTTGAAAAAAAATTAAATTTCTAGAAAGAATTTTAATATATATATAGAGATAGTTGAATTTTTCCCAGAACTTTTACTCAAATTTTTTAAATTAATTTCAATTCTTCGAAGAATTTAATTATAGTTTAAAAAAAATTGAATCTTCTAAAATTCTATTAAAATTTTTGAAAATAATTACAGTTCTGCGAGGGATTTTTATTGTTTATGAAAATAATTGAATTCTTGATAAGAATTTTATTCAATCTTTTGCCATTTTTTTGAAATTCTGTGAAAAAATTGTATAGTTTATGAAAATAATTGAATTCGTAGGAAGAACCTTTGAAAATTTTTATTTAAAAATTATTGACCTTCTGTGAAGAATTTTATTATTTTTGAAAGTAATTGAATTTCTGCAAAGAATCCTATATTAAAATTTCTTGAAAATAATTAATTTCTCCAAAGAAATTTAATTCAAATTCTACTGAAAATAATGTAATTCTTATAAAAAATTTTATACAAATTTTTGAATAGAATTTAATTTTGTCGAAAAAATTTTATTATTAATAAAGATAATTGAATTCTTGACATATATTTCATTACAATTTTTAAAAATAAATTAATTCTTAGCAAAAATGTTATTAAAATTGATCAAAATAATTGAATTCTTGCAAAAAGTTTCGTTATTTATGAAAATAATTGAATTCTTGCGGAAAATTTTGTTTTTTATGAAAATAATTGAATTTTTTTTGTTAATAGAGATAATTTAGTTCTTACCAAGAATTTTATTACAAATTTTTAAAAAAATTGAATTTTTGCAAACAATTTTATTAAAATTTATAAAAAAAAAATAAATATTTGTGACAACCCTGAAGAATTTTATTAAAACGTTTGGAAGTAAAAAATTATTAATTATAGTTAATTGTATTTATAATTATTTTTTTTGTCACCTATTTTGAAAAAATAATTCATCTTTTAATTTATTTTTAATGGAAAAATATACTGTGATCCTTGTCGCATTAAAACTGCATAACTTGCAAGTATAATTAAATTGATGTAGTAAAAATTGAAATGAAATATTTTCGTAGGTGTCGCATATGCCAAAAGATGAGGTGGAACTTGATCCACCCGCTCCAAAGGGGCCAAAGGGCAAGAAACCTGGTAGAGTTGGCGCGCCACAGACTGGCGCTGTACCATCAGCAACTGGTGGTCCAGGTCGCGGGCGACCGTCGTCTGGAGCGTCTGCCGTCACGTCCAGTGTTCCAAATAATATGGCACCAACGTCAACAACTGCTGGAACAACAGGTGTTATGCCAATGCCACCACTTGGCACTCAGGCGCCAGTTTCCGTACCTGGAAGCACTAATACGACAACAATTGCACCACCATCGAGTTTAGGTGTCACATCAATGGCAACACATAACTCATTACCGCAACAAGTTGTCCCACCAACGACAGGTTATCATGCGCAACCAGCAATGGACCCACAAACGCCAACTCCCGTACCCCCATCGACACAAATTCCCACCGCACCCCCCGTGATGCCACCCTCGCAGCCTGCCAAAGTCAAGAAAGGCGTGAAAAGAAAAGCTGATACCACAACACCCACCGCTAATTCATTCGATCCCATTTACAATCCCCTCGAACCCAAGAATGCCAAAATCCCTGCGAGACGAGAATCAGGCAGACAAATCAAGAAGGTATGTTTTTTTTCTATTTTTTAAATTCCTTTTTTGTCAAAGTTCAAAAATTTCTCTGTAATTGTTTCACTTGGATTATAAACTCTTTTCTATGGTGAAGAAATTTCAGGTTCAAAAATCACGCGTTTTTTTTATTTTTTTTAACGACATGTGAATCATTAATCAATCACACTCATTGTTATTCTTTTAATTTTTAATTTATTATTTACTTAAATCAGCACTTATAGCTAAATTATTATTTGTTTTTTCATAAATTATTATTCTCCCCTTCTTTCTATAAATTTATTTATTTATCAGCAGGGTGGCCACATGTCAGTAAAGTCAGAGAAACAAAATTTGCGTCAGTAAAGTCAGGAAAAAAATTTTTATTCAGGGAATTTAAGAAAATTGAGACTTTTTTCGACTTATTTAAAAAAAATTGCGTCTTTTTCGACTTTTTTCCAAACATTGCAACAAAATACCACAATTTTTAGTAGAAAAAATGAAACTTATTTTTATTTTTATAATGCGAAAAATGACTATAAACAAATTTTTCAAAAATTGTTTTTGAATTATTTTTTAACATAATTAAATTTTTCAAATATATTTCATTAAAAAAATTAATTTGTTTTTTTTTAATTACACAAAAATTCTTTTGAGAAATTCAATTATTTTCGAAAAATTACATTAAAATATTTTGAAAAACTAATTATTAGAATTGTTTTATAATAATTTTTTACAGATTCAATTATCTTCGAACAATATAAATAAAAAGTTATGAAAATTTACTTTTTTGACTTATAAAAATTTATGAGAAATCATGGTCTTGTTTATAATAAAAATTCTTTAAAAAATTGATTATTTTTATTTATATTTTTCAAAAATTCAATTATTTTTAAAAAATTTTACCAAATTTTAATTGTTTGAAAATTTTTCAACTTTCAAAAATTATTTTAAAATATAATTGAATTCTAGAAGAATTTGTGGAAAATTATTTAAATTAATTGATTTAGAGATGAATTTTAGTTAATTAGATTTTTTTGAAATTTTTGAAAATAATTAAATTTTTTCGAAGATTTTTATTGTTTATGAAGATAATTGAATTTTTGAGAAGAATTTTGTTCTTTATGAAAATAATTGAATTCTTGCGAAGAATTTTGTTATTTATGCAGATAATTGTATTCTTGCCAAGAATTTTATTAAAATCTTTGAAAATAATCGAATTTGTGGGAAGAATTATATTATTTACGAAAATAATTGAATTCCTGAGAAGAATTTTATTGTTTATGAAAATAATTGAATTCTTGACAAGAATTTTATTAACATTTTTGAAAATAATCGAATTTGTGGAAGGATTTAATTATTTATGAAAATAATTGAATTTTTTCGAAGAAAAACGAGAGAAGTTTGACAGAATAATTTTATTTTTAAAATTAGTAGACGTCTTGAATGTTTTAAATCAAATTTTTGCTTCGAAATATTATCTTTTTTTTTATAAAAAGACATTTTTTATTTAGATCCCTTTGAATGTTTCTTTTTCTTAGGAATCTGGAATAAAGTCAAAATTTTATCTGGAAGTCAGGAAAAAGTCAATTTTAATTTTTGTGGCAACCCTGATTATGTCCTTTTTTTCAAATAAATAATTACAGTAATATTGTAATTTGTTAAAAGATTGTAAGGATCTTTTCTTTGAAGTTGATTATTTTTTATCCTTTTTTTCAAATAAATTTATGTTACTTTTATTTTTCTTTAATAAATAAAGTATAATCATTGTACTTTTAATAAAATACAGTCACTGTACTTTTAATAAAATTCAGTAATTGTACTTATAATAAAATACACTCACTGTACTTTTATTAAAATACAGTGACATTGTAAATTCTTAAAAAAAAAAAACAAAAATTGTAGGATTCAGTTTTACTTTATTTGCTTATTTATTTTTTGTGTTTAAAATTTATTTTCTTGTTCTCCTTTAGTTAATGAGAGAAGAAAAAATTGCAAGTGGAACACACGAGTTTAGTGCATCTTTGATCATTTTGTTAAAAAAAAAGTTATATCGCCTAAAGTCTGATCTTTGTGTTTGCATGTGTTAAATCATGTTAAATCATACATTAAAGTACTAACAGAGGGTTAATGATGGGGCTGTTTCAGCCAACGAGGCAAGCTGACGATGGCCTGGTGCCGTACCATCAGGCTAGTATGCCAATGATGGCTGCTATGGCACAACAGGTACAAAAATTCATTTTTTTCAATCACTTTCGTTTCATTTGTGACGTCTTCAATTATCTTTACTCAAAAAAAATTAGGACAAACAAAACGTTTTATTACAAAAGTTTATTAAAAATTGATATAAATTGTTTAGTATTTAAATTAATACTTTATTTTTAGATCCGAGAATATCGTTTTCTCTAGTTTTTTATAAAGTATTTTATTTTTTAGATCTGAGAATATCGTTTTTTTAATGAGATTTTTTAGAAATTTTACTTTTCAAGTTTCACTGTATTAATAAAAAATTTTATTTATAGCAACCTCCACATCCTGGCGGTAAGACAAAGGAGAAACTCTCAGAAGCTTTGAAATCGTGTAATGACATTCTCAAGGAACTGTTCTCCAAGAAACATTCGGTAATTATCAATTTATCACTGAAGACATTAAATTTAAGTTTATTAATTTAATTATTCATTTTTATTCAATAAATTCAACAATTTAATGGTGATTTAAATTTTGTTTTCAGGGTTATGCGTGGCCTTTTTATAAGCCAGTGGACGCTGATCTTTTGGGTCTTCACGATTATCATGAGATCATCAGGAAACCAATGGATCTTGGTACAGTGAAGGTGTGTATTTTATTCTAAAAACTCTTGTGTAATTTGTAGCTATATTAAAAATTGAAAACATTTATTTCTATATTTAGAAAAAGTATTGATTCGTTTAGAAAAAATATTCATTTTTCTAGAAAAAGTATTGATTTGTTTAGAAAAAAAATATTCATTTTTCTAGAAAATGTATTAATAAATTCGGTTAGAAAATGTATTAATTCGTTTAGAAAAAATATTCGTTCGGTTAGAAATAATATTCCTTTGTTTAGAAAAAATATTCGTTTGTTTAAAAATAATATTTTTTCTTTGTTTAGAGAAAATTTTCGTTTGTTTAGAAATAATATTCCTTTGTTTAGAAAAAATATTCATTTGTCTAGAAAAAGTATTCATTTGATTAGGGAAAATATTCATTTGTCTAGAAAAAGTATTCGTTTGATTAGAGAAAATATTCATTTGATTAGAGAAAATATTCATTTGTAGAGAAAAAAAATTGCAGTCTTTTTCGAAATTAAAAAATGAATTTTCCTTTCAGACGAAAATGGACAGTCGAGAGTATAAAACAGCTCAAGAATTCGCCAGCGATGTGCGACTTATATTCACCAATTGCTATAAGTACAATCCACCGGATCATGATGTCGTCGCAATGGCGAGAAAATTACAAGACGTTTTTGAAATGAGGTACGCTAAAATACCCGACGAACCATCGGGCACTGTTGTTGGAATAAAGGGCAGCAGTACAAGTGGCAGCAGTTCAGCGTCTGAAAGTGATAGCGAGAGTGAAGACTCCGAGGAGGAATTCCAACGCTCTCAGAAGCTTGTTGCCTTACAGCAGAAGGTAATTTTCCATCATCTCCAATTTCAAAACAAACACATTCTCAAATTTCAATTTTTCAATTTACAATTCTTTTTTTAACATTTTCAAAGAAATTAAAAGCTCTGAATTTAATGATTGAAACTATTTTGAATCTAAAAACTAGAAAGAATTTTTTAAAATCATATTAATTTAGAATAAGTTAAATTATAAACCTTTGAAGAATTTAATGATTTTTAATGAAATGAAACGATTTTTAATCTACAAAGAAAAAAGAAGTTTTTAAAATCAAATTAATTTAGAAAAAGTTAAATTATAAATCTTTGAAGAATTAAATGATTGAAATGATTTTGAATCGAAAAAAGAAAAAACCCAGGGTTGCTACGCAATCTGGAAAAATGGAAAACCTGGAAATGTCAGGGAATTTTATAAACCTTGAAAAGTCAGGGAATTTTTATCGAAATCCTGGAAAATTGTTTTCTAAAGTTATTGTGTTTATTCTTGAAATAGAATTTTACTTAAATATTTCAAAATTAATTCAATTTTACAAGAGTTGCGTTTACAATTTTCGTAAGTAGATGAACTTTAAAAGATTTTGATTTAAATTTGTAAAATTTCAATTTTAAATGAATTTAATAAGAAATATAAAAAAACTTAGTTTTAAAAAATTTTTAAACTAAAATTCTTCATAAATTAGTTAAATCTTTTAATGTATATTTAACTGATTATTAAAAATAATGGATTTATAGAAGAATTTGAGTTAAAAACACTAAAACAAATTGAATTTTGAAGCAATTACAAATGATTGCAGAAATTCAATTATTTTCAAAAGTAGTAAAATTCTTCTCAGAAATCCAATTATTTTCAAAAATTCTACGCAAGCATTTAATTATTTTCATATATTATTTAATTATTTTCATGAATAATAACATTTTTTACAGGTATTCAATTATTTTCATAAATAATAAATCTCAATGCTGAATTTCAATTATTTTTAATAAAATTTTAATGGAATTCCTCGGAAAAAGTTTTTATTCTTAAAAATTTTATTAAAATTTATAACAGAAATTTAATTATTTTAATAACTTTTGCTACAATTTATTTATTAGAATTTAAGTATTATTTTCAATAAATTATTAATTAAATTTCTATACTGAATAAAATTATTTTCAAAAATTTTAGTGTAGTTCTTTGCGTAACAATTCAATTTTTTTCAAAATAATTTTAATAAAATTCTTTGCAGAAATCCAATTATGTTTAAAAATTTACAAAATTTCAATTATCTTTATAAATAATAAAAATTTTCTCCGAAATTCAATTATTTTCAAAAATTCTAATAAAATCGTTAGCAAGAATTCAATTATTTCCATAAATTATAAAATTCTTCTCAGAAATTCAATTATTTTTGAAAATTTTAATAAAATTCTTTGCAACTATTCAATTAATTTTATAAATAATAAAATTCATCGCAGGATTTCAAGTCTTTTAAATACAATTTTACAGGAATTATTCAAAAAATGTAATTATTATTAAAAATTTAACTTCAATTCCTCGAAAAAATCAATTATTTACAAAAGTACTAGAAATTTTCACAGGATTTTAATTACTTTCAAATATTTTAATAAAATTGTTCCAAAGAAATGAATTATTTTAAATACAATTTTAATTAAATTTTTTTGAATAATAGAATTATTCTTTTAGATTTTAATAAAATTCTTCCCAAGAATTCAATTATTTACATAAATAATTCTTCGAAAGAATTCAATTATTAAAGATAAATAACAAAATTATTCCCGAAAATTCAATTCTTTTCAGGCATTTTAATAAAATTCTTTGCAAAATTCAATTATATTTTCATAAATAACAATATATTCATCACAAGAATTCAATTATTTTTAAAAGTAATAAATTTCTTCTTGGAAATCTAATTATGTTTAAAAATTTCCAAAAAATTTCGTCAAAATTTCAATTATCTTTATAAATAATAACATTTTTTTCCGAAATTCAATTATTTTCAAAACTTTTAATAAAATTCTTGGCAGAATTTCAATTATTTTTTATACAATTTTCATTAAATTTCTCGAAAAATGCAATTATTCTTGAAAATTTTATTAAAATTTGTCAAGAGAATTCAATTATTTAAAAATTTGTTGATAAAATTCTTTATGAAAATTCAATTTTAAGAAACTTTTAATTGTTTAATAAAATATTTATTTTTATAGTTAAATAATTGAATTCTCGTAGAATTTTCTAATAAATATTGATTTAAAAATGAATTTCAAATTAAAATATTTTGGAATAAAAAATTAAAATATATCTTGGAATATTCGAAATTTTCATAATTTTAATTAAGAATTCTATAGAATTAATTTTTCTCAATAAGTTTAGTGGAATTTTTTTTAATTAATTGAAGTTTTTAATTTCTAATATATTTAATTAAAGAATTTCAGAATAATCGAAATTTTGTAAAATTAAATTGTGAACAAAAGAATTTGAAAATTCACCAAGAACTTTTTAAAAAATTGAAAAAAGAAATTGACTTGAAGAAGAATGTTAGTTGAAAATTCTAGAAATGAATAATCGTAATGATGAAAATAATTTTTGATGAAGTTACAGTAACAAAGTAGCAAGTTTTAATTATTATAAAACATGAAGAAAGCGATCACTCCGAGTCGAGGATTCGGAGTGATTGATATCTTCATGTTTTATAATAATATTCTTATATGTTATTGAATTTCAAATTTTTGAATATCTTAATTTCTATAAAAAAAATGATTTAATATTTATTTGAAAATGATTTAATTAAAAATGAAATGATGTTTTTGAATAATTTTCGTTTTAAAAACCTGGAAAAATTAAGTTTTTGACGTGGAAAATATGTAAAAGTCAGGGAATTTGAAAAGAGCAAAAGCGTGGCAACCCTGAAACCAATTTTCGAGAAAATAGAAAAAATAATAGATTAAATTTTATTTAATGTAAATTTTAATTATTTACAGTTGAAAGCCGTACAGGAACAGGTAAGAATGCTGGCGGAGGAATCGACGAAAAAGAAGAAGGGAAAGAAGAAGAAATCGGATAAGCCAAAATCAAAGCCAATGAGTAATAAAACGCCAAATCTCATTGGCAGTCACAGTGGTGCCATGAAAGAATTAATGAAGCCAAGCGCTGGAATTTCAAATGTTGCCGATAATGTTACGGCCGGTATTGGAAATGCACCAATTAATGCTGGCGATATGAAAATGCCAGCAGGCGCTGGTGGTGATATTCATCATCCAGCAATGGCTTCCGTTGGACCAAACAAGGCCCATGCAACGGCAAATCTTGGACATCATATGCCACCGGCGACAAATGCAAAAACGAAAGGCAAAGGCCGAGGACCCGGTAAAGCTGCAGCAGCCAATGCAGCGACAAAAAGGCCGAAAGCCAATAGTCGATCGGCTGGTAATAAAAAGAAAAACGTTGGCAATCTATTGCCGCCAATTCCATTTGATTCCGAGGACGAGGATAATGCCAAACCCATGTCCTACGATGAGAAACGTCAACTCAGTCTCGATATTAATAAATTGCCTGGTAAGTGACACATTATTATTTTTCCTTTCTTTCAAGAAAAAATAAAAATTTCTATTTTTTATTTCAAGTTTAAAAAAAAATTCTATTCTTTTCAAATAGGGGAAAAAAGTCTAAAAATTACAAACTTATGTAGAACTTGCAGTATTTAGCTTTTTATTTACTAAAACCAACTATTTACTACTTTTTTTACGATTTGCTACTATTTGAATATTTTTATAGATTTGCGACACTAAAAGCTACACTTTTCATTGTTTTTTTGTCTTTTTCCTTTAAGAGAGAGAATTGGCACAAATTTAAATTCGCTAAAATTTGAAATAAATGAATTATTCTCAAGTTTTCAATAAAATTTTCAGATTCAATTAATTTTAAACAATTTTCGAAAAAGAAAAGATTTCTATTCTATAAAAGAATTTTAATAAAATTCTTCGCGAACATTCAATTATTTTCATAAATTATAACATTTTTACAGGAATTTAATTAATTAAACATTAAAATGGCATTTTCATTAAATTTTTACAATTAATAAAATTATTTAAACAAATTTTTATAAAATTCTTCTTATAAAAACTTTTATAAAATTTTTTATTAAAAAAAATTTTAATAAAATTCAACATAAGAATTAAATTATTTTCAATACAAATTTGAGTGAATTTGTCGAAAAATTTTGTATGAATTCAATTATTTTCATTAATAATAAAATTTTTCTAGTGAATTCAATTTTATTTTTATAAATAATAAAATACTTTAGATTAATTAAATTATTTTGAATAGAATTTTAATAAAATTCTTTGGAGGAATTCAATTATTTTCATAAATTATAAAAAAAATGTACAGTAATTTAATTTATTAAAATGCCATTTTAATAAATTTTTTTCAAAACAAATTATTTAAATGAATTTTTATAAAATTCTTTTTCTAAAAAATGTTATAAAATTTTATTATTAAAAACAATTTTAATAAAATTCAACATAAGAATTGAATTATCTTCAATACAAATTTATGTGAATTTGTCGAAAAATTTCGTAAGAATTCAATTATTTTTATAAATAATCACATATTTCGAGTGAATTTAAATTAATTTTTATAAATAATAAAATACTTTAGATTAATTGAATTATTTTGAATAGAATTTTAACAAATTTGAGTGAATTTGTCGAAAAATTTTGTATGAATTCAATTATTTTCATTAATAATAAAATTTTTCTAGTGAATTCAATTTTATTTTTATAAATAATAAAATACTTTAGATTAATTAAATTATTTTGAATAGAATTTTAATAAAATTCTTTGGAGGAATTCAATTATTTTCATAAATTATAAAAAAAATGTACAGTAATTTAATTTATTAAAATGCCATTTTAATAAATTTTTTTCAAAACAAATTATTTAAATGAATTTTTATAAAATTCTTTTTCTAAAAAATGTTATAAAATTTTATTATTAAAAACAATTTTAATAAAATTCAACATAAGAATTGAATTATCTTCAATACAAATTTATGTGAATTTGTCGAAAAATTTCGTAAGAATTCAATTATTTTTATAAATAATCACATATTTCGAGTGAATTTAAATTAATTTTTATAAATAATAAAATACTTTAGATTAATTGAATTATTTTGAATAGAATTTTAATAAAATTCTTTGCAGAAATTAAATTATTTTCATAAATAATAAAATTTACTCTTGAATTCAATTATTTAAAGTCCATTTTTCATAAAATTATTACAACAAGATCGAATTGTGAAACAAATTTTTTATAAAATTCTTCACAAGAATTAAAATTTTTTTATAAATAATAAATATTATCGCAGAGTTTCAATTATTTTTAATTCAATTTTAAATGAATTTCTCGAAAAATTCAATTATTATTCTTAAAAATTTGTTGAAATTCTTCGAAAGAATTGGATTATTTTAATAAATTTTAATAAAATACTTTAAAAGAATTAAGATTTAAGAAATATTCAATTTTTTATTAAATTATTTTTGTTTCTACATTTAAATAATTGAATTCCCTCAGAACTTTCTAATAAGAATAGATTAAAAAAATAAATTTTATTTAAAATTCTAGATAATAATTGTATTTATTATGAATTGTTAGAAATATTTAAATTTCAACAGATTTTGAAATTGAAATCTTTGAAAATTTTAATTGTTGAAATACTGGAATGTTATTAAAATTTTTATTTTAAAAAAAATTTATTATTTTCATAAAAAATGACTAAAGTTTTAAACAATTTTAATTTAAAAATTTCAACAACAAAAATTATTGAATTTCGAAGAATTACAGTTGTGAAATTTTTAGAAATTGTAAAATTTTGAAAAGATTTTACACAGTAATCATTTAAAATATTTTAGTTCCTATGGAGAAATAAATACATATTTAAATATTAATTTACCAAAATTTCTTCAAGTTTTGAATGTAATCTTGTTTGGAAATTATGAAAAAAAATTAGTCTTGAATAATTGTACAAATTAAAATGCTTTGAAGATTTTTAAATTCCCGCGTAAATAATTTGAAAAGATTAAATTATATTTTCAATTATTTGTCAATTTTTTAAAAGTTGAAGTAAATATTATTTTTTTTACTTTTAAAAATTATTTTTAAATATAATTGTATTTTTGAAGAATTATAAACTAAAATTTAGAAAATTATAAATTTTTTGTAAAAATGTAGAATTTAAGTTATTAGCAGATTGAGAAAAAACGTAAATATTTTTGATGAAGATTGGAAAAAAATGAAAATGATACTTTTGGGATTTTTTGTAAATCGTCTAAAATGAGTTTCTTCAAATTTAATTTTTCGATAGCTACTTTTTTACTACTTTTTTTCGGTCTTAAAGCCACTTTTTTGATAGTTTTTTAAAATTAATTATCGAGTACAAAGCCTGCGTTGTCTAATTTTTACAAAATAGAAAGAAAACTAAAAGAAAAAAAATTTCTTTTGCTTCTTTACAGGTGATAAACTGGGTCGTGTTGTGCACATAATTCAGTCCCGTGAGCCGTCGTTAAGGGATTCGAATCCTGACGAAATTGAAATTGATTTTGAAACCCTAAAACCATCGACATTACGGGAATTGGAAAATTACGTTGCCTCGTGTCTTAGAAAAAAACCACGTAAGCTCTACTGTAAGTTCCGTACCAACGTCATGCAAGGACCATTCGACTGTATTTTTTCTTCTTTTGTGATCCACGTTGTGTTTCACTTTTATCATATGGTGATCAAGTGAAAATGAAATGATTCATTGATCTCCTGTTTTTTTTTTTAAATTGGAGTGTCTCCAGTTCGTGTTTTTTAGCCAAGAAAAAAGAAAGAGAGAGAACCTTTCCAAAATATTTCTAACTGTTTTTACGCGTCTCAATTTATTATTATGTGTCTTTTCTCTTTATTACTAACGATATTAGAATTCCTTTAGAGAAGGTCCTTATTGACGTTTGTGGGGGAAACTACATTTATTGCATCTACTTCTTCCCCCTTTTTTTGTGTTTTTCAATTAATTTATTTGTTTGCTTTTTGTAATTTGTGTTTGTCTATTTTTCCTGTTTTGAAATTTTTTGTTTTTACCTTACTTTGTCTATTTTTACAATACTTTGTCTATTTAATTACTTTTTATTTTTTAATTTCGTTTACTTTTTGTTTTACTTTTCAATTTTATCGTTTACTTTATTTTTGTTATTTTATTTTTAATTTTTTTTTAAATTTTTTTAAAAAAGTTTTTAACTTTGGTTTTTATTTTGTCTACTTATTATTTTACACTATTTCTTTTAAGATATTTATAAAATTATTTTTGTTTTGTCTATTTTTTTCTCTATTTCGTCTAATTTTCAATTTTTTGTCTCAAATCTTGTGACAAAAAATTGAAAATCGTTTTTTTCTTACAAAAAAAGGGGTTTCAATTGTTATCAAATGAACTTGAGAATTAAACGAGTTTCACATTATTATGTTTATAGATAAGAAACTCAGCGGCAAATCTAAGGAAGATCAGATGGCTGAGAAGAAGCAGGAACTCGAAAAAAGATTACAAGACGTTACGGGCCAACTGGGAAACGTCAAGAAGGCTCCCAAAAAAGGTGCGTTTCTTTAATTACTTAACATAAATTAATGAAGTCGATTATTAATTTCTTTTACTACATAATTTTTAATGCAATTTCATTAATTGAACATTTAATTACGAATCTAATGCAGAAAAATAAGTGTAAATTTCCCTTTCTAATTTATACGGAAAATTCTTTATTCTCAATAAAAGGAGAATTTTTTTACTTCCTAAAAAAGAAAATGCAGAAAAATAAGAGTAAATTTTCCTTTCAAATTTATACGAAAAATTCTTTATTCTCAATAAAAGGAGAATTTTTTTACTTCTTAAAAAAGAAAAAGAAAATTGGAAGAAAATAAAAATTAAGAAAAAGGGTAAGAAAATAAAAATAAGAAAAAGAGAAAGAAAATGAAAATAAGAGAAAGAGGAAGAAAATAAAAAAGAAAAAGAAGGGAAAAAATAAATAGGAAAAATTTTAATTAAATTGAATAAATTAAAAAAGTTTACGAAATTAAATAAAAATTTTTGAAACTAGAAAATAGAAATAGAAGTTTTATATGTAAATTTCAATGAAAGAATGTTTTTAATGTTTAAAATTCTAATAAGAATGCGAAAATGAAAATGATAAAAACTCAGATTTAAACTCTATAAGAGGATTTAAATTATTCATTGATGGAAAAAAAGGATTTAAAAGTAACTTATTCATGAAAATATTATAGATATAAAAGTGAAAAGATAAATATCGTGGAAAAAATTCAATGAAGAGTTAAATATTTATTTTTATTGTTAAAAATAAATATTGAATTTGCAGTTTTTTTTTATTATTGTGCGTTCGTTAGAAGTTCATTGAGAATTATTTTATCTTTAGCTCCTGTTGGGTATGTAGGGCAGATAAAAAGATATGAAACGAGTACTGGTATTGATTTTTCTCAACTTCCTGGTGGGGAATTATTGATTTTATAATATTTCACAATTATACAAGACATATTTTACGATTTAAGTTCATATTTTACTTTTTTATATGATTGAAAATTCGTATTAGGGGCAAATGAAATAATTTTGATTTAATAATTTTTCACAAGGATTGAAAAAAAAATGAATCGAAAATATTTGCAGAAAATTATTATTAATAGTAGCAAAATTTATCGCTTGGTAAAATATTTACCGAGTGAAATATTTTTATATTTTTATAAATTGATTCTTTATCTTCTTTATTCTCAAATATTAAATCAATATAACATTATTAATATATTTTTTTCTCTAATATTTTGAGCTATTTTTTAACTTTTTGAAAGTTATTTTTTGAAATTTATTTTTAGCTATTGTTTAACTACTGTTTTTAGCTATTGTTTAGCTACTGTTTAACTATTTTTTAGCTATTTAACTATTTTTTAGTTATTTTTAGCTATTTTTTTAGCTGATATTTTTTAACTACAGATTTTATAATAATTAAAATGTTTGAAACAAGAAAATATAAATTGAATGAACGGAATGTTTGAATGTTTAAAATTCTAATAAAAGAATGCAAACTAAATAAAAATTCATTGATATTTACAGAAGACAGTAGTAAGTCAGTAGACGTAGTGGGAACTGCTGGAACTAGTGGACCTTCGAGATTGTCAGCATCCAGTAGTAGTAGCAGTGACAGTGATTCCAGTAGCAGTTCTTTATCTTCGAGTTCCAGTGATTCTAGCGACAGCGAAGCAGGTTAGATATGAACAAAACCTCATCTAACTGTTGCCACTATATTAAAAAAAAAAACAAACAAACCCTCACTCGGGAACAAAAGCAAAACAAAACGACCTCCTTTTTTTTATAAATGAGAAAATGGTCGTTAATATTAAATTATAAAAAATCAACTTTAATTTTCCTACGAATTAAAAAATTTTTGAAGGGATTATTTGCGATTGTTGTGAATCAACAGTCAAATAAATATTTGGTGTTATTTCTCGTTTTAGTTTTTAAAGAAAAATTTTCATTAGTTTCTTTTTTAAATTATTTTTTGTTTTACTCTCACAAAAGCACAGATTTGTACTTCGCGTTTTCTATCTAAAAATAAAAGTTCTGTACAGACAATACTATTTTGTACACGCTTTAAAGAGCACTTTTTTAAATGCAAATATTAGAGTAAAATTTAAATATAAAAATCATGTCTTGCTTAGATTTCGTGTGAAGAAAAAAAAAAAAGATTTTTTCATTTTGTAGTGGAGAATTCGTGTTTTTTTTCTCTAAAAAATTTAATCTGGTTTTTGTTCTTTTGAAATTCACCACACCAAGATTAATATTGAATCAATTGAAATTGTACATTAAGTGATAAATCGAATTGATGAATTTAATTATTAAAAAAACAAAGTTAAATTATTGATTGATAATAGTTAAATTCGATGTAAATTAAGTGCAAAAATTTTATGAATTAATAGATTTACGATTAAAGAAAAATTTTTATTATAAATTAAAATAGAATTATAAATTTTATTATACTTATTAAACGATTTAATTTTTAATAATGAAATTAATAAATTATAGTTAATTATGAATTGTAGATTTAAAAGAAAAGATTATAAATTATAAATTATAAATAGTAAGTAATGGGGATATTGATTAGTTAATTTAATTGATCAATTGAATTGTATTTGATTAAATTAATTAAATGATCTGAATTTGAAACATTGAAAAAAATACAGAGTCTTAGACTAATTGGCAATTTGTTAAACAAATGGCCATTATTAAAAACAAATATATTATAGATAAATCACGACTGATAGATTTTGTAAATTTATTTTCATGTTTCAAATTTTTTATCGAAAAATCTTGGTTTGGTAATTTCTTATTAATTGTATAAAAAAAATTTAGAAAGAATTGAAAAAAAATAAATAAAAAAACAAAAAAATAAAAAATAGCAATAATGAGACTCGCGCAATGTCCAATTAAACAAACTAGATTTAGTAAATGAAAAGAATAAGTGTCATGGTGGAAAAAAACAAATTTTTTAAAAAGTAGTCCATTGACCAAATAAATTGACTGCACAAATTCATCGCAAATATCTCCCAAATAAAAAGAAAAAAAGTAAAATATTTTCTTTATTATATTTATTAGGACGGCGTTACTGATGTGGTAAAAATTAAAATTACTACGTTACGTTAATGCAAATGTGTAAAAAAAGAAAAAAATAAGAAAAGTGTTGAGTCTCGATTGTGCAAAATTATTATTAATATTATTATTATTATTATTATTATTATATTATCATCGAGACTCAATACAGAAAAATTTACGATGTTTTGTTTCTTTTTAATTTAATAATTAAAAATAATAGCAATAATAATATTAATAATGGAACATGAATCTTAATGGTAAGAAGAAGGTGAGCTAGTGGAGTGCAGACTGTGTTTTGAGGATACCATATATAAATATAAATATATAATGCCATGTCAGCTTATTTCAAGAACGATGATTCGCAAATTAATGACAATTCAGTTCTTTTCTCTTGCTCTGTTGATGTTGACGGTGTAAAGTGTGTCATCATAAAAAAAAGCAAAAAAAAAATAACCAATATGCAAAAAAAATAAATAAATAACTCGAGGAGTACGTCGATCTTTGAGATCGAGCCAATAAATTTTCAATATTAAAAAAAAAAAAATAATTGCGGTATCAAAGACCGACGCCTCTGTTTTTAAATTCTAATGCCCTGCTAATTTCATGCTTTTTTCGTTCAATGAGCAGAGCATTAAAATAATTTTTTTTCTCACGTCAAGCTTCTTTATACTTTTATTTGCATCTTAATTATTTTTTTCTCTAAAAAAAATTTTTTGTTTTTTTTTTCTAAAAGCACTAATTTATGTCCTTTTTTCTTATTTTTGTTCTTTTTTTGTGACAATACAACATATGCGTGTACCTTCAACTCCATCGTTACTAATGGAATGGCTAAATTCCGTTCTCGTCAATTTGCAAGTGGACAACAAAAGAAAATAAAGAAAGTGAAGTTTTCTCAAGCTTCACGATAATAACCAGGCAATGACAATATTAAGGGGACTGATAGCAAAAAGAAAAATGATAAATAGTAAAATAAAACGAAAAATAGTAATAATAATAATAATAATAATAATAATAATAATAATAATAATAATAATAATAATAATAATAACAATAATAATAAAATGCAGACAATGTGTATTGGTGGCTGGATCTTTGAATTAGCGCGTTGTAACTTTTCGGACCAGTTTGTCAATTATTTAGTCATTATTAAATATAAACTGTCACTGCCGATCCAGAAATATAGAGAAAAATGAGAATAGAATAGAGAGAAAGCAAAAAAAAATGAAACCCTCTTGAAATACTCCGATAAAAAAATACTTATACGAAATTAAAAAAATAATTTCGGATTTAAAAAAAATTATTATAGATAATTTTTCGACTTTACAGAATTTTTTCTCTTCTGAAAACTATTGCAATGTGTTTGCAATTTTATGTTATCCGTGCTACTTTATTATTTTTACTGTAGCATTTTTAGCTAATTTTAATTTTCCTTTTTTTAGCATTTTGAGTTCATTCGGGTTTTTTTTAATCTGCATGTAAAATTTTTGGTTTAGAGGACAAAAAAAATTTTTTTTCTTTTTTTTTTCAAAAGAATATTTTTTTTATCCTGGTGCTTTTGAAGAATTTTTGAGGGTATTTTAACATTTTTGGAAGTGGGGTGGAAAAAAGAAATGAGATAGCGAGAAATGGAAGAATAAAAAAATAGAGAAACAGAGGATTTGGAGAGAAAGAAAGAGCAAAAAACGGAGCAAGAAGGGAAAAGAAAAAAATAAATAAATATTAACCAAAGGCAAAGAAAAAATAACTTTTTTTCCGATTTGTTAACAAAAGCGCACTGGCCTCCAAACACATTGTTTGCACTCCGCTAAGCTTTGATCCAATGATCGTTAGAATCGGTTAGAGAAAAAAAAATACAAATTGATCAAGCGAAGCAAAAAAAATTGTTTTTTTCGACTTTGTGTAAAATGACTCGATTCGACGATTACTGCGATTAGAAAAAAAAAGAAAGCGGAATTTTTTTTTTCTTTTCTTTGAACCCGTCCTATTTAAACAATTATTAAGAAGCCTTTTATACGTGTTTAAAGAAAGTTTAATTTTAGGGATATTTTGTTTTTATATTTCTATCTGTAAAAATGTCTGCTCCATGATAGTGGTTTTTGTTGAAATATCATGTAAATTTAGTCCTTTATATACATATATATATAGCAAGAAAAAAAGTACATATTATAATAAAAAAGAAAAAAAAGAAAGAAAAACCAACGTTATGGACGTAAATCGGCATTAATCGATTTGTCATTTTGTAGTCGAAAAAAGTAATATCACAATTTACTCGAAGAAAAACGAAAAATTGTTTTTTAGAAAATGTTGAAATTTGTCGATCGAAAAATTTTTGTTGTGCGCAAAAATTAATACTAAATAACGAAAATGTTAATTAATTGAACAAATATAAAAAGTGAATCAGAATTGATTAAATTAAAAAATTAAATCAATTGAAGAAAAAAATTGAAAATCGAAAAATTAATTGCGAATCAATTGTAAAATTTATTGCAAATCAATTGCAAATCGAAAAATTAATTGCGAATCAATTGAAAAAAAAATTACAAATCAATCGAAAAAAATTGCAAATCAATTAAAAAATTAATTAAAAATTAAATTAAAAATCTTAAATTCTAGAGAAAAAAAATTGGAACGAAAGGAAAAAATGGATATTTCGATAAAGTTGTGATTTTACTTGAAAAAGAGATGTATATCGATGGTAGTAACTCAGAAGCGTACTTAAGAAAAAAAAGCAAAAAAAGAACAACGTTAGTTGACGGTCGTAACGTAGGAAATTGGGAAAAATCCCCTTTAACCGAGGAAGATTGGAAAAAGAGAAATTTCGAAGTATAAAAATGTACTTGAAAAAAATTTTTTTCTTTTTTTTTTTATTAAATTTAGCTAGAAGATTATAAATGAACAAATTCAATTAGATAGATACATTTTTAAGGAAATGCATCCATTAAGATACAATCATTGTTAGTTTGTAATAAAAAAAATATGCGGTGAATAAGGGCATTTTTTACGATAAATAATTTTACATATTTTACCATAAAAAAAAACAATTTTTTGCATCCTTTTTATATGAAACGCGTAAAAATTAAAAAACAGTTCTTCGATTCCTCTTCCTCTTTTTTCTGCCCATTTTAATTATAAATATCTGTTTACAATATTAAATTCTTCCTTCTTCTAAATGATCGTCAAGCCGATCGATCGCAAAAACAGATCTAACGACCTAAATATTTTATTAAATATATAAATACAAAAAAAATATATATATATATATGAAAAAAAATTATAAATATTATATATATTATACATACTTCCTTATTTATACTCACAACATATTGTCTACGTTTTCGTACAGCGTTCCATCTGTTTTGTGCGAATCTAACGTCGAGAGAAAAAAAAAGAATAAATAAAAAGTACATTACCCCAAGAGACGCATTTTTTTTTGTACATAAATGAAGACTAATATATCATTAAAAGAAAATATTAATTCTAGTGATAAGTTATACTCGTGAAAAATACAGAAGAAAGGTATGGTGAAAAGAAAAACGTTAAAAGCAAAACAATTTTTTAAAATTGCATTATTCGTAATTAAAAAAAAATATCCTTTCTTACTGACACATTTTGTGTAATGTTTAAAAAAAAGGGATGTAACGCCGTGTTTATTGTAGATTTAATAACAAGAAATAAAAAAAAATGAATGAATAAACATAATTACTCCGAGTAGTCTTTTTTTTCGAGTCGAGGTTGGCTCAGAAAAAAAAAATTAAAAATATGGTGGTCCAGCTCGATTATATTATATAAGTTAAGAGAAATAATGCTGGAACTCCTTCTCGATGTTTTTTTTGATAGTCCGCCGATGTTTGCTATTCTTCCATTTCTCTGACTTTTTTTTTCAATAAGCGAAGAGTAATATTATTAAATATTAAAAATTTTCTTTTTCTCTCTCTCTTTTTCTCTCTTTGTAGAAATGATTAAGAAATGAAAAAAAGACACCGAGCAGGAGATTCTTGCCACCGATCTCAATAATGTGCTAACTACGACTCAAATTTAGTTTTCATGAATTTTTTATTGTATACAAATGGTTTTAATTTTTATTTACCGATTTAATTAAGAATTTTATTTGATTCTACGAGATGAATTTTTTTTTTTTTTGCGAGTTTGATGGTTTTGTAGTCAACGTTCTTTTGTAATCATTATTATTATCATCATCACAACGATCCTCATCGCGATTTATTATTATTCTTCTCATTCTTCTTATTATTACGAATTATTATTATTATTATTATTATTATTATTATTATTATGAATTATTATTATTATGAATTATTATTATTATTATTATTATAATTATAAATAATTATAATTGTAATTAAAATTATTAATTATTAATATAATTAATATTATTTATTATTATAATTTATAATTGATAATTATTAATTACTTTTATCACAATTGTTAATAATTATTAATTATTATTATTATAATTACCAATAATTATTAATTATTATTACAGTTATTAATGATTATTAATTATTTTTATAATTATTAATAATTATTACAGTTATTAATAATTATTAATTATTTTTATAGTTATTAATAATTATTATTATTATTAATTATTATTATTATTATTATTATTATCATCAGCATCAATATAGAATATTTGTGAAGGGACGACAAAAAAAAGTAAAGATGGTAAAAATTATTTGAGACGAACGCTTGTTGAGAACGTTTTTGTACATTTTGATAAAATGTTCCAAACGAATCAGCTTCTTCGGCGAAACGTGTTTTTTTTTCTTCTTTTTTTTTGTCTGTGGGACTCTTTGTGGATATTTGTCCAAAAAGAGAGTGAGTGTGTGTTTCTGTGTGTATGTGTGTATGAGAATTGTTCTGCGCATTAAGATTTTTTAATATAAAAAAAAGTGAAAAAAAAGAAAGAAACGTGAAATGAAAGTCCACAAAAAAAAGGCATACAATTGAGATATTTAAATTAACATTGTTGTACACAGTGATACAATTATAATATAAGTATATGAATAAAAATCTATTAGAAAATAATTGGCGAATTGTTGTTTAATTTTGCGAGATCATCGAGAAAATTTATTTTTTTTTGTGATGTGAATTTTTTTTTCTCGACTAAATTCGATGTGTCGAATTTAAATGAAATTTTCCTTTCTTAGAGAGGAAGAAGTTTTTTTTGTGAAACTGGTATCCTCTTTCTCTCTGCACACTAGCTCTCCGATCACTTCTATAAAAAAAAAAAAGTGAACTTGAAAAATGAAAATTTTTTTTATTTGCACTTTCGGTTAGACGCAAAAATTACGTTCAATTTCAGGCAATTCATCGAATCGACCGCCACGAAAGAAAACCAAAAAGGGTACGATGACACCTGGACCACCAACGACCACTGCACCAACTGTGGTACCACCGGTGAGAATTCCTTTTTTTTCTGAGAGAGAGAGAGAGAGACTGAAAGAAATTTATTGTCAAATTCCAAGGGATAGACGATTTTTTCTATTTAGGAATTTATTTTTAGTTCTTTTTCTTTCTTTTTTATGTCATTATTTTATTTAAATTAATTTTTCATGCTGAATTTCAGTAAATCAGAGAACAAAATTATTGAAAGGGGAAATTTTAATTTTTTTTTACGAAAATCCGAATTATTTTATTTTCTATACTAAATGTGAAATAAATTTAATTTCTATTTAATTTTTAAGGGACATTTTTAATTTCAAAAAAGGGAAAATTTATTTTATTTTTTTCTACTGAAATCAGAATTATTTTATTTTCTATAATAAATTTTACTGGGGACAAAAAATTATCGAGGGGAATTTAATTTCAAAAAAAGGGGAAATTTATTTAATTTTTTTCTACTAAAATACGAATTATTTTAATTTCTGATTCTGAATTGGTAAAATGAATTCCAATTCAGTATTGGAAATTAGAATAATTCGTATTTTAGTAGAAAAAAAATTGAATTCTCAAGGGGAATTTTATTTTAAAAAGGGAAAAATAATTTCTTTCAGTTGAAAAATAAGTAAATTTCAAAATATTGTCAGTTTTGATTTTTTGAAAATTGATTTTTTTGTATATTTTTATTTTCTATTTTCGTAATGTTATAAGTATTTTTTTATTTTCGTATTTTTGTATTTTTATGTATTTTTATTTTTTATTTTCGTATGTCTGTATTTTTGTAGTTTTTTTTTATTTTTGTATTTTTTATTTCCGTATTTTTAATTTTCGTATTCTCTTATTTTTGTACTTTATTTATTTTTATATATTTGTATTCAGTTTTCTTTAATTTTATTTTCAAAATTCGTTAATTAGTCGCAGTATTTTTTTATCGATTGAAATTGTTCTCTTTTTTTTATTTCTTGAAAAATATTTGAAAACGGTGATTATTTAATTGATGCAAAATTTATAGGCGACTAATTTAAATCATACCGGTGGTCTTCTAATGAATAATCAACCATCGACGAATTCCACGGGACCAGCGGCAAAACCAACAATCACGCAGGCAAATAATATTCCAGCTGAACAAGGTACGAAATAGTTTTTAGACATTCCCAGGGCTCGGAAGAAGAAAATCGATAGGTTGCAGAAAAAGTGGTGTCTAACGAGCAGTGAACTCTTTTTTTTTGTGATTCTCAATTCAGAACTGATGATGCTTTGTTCTTAAAATCCTAAAAATTCAAAATTCTCTTAAAAAACGAATTTATTTGATTTTTAATGATTTTTTTTATCGATAGACAATTGAATCGAAAGTTTTTAAATTCCAAAAAACGGAATTAAATATTTTTATTTTAAGAAAAATTTATTATTTATTTTAATTTATTATTTCAATTTTAATCGAATCCACTGTCAATTGAAAATTGACAATAATCGAAAAGTAATTTTTAAATATTAACCATTTTTTTCGAAATTTCATAATTTCGAAAACTTGAAAAATACATTTTTAATTTAAAAGTAAATTTATAATTTATAAATTTCAATTCTAAAGAATTTTTTAATTTTTAATTCAAAAATAAATATTTGATTCTTAATTTTTTAATTAGAAAATAACATTTTGATTTCTACATTTTTTATTAAAAAATATTTTTTTTTTATTTTTAAACCATATAGAAAGTTTTTATTTTAGTTAAAAACGTGAAGGAAATTTTTTATTTACTAAAATAGAGAAACGAAATTGTAAATTTATTTTTTTGATGTTTCATTTCGTTAGACATCACAAGAAAATAATAATTAAAATGTATAATAAACATGGACAAATCAAGTTTTTATGAGTGATTTTATAGGGTGTTTGAAATTTTACTTCTTGAATATTATAAAAGTTAGAGTGAGAGAATAATTTCTTTTTTTGTTTCTTATTCTTTTAAAAAAAATATATAACAAAAATATTCTTTAGAACAAATTATTAATTTAGGAAAATTATTACCAATTATTACTGATAGAAAATATTTATTATTACGTTAAGTCGCCAAGCGATTTGTATTTTGGTTTTTAATTCGCTTAATTATATTTTCACCTCTTACTTAATATAAATATTAAAATGACAAAGTGATTTTCTCCCAGTTTTGAAAGTATGATATAAAATTTCGATTTTTATTTCTAATTACAAATTCATAATACAAAATTTTATATTTTTTATAAATTTATTGATTATTATTGATAAAATATTTTACAATTATATAAATTATAGAATTTTAAATTAAATTAATTAAATTAATTTTATTTTTAATTGATATTATTTGAATAAATAATATTTAATAATATCCAATATTAAATATTTTTTATTTATTGATAATTTCTATAAAATGATATATTAATAATAATATTAATAATAAATTGATTTTTTTTTGTTTCGAATACAGTTAATGAAATATTCCAATTTATAACGAATTCTCTAATAGAAATTTCGAATTATTTGTACAATTAATTCAGGGTTATTAAACGAAAAATTGGTCGTAATAAAGTAGTTGAAGATTTAAAAAAAGATAAATGAAAAAATAATAACAATATTGTATACCTAACAATTTTGCAGGAGAGGGGTATTATTTAATATTTAAATAAGATACATATTTAAATGTATTGTAGATGAATTTTGTATTTTACATTTGAATACTTCAGTACTGCTGTATATTGAATTTGTTAAATACATTTTTTTGGAAACTACTTTTAGAGTAAAATCTTTATTAATGCTACCTTTTATTTATCAAAAAAAAAAAAAAAATAAAAATTATATTCTCATATTTTTTTATATTTTTTTTCATTTCGAGAAAACGGCTTTATTTTATCACATTCCTCTTTATTTAATCCTCACTTACTTTACAACAGCCGTCTTATTTTTGAATTTTTTTTTCATTTTGTATTTTTTTCAAAAATTTTTCCTTCAATTTTTCTTAATTTTTATTTCAATTTCTTTTAATTTCTTTTAAATTCTTTAAAATTCTTTTAAATTTTTCTTCACTTTACTTTTAATTTTTTAAATTTATAATTGAAAAATTAGGTTTTTAATTAAAGAAAATCTTGTGTTTAATTTTTGAATAAATTTTGTTTTATTAATTTTTGAACAAAAAAAAACATCTCGCAGTATTTTTTGTTTTTTGAAGAAAAATTAGCTTCTGTTTTTATTTCAACAAAAATGAAAATGATGTTTTTTTATTAATTTTTGAAAAAAATCTTGATTATGAAAAAAAATCGCTTCAAGTTTTTAATTATTGAAAACTTTTTTTGTTTTTCTTCTTTGTTTTCAATTAGACGTTATTAAGGACCAATCGTAGCCTAGAATTTATTGTATAAATATTTGAATTTCCTTCTTTTTTCTTTCTTTCATTTGTTTATAGTTGACAAATTTTTATTTGTGAGAATTATTTTATTCTTTTCAAAGTAAAGAAAAATTGTAAAAATACAAAAATTTTTTTTAAAATTATTATGATTGGTATAAGAAGAATTTTTTTTGAACCAACAATTATTATTTAATTGAAGAATATTTTTTTTTGTTTTAAAAAAAGTATTTTTATTTAAATATTTTTTTTGCAGAGAAAATTTGTTTTGAAAGATACAATTTTTTGGAGAAGACATTTTTTGGAGAAAACTTTTTTTTTGAGAAAGCTTTTTTTTTTGAGAAAATAATTTTTTTTTTAAAAACCATTTGTTTTTGGAAAAATGAGTCGATACTGAAAGAAAATTCCTGTAGGTGCAGCTCCACAACAATCAATTGCAGTTCCACCGGCGACAGTTGGACAGACAATGCCAATAGCGAGTCACAGTTCGATGCCAGCTCAGCCAGCCCGTCCAGTTGCGATGGCCACTGCGGCACCAATTAAAAAACCAACGCCACCACCACCGCCAGCACCGCCGGCTAATACGAATACCACTACTTCCTTATCGGTTCCAACGCCATCGCCAAGTGTCACTCCAACGAATATCAATTCCACCACCACGAGTACCGTCGCCTCTTCGCTAATCATATCGCCCGTTCTTCAGCCCCAAACCACAATTGTCAATACCTTCCCGAATCCAACTACTCCCACAATTACCACGGATTCAATTGCTCTCAATCAGCCTCAGGATCTTTTGCAGCCATACAATACTCTAGGTAGTTATAGTCTCCAATCGAGAAGAATTAATTTCAATTATTTCATTTATTCAAAATTTATTCATTACTCTTTTTTTTATTTTACACGCTTCGTACTCGTCTACTAAAACCTACTATTTACTCAATTTTTTACAATTTCCTACTATTTGGATACTTTTCTTTTTTTTGGATTTGTGAAGCAAAAAACTACTTTTTTCTGTATTCGAGAATTTGCACTACTTTAAATTCGCTAAAAGTTGGAATTAAGAAACTATTTTCAAAAACATTAAGAAAATTCTTAGAAACGATTTCAAAAATTTTAATAAAATTCTTTCGAAGGATTCAATTATTTTCAATATTTACTATTTTAACAAAAAATTTCCTCAAAAGAATTCAATTATTTTCATAAATAATAAAATTCTGCCCACAAATTCGATTATTTTCAAAAATTTTAATAAAATTCTTGTCAATCTTCGTAAACAATAAAATTCTTCGTAAAAATTCAATTATTTTTATAAGTAACAAAATTCTCCGGAGGAATTCAATTATTTTCTAAAATTTCAATAAAATTCTTTTCACAAATAAACAAAAATTTGCATAAATATTAAAGTTCAAAGGAATTTCATTATTTTTAATTTAATTTTCAAAAATGTTAATAAAATTCTTGTCAAGAATTCAATTATCTTCATAAACAATAAAACTCTTCGTAAAATTTAAATTATGTATCTTAATAAATAATCAAATTTTTCTTAAAAATTCAATTATTTTAATAAAAAATAAAATTCTTCATACGAATCAATTATTTAAAAAAATTTCAATAAAATTCGTTACAAAATTTCAATCATTTTCATAAATAATAAAACTCATCGCAGGATTTCAATTATTTTTAATACAATTTAAAATAAATTCCCCAAAAAATGCAATTATTGTTAAAAATTTTAATAAAAATACTTGAAAAAATTCAATTATTTAAAAAAATTTTGCTACAATTTGTTTATTAGAATTTAATATTTATTTCCAATACATTTTTAATTCAGTTTGATTAAAAAAAAAATATTATTTAAACAATTTTAATGATATTCTTCGTAACAATTTATTTATTTTAAAAAATGTTGACAAAGTTCTTTATAAGAATTCAGTTTCCAGAAATATTCAATTATTCAATAAATTATTTATTTATTTATAATTATTTGAATAATTGAATTCTTGTAGAACTTTCTAATATGAATTGATTTAAAATTGAATTTCAGTTAAAATTTTAGATAATTGAATATTAGAAACGTTATATTGTGAATTTTTTAGAAATAATTAAATTTCAAAAGATTTCTTGAATTGAAATCTTTGAAAATTTTAATTGTTGTAAAACTGTAATATTTAAATTTTTATTGTGAAATAAAATGATTATATTTTTGAATAATAATATTATTTAAAAGTATTCTAAAAAATAATATTGAATTTTGGAAGAATTACAGTTGTAATTTTTAGAAATAATTAAATTTCAAAAAAGCATTACATTAAAATCATTTAAAATATTTGAATTCCTGTCGAGAAATAAATAGGTATTCAAATATTTATTTTTAAAAAAATTGCTTTATTTTTGAATACATAATTTTATTTACGAAATTATGAAAATTGAGTCGTCGAATTTAATTTTTTGATAGTTACTTTTTTACCATTTTTTCAGTCTTAAAGCTACTTTTTGGTACTTTTTTTAAAATTAATTATCGAGTACGAAGCCTGTTATTTTATCAAGAATTTTTTTTCAGCAATTCTCGAGTTTTTTTACTTCTCTTTCTCTTTTCTATTTTTTTTATCAAGAATTTTTTTTTCATCAATTCTCCAGTTTCTTTTACACTTGTTTTGAGTCGAGAGAAAATAATTAATTTCAATTATTTCATTTATTCAAAATTCATTCATTTCTTTTTTTCTTTTATCAAGAATTTTTTTTCATCAATTCTCGAGTTTCTTTTACACTATTTTCGAATCAAAAGAAAATTCATTTTAATTATTTCATTCATTAAAAATTCATTCATTACTTTTTTTATTTTATCAAGAATTCTTTCTTCATTAATTCTCGAATTTCTTTTACACTCGTTTCAAGACGAAAGAAAATACCAAATTTCTTTTTTTTATCTCTCTAAGAATGAAATTTTTTTTGAAAAGGACATTTGTTTAAAAAAAAAATTATTTTAATGATAAAATTGTTTTGTTGCAAAAAAAATAGTAACGGTGCCGACAACGCATTCAAATTTGGATCAAGCACTCTCGGCATTAAAGAAGGAGCCACATATTCCAATGCTTCAAACATCGCATGGGTCGAGTAATAATTTATTGAATTTTTTGCCGGACGTGAAATCATCGATGAATATGTTGTCGTCGAGTATGCCGGCAAATATGGGAATGGGCAATATGAGTATGGGCGGTTTGAGTTTGAATTTACAACAGGGACTCGCTCAAATGTCAATGCAAAATCAACTTGACAATCTTCTTAATCAAAGTAGTGGTCTACAAAATTCCCATATGTCAATAACGCAACAGCATTCGAATGGTTTTTCAAATATGAAACGTGAAAATTCCCCATCAAATATGTTGAATAATAATGGAATAACGGGATTTGGAATGAATATGCCAAGTATGGTGGCATCGATATTTGATCCAATAACGCCACTTAATACCAGTCTGCCAATGCAGATTTCACAGTTACCAGTTAGAAAGGAGGAGAGATCCTCGTTGCCAATGAATCAACCGCAAATGCATCCTAAAATAGACGGTGAGTTGGGATTTATTTTTTTTTTTTAATAATTTTAATAGGGAAAACTAACAATTAACAAATTAACAACTCTGCTTTCTCTAATGTCGCAAATTCCTCTTACGATTGGAAAATTTTTTCTTTCTCTGTTTAAATTACATAATTTAATTAAATTCTGTTCCATTTAATTCAAAATCTTCAATTAAAGGAAATTTTTTCTACTATAAATTAAAACGATGAGGAAAAAAATTCGATTTCACAAAAAATGGGATTAAATTTCAGTCTTTTGGGAAATTAAAATTTATTATTTTATTTAAGTAAATATTTATTACATAGGTAAAAGATTAATTAAATTATTATTTAAATATATCTATTTTTGAAACTAACATTACTTCAATATTTTTTTATTATTAAAATTGAATTATTATTACTATTTAAAAATTCTCGGAGTAATATTGAAGAAATTTCGGAATTCGACGCTTTCAATTTGCTTCTTGCACGTAGTGTTATTTTTTTTTGTCTTTTTTTTCCTATCTATCACAATATGCTAACTGCTTACTAATTCTCTTTATGATGCTGGTCCTCTAGTGGGAGGTTTTTTTTCAGACATGGCAGCTCTGGGATTACCGCCAATGAGTAATCATTCCAGTTCTCAAAAGATGGAGAAAAAAATGAGTCCTCCTGATTCGAAAAATTCTGCCTCTAATTTCGCATCGGCATTTAAAAATAAGGTAATGTATTTTTTAATCGCCCTTTTAATTAGTCCTCAATTATAGAAGACAAAATTTAATAATACTTTATTAAATAAATAAGCTTTCAATTTATTGGTATTATGCAAATTTCAAATTTTTTGTTATCAAATATCAACTTCAATTTTTGAAGTAATAAAAATTAGTTTGTCTACAATAATTTACAAGTAAATATTTGAAATTTTTACAGTGTTGAATTAAATTTATTTAAGTAATTTAAAGGATATTTTTAAGACCAAATATAGAAAAAGGAATTTTTCTTTTTAATTGTAAAAATTGTTCGATTTTCTTTTTAAAGACTGTGGAGCAGAAGCTTCAAACCGCGTGGTCGTCATTGGCACAATCATCGAGTCCACAATCTACTGCTGGCAGAGGCATTATGAATGCGGCCACTGCTGCTGATACTTTTAATCAATTCAAGAAACAAGCGAAGGAAAAGAACGACAGGGTAAATATAATTTATTTTTAATAATAATTATTATTCTCCTTTAGAAAGAAAAAATAATCATCAAACAAAAATTCTTCGCCTTCATCATCAATAATGCAAATTCATTTTCCATTTTCTCTTTTAATTATTCTATTTTGAAATTGAAAGAAACTATTATACTAATTTTTTTAATTTACAAAAATAAATTAAACAATTTCATAATTAGAATAATCAGAAAAATTATTTGAATAATTATTTATTAAATTATTCCTATTGTCAAAATAAAAAATTGACAATTCAAAAAATTGTTCAATAATTCAATTTATTGTCAATGATGAAAAATGTCAAAAAGGTGGAATTTTTTCTCTAATTTCCCAACAATTGGAATTCCGATAATTTAATATTTTTTATGTTGAATTTTTTGATGAGAAAAAATTCTTAATGAGAAGAAAAAAATGATAGAGCTGCATATTTTTTTCAATTTCGAAATTATCAAATTTAAATGTGAAAAATTAACGATTAACAGGCAAAAGCATTAATTGAACAACAGGAGAGAAGACAGCAGAAGGAACAGGCGGAAAGGGAGAGAATTCGAAAGGAAAATGAGAAGAGAAAAGAGAGGGAGGAGGAGGACGCTATGGAGAAGGGTAGAAAACCAGTAGATCATCAAAGTGCCGTACTTACACCACCGTCGAGAGCCGAGGATATTAGAACATCGACAGACGACAGTAATAGTCCGAGTCATTCTTCTGGTCAGGATCGTTCAGCTGCCGAGAGGGAAAGACAGAGGCTACGCGAACAAGAGCGTCGACGTCGAGAAGCGGTGAGTTATTCTTTTTTTCTTTCTTTCATTCTCCTCTCAATCAAAAAAGGAGATGCAATTTTTGTTTATATATATTTTATTCTTAAATTAAAGAGTTTTCTTTAAAAAAAAAGTTTTTCTTATATTTTTTTAATTATTCTTTTCACAGGCCTCGCACTCGTATATTAAAATCTACAAATTTACTACTTCTTTTACGATTTGCTACCATTTTGGATACTTTTTTCGATTTTTGACTCTAAAGGAATTTTTTAGAATTTATACTAATTTTTAAATCCGCTAATAATTGAAATAAAAAAATTATTTTCAAAAACCTTTAATAAAATTCTTAGAAACGCTCCAAAAAATTTTAACAAATTCTTTAAAACGATTTAATTGTTCTCAAAAACTTTAAGAAAATTTTTCCCAAGAATTCAATTATTTAAAAAAAGTTTATAAAATTCAATTATTTTCATAAATGATAAATTTCTTCGTAAGATTTCAATTATTTAAAAAATGTTCATAAAATTCAATTATTTTCATAAATGATAAATTTCTTCGAAAGATTTCAATTATTTCTAATACAATTTTAAATGAATTTCTCGTAAAAAGCAATTATTTGAAATTTTTTTTTTTAAATTCATTGAAACAATTAAATTATTTTCAAAAATTTTCATAAAATTCTGCGCAAGAATTCAATTATTTTCTCAAAATCATGAAATGCGTCGCTGAAATTCAATTATTTTCCATATCTACAATTTTAATCAAATTTCACAAAAGAATTCAATTATTTTTATAAATAATAACATTCTCAGGAATTCACTTATTTGTAAAAATTTTAATAAAATTCGTTGCAAGAATTCAATTATTTTCATAAACAATCAATTTCTTCGAAAGATTTCAATTATTTCTTATACAATTGTAAATGAATTTCTCGACAAATTCAATTATTAAAAAAAAATTAAATTAAATTCTTTACAAAAATTCCAATTATTTTTTAAATAAAATGTTCACAGAAATTCAATTTAAAATACAGTTTTCATAATATTATTTAAAAAATACTTTTCTAAAATTCTCCGGAAGAAATCAATTATTATTTTTAATAGTTTTATTAAAATATGTTTATAAGAATTAATTTACTTTCAATAACAATTGTTAATTATTTCCTTTAAAAAAATTGAATTATTTCCTAAAATATTTATGAAAAATCCTTTAAAAAATCCAATTCTTTAAAAATTTTTATTGAAATTTCTTTGCAAGCATTCAATTATTTTCACAGATAATAAAATTCTTCACAGGAATTCAATACTTGAAAAATTTTAATAAAAATCGTTGCAATAATTCCACTTTTTTTTAAAATAATAAATTTCTTCGCAAGATTTCAATTATTTCTACTACAATTTTAAATGATTTCCTCAGAGAAAAAAATAAAAAATTATTCTTAAAAATGTTATTAAAATTATTCTTAAAAATTCTATTAAAATTCTTTGAAAGAATTTAATTATGAATTTTTAAAAATTTTGATAAAATACTTTAATAAAATTCAACTTTCAGAGAATTATTCAATCAATTATCTACTTTTGTTTCTAAATAATTGAATTCTTTTAGAACAGTTAAGAATTGAATTTCAGCTAAAATTATATATAACAATTGAATATTAGAAGCGTTAAAATACGAAATAATTTTTTTTTCTAATTTTAATTTGACTGCCTTTGAAAATTTTAATCGTTTTAAAACTGTAATAATCTTTCAATATTTATCATAAAACATAAATTATTTATTATTTTCTTAAAGTGCTGTTAGAGTTTTGAATTATTTCATTTAAAAATTATGAAAAAATTATGCTTTTTGAAAAATTGGGTGTAATTAAAATTTTTTTTCAAGTCAGTTAAATTCCCGCGAATAATTTAAAAAGATTAAATTAAATTTGCAATTAATTGAAGATTTTATCGAATTTAAATAAAATAAATTTTATATTGTAAAGAATTTTATTTTACTTTTAAAAATTATATTTCAATGTATTTTCGAAGAATTCTAATTAAAAATTTCTAATTTAAAATAATTGAAGTTTAGAAAATTTCGAATTGAAGTTATTTTACCAGGATGAGAAAGAAAAGTAAATATTTTTATCGTAAATCAGGAAAAATAAAATATTTGATATTTTTGTGAATCGATTAAAACGAGATTTTTTTGGTCAAATTTAATTTTTTCGATAGTTAACGTTTCACTACTTTTTTCAGTCTTAAAGTTACTTTTTGACACTTTTTTAAAATTAATTATCGAGTGCGAAGCCTGTTTTCGAAATGTGCTGATTATTTTTTTACTTGACAAAAAATGTGCATGGAAAATGGAAGAAAAGCGATGATAATAAAAATCAAAAGGGAAACTAAGACGGGATAGAACACTCCTAAGTTTTATTTTTCAAAAAACAAAAATTAAATTTCCAAATATTAAATTTGGAAAATATTACGTTTATAATTTCAATTACAAATCTAATTGAATTTAAAGGCATTTAATTTTTGAAATAATTTAAATTCAATTGAATGTTTGTCCTATCCTTTGAAAAAAAACACAGAGATGACAAATTCGAAGGAATTTAGATTGCTTCTAGTTTTTGTGATCATTGTTTTTAGACAAACAATTTTTGAATTTCTCTACTAACCAAAAAGAAGACCAATTAAAAAGTTTTATTTCAATTTTTGAACATTTCTCGCTTTTTCAATTTCAAAGGAATTAAATTTTTTGATTATTTAATTTTTATTGAATTCGGCAAACCAAAATTTCTATAAAATGTTCCAAAAAAATATGAATTTTTGGAGTAAAATTAATTTTTTATATAAAAAAATAATTTTTTATTGGAAAAATCATAAAGTGTTTTGAAAATAAAAATACTGTCGATTAAACTCAATTTTGAAAGAATTGGAATTTTTTCAACTATTTAATTTTAATTTGTCCAAAAAGATTTATAAAATGTAAATTTTTGTACGTGAAATATGAATTTTATAATTATGTAAAACTTCCGTTAAATTAAATACAATAATTAAATATTTATTTATTTCAATATAAGAAAAAAACTTTTTAACGAACTCTTTTCATTTCTTCTATAAGAATGCAATCGAAGTTATCTCGATCTTTGTTTTTAATTTTTAATAAAAAAGCGATTGGTATATTTGTCGCTTGAAAGGATTTCAAAAACAAAACAAAAAAAAAAGAAAAATTCGAGGGGGACTCGTCCAAAACTAGGTACCTTTGTTATTTCAGATGGCTGGCCAGATCGACATGAACATGCAAAGTGATTTGATGACTGCGTTCGAGAATTCATTATAATGTTATTATAAAATGCTGCTCACAAAGTTGGAGCCTCAGAAGCCAGGCAGGATTTGGCGAGAGATGTTTCACATAAAATTCAAAATTGGACGATACCACAGAATCGTGTTTAATATATACTGTTAATATTAATAACTAGTGATGTTAAATAATAAATAATAAACTGATTCATGGATGATCAGTGCTCTAGCGTGTGATAGTGGTGCAAAATGAAGAAGAAAAAAACTGGAAAATTAATTCCCAAAAAACAAAAAAGAACCGTGTGAAGTGTTATTCCTTCGTTTCGACTCGAGAATAACAAAAAGACACTGTAATTTGAAATTACTGTCTCACAATGACGCGAGGAATCTGCGTGTAAATTTTTTTTGGACACAATTTTCATGTGACCATATTAAGATTAAAAAGAAAAAAACGAAACAATACCTACAGATACTTCGAGATATTAATACAAATTATGTTAAAAATTTCTTTCCGGTTTTTCATAAGTTTGTACTTTATTGTAAATTTTTTTTTTTTGGAAATGCAACAAGACGAAAAAGAAACGCGCACTAAACTGAGATAAGGTGATGCGTTTTGCGTGCGAGAAAAAGAAAAAATGAATAATTGTGTATTTCGTGTGTATTGAACAGAAGGGTGTGTAAAAGCTGTGTATATTTAGTTAAGTTTTATATTTTTCCACATTCAGTCATTGATTGTTGGGTAGGATTTAAAGTTTTTTTTTTTTTTTTTTTCTTTTGCCAATATCTATTATTAATAATAGTTATAAATTTTTGATCATATTTTTGGATGAACGATTAAAATTCTCGATTACGAATTCGACTAATTTGTAAATTTTTCTTAAAAAAAGAGTAATCGTGAATCGTGATAGTTCTGTCCAGGTGTACAGACTTTGAAAAAATAAAAAAAAGAAGGAGAAAAAAATTTTTTTTCAATCGTGGACGTTCGTTTATTTACTCGGTTTTTTTCAATTCCGAAAGAAGAGAAAAATACGCGCGATTTGCTACTGAGAAAAAAAATCGTCAATTATTAAATAAGCTTAATAACAAACAATAAAAAAATCCTCGATTCCTCTGTCGGCTACGAATTTTAAGACGTCTGTTATTTTCAAAAGTTTAACATGCGTCGAAATATTGATGTTTTTCAACATCAGATTAATTGAGATCAAGAAATTCTTCTTCCCATCTCTCCAAGTGATTAAGAAAAAAATCTCGCATTGGGCAATATATGTATAAATTTATTATTCGGCGCAAAAAAATACAATGAAATCGAATTTGGACTCGCATCGATGATGAAAAATAAATATAAATAAAGGGTACAAAAAAAGACTTTGAAAATAAGATTTTTTTTTTGTGAAAATGATTGTAAATTTTTTCCAAATAATTTTGTTTTTTGAGACGAAATGACGGGATTTTACTTTCTAAACATATTGTAAGAGCGCAAGAGGCAGAGTTAATTATATGAGCTTCGATTAATTGCTATTAAATTATTGAAATGAAAAACAAAACCTCGTGGTTCTTTTATAACTAATTTTACTCTCCTCGTCTTCCCTGGTGGAAAAAAAATATTTCACCAAGGTTAATTTTGCATAATTTTGAGAAAAAATAGCACAATCTGTGTATTTTGATAATTGATAACTAACTTTTCTCTTAGTTTTTTTTTCCTATTTAATTCTAATTATTCAATTTAATTAAAAAAAAGAAATTTGGAAAATTGTATTTACAGAGAATATCGAAGTTTATAAGATTACTCCAATTTAGAAAATAGCTAAGAATGGATGAAAGCGCGTGTTTTTTTGTCGACGTAGAATATTTGACAATTGGTATTAATTGAATTTATCAGTTATTGATCATATTATAGTTGTTATATTTAGAAATATTTAGGTAAAAATTATATTTAAATAATATAATCAAGTTTTCGAGAAAGAAAAAATATTGCAAAAAAAAAAATTCTATCGAAGGAAAGTTAGTCATTTTTGTTTTGAGAAGGAAAATTCACGATAATGTGCAATTTTCGATCGAATCAATTTTCTTTTTCGTTTATATATACAAAAATGTGTATAAATATATAAATATAAAATATAATTATATGCATTGTGTATTTAAAAAGAAATGTAACAAATTGTTATTTGTTTCGTTATTTCGTTACCCGAATAGTATTTGAAGCTCAAAAATCAAAATAAAATTTACTTTTTTAAAAAATAGTCGCATTTTTCTTTTTTAATTCGTTTTTTTACTCCCTGACATATTTTTATTTACTAAACAGATTTTTAATTTTATTTCCAGATGAGATTTACTTGTTTTTAAAGTTGTTATTGTTATGCTTTTTGATTTATACAAAAAAATTTTATTTTTTAATTTTTCTTTTTCGAATAAAATTTATTCGAGGTTTTCATATTTTAAAAAAAATCAGTTTTTAGAAGACATTTAATTTTTACAGTTTTTGAAATTCAAATACTATTCGATAGAAAAAAAACTATATTCGAGAATCGAAATATCTCTTTTCTTTCTTCCATATTATTAGTAAAAAAAAAATTCAATTTTGCTCGATGGGATTAGAATTTTCCACCTGGAAATCTATTTTTCGAAAATTCAGGGCGTGAATTTTCGAAATGATTTTTAATCACAAATTTATGTCTTTCCAAGAAATTATATTGTTATCGCTATTTTTAAAAAAGTTTATTCATTTCACGTGACAATTTTCTACACATCCCATCGATCAGTCTTGTCATTTCTCTTTTGATTCTCGAAAACAAATTATTTTATTTACTTTCACCAATAAAAAAAAATTTTTCTCAACAAAAAATAAGTTTTCCAAACAGAAAAATTTCTTTTTTAAAAGCAAAAAAAAAAAAAATTCATTATCTAGCTTTTTAGGAAAAAAATATTTTTAAAAACTCTGAAAATTGTATTTTTGGTTTTTAATTCTAAAAAAAAATTTCAACTCTTATTTCACTAAAAAAAACTAGAATAATGCTGTGAAAAAAAAGTGTGTAAGTGTAATAGATAGAAGTGTATAAAATATGTGGTTTATAAATGTAAATATTTAAAGAAAAAAAAATCATTGGCAGCAATTAAACAATCGTTAAGATAAAAACCCTTGTATAAAGAATAAAAAAAACATGAAGAAAAAAACAAACACCTCTATTGTATGTGATAAGGTTTGTAATATTTAAGAGAGGCCGAAAGACAGATTGTGTAAGCTATAAGATCTCAAGCCTAAGTTTAGATTTTAAAGGAAAAAAAAAAGATGAAATGAAAAACGACGACGATAATCGTATATGTAACGCGTATAAGTAACACCAAAATCACTCCATTGTAATGAAGATAAAAAAAACAGAAGTAATTTTTTATATAAGTTCCACGGGCGCACATCATTTCCAATGGCACACATTTCAATTTTAGCAAAAAGAAAAGAAAAAAAGGAAAAAAATAAAACAAAAACTTACTACTATTACTATTATACTTATTATATTATACTAACTAAACGAACGTTAATAAAAAAAATGGTTGTACATAAATAATTAATAATTTTAAATAAATGGCTAAAAAAAAGAATAAATAAACAGACCCTCGATGTTGTTAAGTAAAAGGAAAAGTGTTTTTTTCTGTATTTATCAATTTCCCAAAAATAATTCGGATTTTCTATTATCCTTTCTCTCTTCATCCGTTCTTTGTTATCCTACTGTTATTTAAAAATAAAGAATTTTAAAAAAATGTTTATTTTTCAATTATTCTATTTTCTAAACTCAAAAAATAAGTTTTCAATAATTAATTTCTTTTTTTTTATCTGTTACGTTTTTTCTTTCTCAAAAAGTAATTCTCTTCTTTAGCTAAAAATTCTACGATTTTTTTCAAATTATTTTCAAGATCTACTTTTACATTTTCTTTCAAGAAATAGTTTTTAGTCTTTTATCAATTACATTATTTTCAATTTTCGAAATTTTATACTGCTTAATTTTTTAATTTTACTCGTAATTACTCAACTTTTAACGAAATTTTTCAAATTAGGAAAAGAAAGCAAATTTCCTTTTACTTGGTAATGATTAGAAAAAATACTAATAAATGTATTTGCCGATACTCTTTGATAAATGTATAACATTTAGATTTATTATTATAAAAAAAATAACACAGGAGAAAAATGTGTCAATCAGAAGTAAGAAGATTAATTAATATATATTATATATACATAAAAAAAAAGAAAAAAAACCCCCTATAATGTATATTTTACCTTCCCTAATTTGCAGTTTTTACATTTATTATGTAATATAAATAAAAAAAATTTTTCTCTTTTCTTGTGAATGAAAAAGTCATCCATTATATAGAAAAAAGAGTGTGCAGAGTGCGAAAAAAATATAATATCGGGTTTTTGTCTCACAATCTAGTTTTCCTTCGATTTATGAAACAAAAAATATGAAAAAAAAACCAATAGAAAAAAATATTGTATGTGAAAACAAAAGAATGTGTGAAATCATTGTGTATACTATTAAACATTAACAAGGTAACAAAAATATTATATATAATTATATATTGTCGTATATATATTATACATATATATTATTATAACATCCAGAAAAATATGCTTATTACCTTCGAAGGTTGAAATATTATTAATAACTAATTGAAAGTAATTTGTTTTAGGTATTAATTTTTTTGAAAAGAAAAGAAACCTTTCAAAATAATAGTCCCTAATTATTTATTCAATTTTCAGAAATATTTTAAGTTCAGTTTATATAAATATAAATATATAATTTAAGTTAAGATATATAAGTTATTTTGAATTAATTATTAATTTGAATAAAAGAGAGTACGATAGTGAATTAATTGTTGTTTATTTCCTTCTTTTGTTTCATTCTTCCTCTGTTCTTTCTCTTTCTCGCTTTTTTTTAATTCAATTTTTTCGAATTCTGTTGAAGCTTAAATCTTTGATATTCTTTTAATCTTACCGCTTGAATTCGAATAAATCCTCCAGCATCTTCCGGTTGAAAATCACCTTTCACATCCATTGAGACAAGTTTTTCGTTGTAAAGCAAAATTTCACTCGAACGTCCCATTATGAAGACTGTAATTAATTTCCTTTTATTGTCTTTTTCAATTTCAATTAATATTAATGTTAAAAAATAAAAGTAAAAAAATAAATTAATAAAATAAATAAAAATAAATTTAGAAAAAAGACTGATTTCGATTTAACTTTGAAATAAAAATTAATGAAACAGACCATTTCCTTTATAAAGTCGAAGTCGAACCGATCCGCTAACGAATTCTTGGGAATTCTCCAAACAATTTTTAACAAAATCGCATTCAGGCGAAAACCAAAAACCTAAAAATTGAGAATTTTAAAATAAGTCAAAAATTATTAAAAAAAAAAAGAAAATTATAATTTTACATAATTAATTAATTGATTTAAACTGACCATTGTAAACGTAATCTGACATTTTATCAGCCAAATAACATTTGAGTCTCAGGACTTCTCTGTCCAGAAGATAAATTTCCAAATCTTTGTGTGCATCGTGAAGAATTTTCGTTCCTGGTGACTCGTAAATTCCTCTTGACTTTAAAATATTGTCTTTCATTAGAAAAAAAAAACATTTCTAATTGTGCAAATATTTTTAAAAAGTATTTTTACGAATTAATTTTAATTATTTGAAATTTACGAATTATTTTCATCAAAATTATTTCTTTGGATAAAAACTCAATTTTTAACAATAATGCGAAAGAAAACAAATAAAAATATAAAATAAATTAAATAAATGATTAATTAAATACAAAATTATTCTTTGGAAAAAACTCAATTTAACAATTATGCTAAAGAATGTAAAGAAAAGTATATAAATAAATATAAAATAAATATAAATAAATAGAAAATAAATAAATATAAATAAAAATTTTGTAACGAATTTTTTTTTCTTCAAAATTAATTATACCTTCAATCCGATATATCGATTTTCAACAATATCAATTCTTCCAATTCCATTATTACCACCGACTAAATTAAGAAATTCCATGATTTTTAATGGTCCACAAATAATTTGTTTTGTTTCATAATCCTTCACTGAATTTGGCACTCCTTTTATGAAATTAATTTCTATCTCTTGAAATTTATCAGAACAAATAAATGGATCTTTCGTCAATTTATACAAATTTTCAGGAGCAGAATTATTCGGATTTTCTAAAATTCCCGATTCATAGCTAAAAATTATAAACAATAAAATTAAAGAACAACAAATTATAAAAATATAAATATTTCCAAACAGAAAAATAAATATAAACAACAGAATATAGGAATAAAGTTAAATAAATAATTTATTATAAAAAATAATATGAAATAATTGAAATAAAGAGAGAAATAAAATAATTGTAACAGGAAGAGAAACAAAAATAATTCAAAAGAAAAAGAAAAAAATATTTAAATTGATTAAATGAAATTAATTAAATTGAACATTTAAAAGTTAAAAATCAAAATGAAAAAGAAAAAGAAAAATACCTAATGTGCAAAAGATTGGCATCCATACTCCAAGGATCTTTTGGAGTCGCCGACACTGGAATTCCATTTTTTTCGCATAATCTATTAAATCAGATCTGCCTTGAAATCGATTGAAAAATTCCGCATCTCTCCATGGAGCGACTATCTTTTTAATTTAATAATGAAAATTTTAATATTCATCAGTCGAAAAAGTGAAGAAAATTAAATTTTGTGTCGAAAAATAAAAACAAAAATTTGAATTTATAATAATTGGAAAAAATAAATTCCAGAATGTGAAATAATATAAAAATAGGAATAAACAATAATTGTGTAAAAATTAATAGTAAAAAAAAAGAAAAACCTCCACTTCCGGATAGAGAGTGTAACAACTAAGTTCAAATCGAATTTGATCGTTTCCCTTTCCAGTTGCTCCGTGAGAAATAATTTTCGCATTTTCCTTTTTCGCTGCATTAATTAAACCTTCGCTGATGCAAGGACGTGCCAATGATGTTCCCAGTAGATATCTTCCTTCATACAATAATCCACATTTCACGAAAGGCCACACATACGAAACGATGAATTTTTCTTTTAAATCTTCAATAATTACCTTTAAAATAAATGAAATAAATATAAATAAATTGAATAAATTAAATAAAAGAAATAAATTAAATAAAAAAATAAATTAAATAAAAGAAGTAAAATATATTAATTAAAATAAATTTAAATTAAATAATTTAAAAATAAAGGAAAATTAAAATAAAGTCGATTATAATAAAAAAGTTTAATTAGATTATATTACTTAAAATTTTAAATATAAATTAAAATAATAAAATATGTTTTTTTCGAACAGAAATAAAATTAATAAAATACCTTCGAAGCACCTATTTTACAAGCCTTCTCCCTAACAGCTGCGAAATCTTCCTCCTGACCAATATCAGCCTAGAAATTCGTTAATAAAATTAAATAAAATTAAATTCGTTAATAGTTTTCTTTTTTAAATAAAATAAATTTTTCTGCCTTGTGCTTACCACGTAAACAATCACATCGTATCCTTTTTCAATTAACCATTTTAAAATACAAGATGTATCTAAACCTCCACTGTAGGCAAGAACAATTTTCTTTTTTGCTTCCGACATAATAAAATTATTAAATTAAATTTTTTTTTATTGAAAAAAGTGAAGTTACTTTTGCAAATAATAATCGTGACCGAGACAAGACACCGAAAAGATAATATTTGACCTTTGAATTAAAGATAGCAAATAATTCTCATTTTTTAATATACTTTAATAAAAAATTAATAATTCTCATTTTCAATTACACTTTCCTCAATTAATGCTAATAAAAAATTGATAATTCTCATTTTCAAGTGGACTTTCTACAATTAATTACAATTAAAGTTAATAATTCTTATTAAATGAATAATTAATACAAATTATTTATTAAATGAATAATTTTAACAATTAATGCCAATAAAAATTAATAATCAAAAAAATTTTTAAATATACTTGAAATCTGTCGAGAAATTTAATTAAAATTATATTAAAAATAATTGAATTCCTACGAAGTATTTTATTATTTATAAAAAATAGAAAAATAAAATAACAAAATTTGTAAAAATACAAAATCAAAGTTTTTTCGATGAAAATTTAAATTCTTTTGAGGAATTAAATTAAAATTTTACTGAAAATATTGAAACTAAAATCATTCAAAAATTGAAGTTGACATTTGAAAATGTAAAAGAATTCCTGCGAAAAATGTTATTAAAATTTTTGAAAATAATTGAATTGTGTAAATTTTATTTTAGAAAATAATAAATATAATAATTTATTTTTTAATAAATGAATTTGTTTAAATTTTGATTCAATAATAATTATGCAAATAGTAAGTACTATAATTATTATACGAATTAGAAAAAAAACTATAATTGAGAAATGAAATCAATAGGAGTTTTTGAGAAAAAAAACTACTTTTAATTACACTGGTGTGTAGGCCTTTATAAGCATAACACTTTGACTTGTGCTACAACTACAAACATACATATATATATTTTTTCCATAATTTATAAATATCATAAACTCTATAATAATATCGTTGCCACGTAATTGCAACGCGTATTAACGTATTAATTTTAACTTATTAAATACAAGAACGATCAATTATGTAACAGACAAAAAAAGATTTTTCCCAAAAAGTGATCCCCTAATTAATTTCGATCTATCGACAGTTCAACTGTTTCTGTAGTTTCATTTTTCTCATTCTAAACATAAATACTCTACAGATTCTAGAAGAACATTTTTCTTTTTTTTTTTTATAATTATCAACTATTTAATTAATTATTAATCTGCGCAATGACTTCCAGCATTGCTTTTTTATATTATTTTGGGCGTGTGCAAAGAGTTATAGACAAAGTGAAATTATTTTTGTTTGTTTTTCTTTTGCTGAAAGTGCTCTTTAATATATTATTATTTTAAAATTGCTCTTTAATAAAAATTATTAAAGAATAATTAAAATCTACAATTATTACATTAGTTACTCGTAAGGAGCAAAAATTGTAAAGATTCAAAAAAGCTATAGAGATTTACAATTATATATTATGTTTCTCTAGAAGGAAAATGCGCATCAATTTTTTTTTTTTGAAATTTTCTAGATTAAAAATTCTAATGTGAATTGAATACTGATTGACTTTCTTTGCTTTGATTTCTATTTTAATTATTTCATCAAAAAAATTTGATGCAATTTTCATTCTGGAGAATTTTTTTTTATAATTATTAACAACTTTTAGGAAAAATTGATATTTTCTTTTCAGTATGAACTTGGATTCGTTACTTTCTAATACGAAGTTGTTTCATCACGCACTTTTGGCGAATTTCTATTATTTTTGCACTCCTCCCGACTAAAAGAGCTTCTTTTTTTTTAATACTACAAAGGTTTCACAATGTATTTAACACGCATTTAATATTCAGCCTTCAATTCAAAACTAATTTTTCTCGACTTTGAAAATTCTCTACAAAATAAAAAATACCAAAAATTAATTTCCTATTTTTTAATCATTTAATTAGAATTATAAATTAATTTGAAAAGAGCAAGTAAAATTGAATCTTGAACTAAATTAAAAAAGAAATATAATTTTTTTAAATAAAATTTTAGCACGATTCACGTTCGCACTGCGCAGTTTCGAGAATTTTTCGATCTGTTCGAATTAGAAAATAGAAATTTCTAGAAGGAAATTAGTAAAATTTAGTGAAATTAAGACCTTTCTCTCAGAAAAAATTCTGCGTAACGCGAATCGTCATCAGTACTGCCAATGAGTAATCATTCTAAATACTCTTCGTACAGGCACTTTTATACCAGATGATCTCTCGATACTTTCAAATCTCAAAGAGATTCAAAAAGCTTTTTTTTTCTTTTTCTTTTTGGTTAACTTTTCTTTTTAAATAACAGTCTCTTTCTAAAAAAGGTTTAGTCGTGAACCCATTTCTATTATTCCAATCGTTTTTTTAAGCGACTCGAATCTAATTCAATTGACACAGAGTGAAATTTCTCTAAAGTTAATTATTAATTTTCGCGATTAACGATTAGCCGATGAAACGCAGCTGGTATTACTGATGGAACCGTGACTATATTTGATGTTATACATAACTGAGTGGTGTTTGCGATAAACGCTCGGGAATGTTGATCAGCATCATCATCATCATCATCATTCGCCAGACAAGAAAAACAGAAGCCATTTACGAGCAATTCAAGTGGAGCTTTGACAAATCCTCCAAAAACGATCTTGGCGTTATTATATGCGAAGATCCTGAAAATAGACATATTTTTTAATTCTTTTCGTTCTTTTTTAAAGTTATTTTTCTTTAGTTGCAAATAATAATTATTACAAATAACAATAATAGGATTGACACAAGAATTTGATTTTTTTCCTGATTTTCAGAAGGACTTTTGAATTTTACTCTAAACGAATCGACAAATTCTATTGAAAGTAATTGAATTCTTGCAAAAAATTCAAATTGATTGAAATTCTGCAAAGAAATTTAACAAAAAATAATACTGTTTTCAGTACTTTTAATAAAATTTCCTGACTTGTGGCAACTCTGAATAATTATAAGCAAGTTGAATAAATTTCTCACCAACGATGACTTCCCAGTTTTTCAGAGCGTTCGTTACTTCATAGGCGCAACGAATTTCAGAAAAACTTACGCCACCAACGATAAATACAATCAATCGAGGTACATTTTTCACTGTCTGCTGTCCTTTATCCTTGTGCCAATGTCCATATCTCACACTAAAAAAATATACAACATTTAATTTATATTTTATTAATTAACTAGCAAACGTTACGCGCAATATTTAATTCAAATTCTGTTATTTTCAAATACGAACTTCAATTTTTGAATGATTTTAGATTCGGAATTGAAACAAATTAGTTTTTATTTATATTTATCTTCAATACAATTTTAATAAAATTTCTTTTGATTTTGATTTGAAAACAATTTTCAGAGTACTTGCTCACCTGGTTGGCGCATGATAGCCAGAACTAGTTGCCCTTCCACCTAAAAATGGAAAATGCTTGGAATCCAATTTATCCTCGATAGAATCTTCCATAATGTCCTTAACAACTGGCGTCCAACGACTCATTTGATAGGTTTGTTCCGTAATTCTTTCTTTACGTGGCACATTGTACAATTTCTTTCGATTACCCTAATTATTCAAAGAGGAAAAATTATTTCTTTTCTTTTTAAAATAAAAAAAATTACTCTTATAAATTATAACATTCTTTTTGAAGATTTTAAAGTTGAGGCAAAACATATTTAGAGAAACTTACATCGACAACGACATTAAGTCCAAGATTTGCCATATTAATAATTGTTTGTTTGTCCTCAGGCGATAATTGGGCATGATGAACGAGACGATTTAAATTGTCTTCGGGAAGTCCATTTTTACTGAGTACATAAAGCATAATAATGCGCAATTTGTCCACATTATTCACATTCTGATCGAGTAAAATAGGCGTTATATTTCGCATATGATCTTTTATTCGCTCGCCCTCAGCGTCTGTTCCCATTGCCAAATCCTGAAAATAATTGACAGGTTTTTGTAAATTTTATTGATAGGTTATTAAACTGTTTTACGTTTTTTATTCATTATTTCTTCTTTACTTTTTTGAATTATTTCATTTGAATGTTTATTTTTTTCTACTTTTTTCATTATTTCATTTGAATTGAATGTTTATTTTTTCTCTACTTTTTTTTCTTTTTTTCATTTGAATTGAATGTTTATTTTTTCTCTACTTTTTTGAATTATTTCATTTGAATGTTTTTCTCACCTGCTCGACTTTGCAGAGTTTGTCGACATTTCCCTGATATCGTTTCATACAGTCTTCGGCCAAATGTAAATGCGTGGCGTATTTGCTCAATTCCTTTTGATACTGAGGCATTTTCTTGATCATTTGCGAAAGATCTCTCATACTTTGTTTATCACCTTGAGGCATTCTTTTCGATTCAGTGAATTTCTTTAAATTTTTCGTAACGTTCCTATATAATTAAAATTTTAATCAGTTCTTTTTTTCTTTAAAACAAAAATCTCCATTTTATATAAACTATTTATTTTGGATTTAAAATTAAAAATATTTGTATCAACTTACTGTGAAACGACAGCAATATGCTGATGTCTGAGTTCCACCCACAAGTCATCGTTCTCATCTAAAAGAACTTCTTTCTCCTGTCCAGCAGTGGCTTCGTATCTGCAAATTTTATTTATTTATGATTTCTATTGTATTTATTTATTTTTATTTATATTCAAGTTATTTATATTTAATTTATGTCTATATTAATTAAATCTATGTTTTATCTATATTTATGGATATTATGTATCTTTAGAGTTATTTACTCCATATTTTTTATATTTATATTTACAATACGAAAATGTAAAATAAATTTAATTTATTTTTTCTTACTTGTAAACGTCGTTCTCAATTTCAAGTAAATCGTAAGCCATGGCCTGCAATGTGAGTTCGTGCAACAGAGGCGAAACGCTATCAAAACCTCGATCGAGAATTAAAAGATGAGAGCGAGCCTTTTCGGGCCCTTCGCCCATTGTCGGTTCATCTGCCTTGTAGGCGTCCAATTTTTGTTGAACCATCTGTGCCAATTCGACATTACGATCGAAATCGCTACAAAAGAAAGTTACATTAATTTCGAATTTTTATTAATACTTAATATCTAATAAAGTAAAATATTTAATAAATTAAATAAATAGAAATAAAGAAAATAAATCAGGGTTGCCACAAAAATTTAATTTTAGTTTCCCTGATATCAAAATCAATACCTTCGATATCGAACTGATGGATATTCACCAAGAGTGGCACAAAGTGTCGCAATTTGTTCAGCAATTCTCTCCATATTTGCACTACGAACATGATGTAACGATGGATTATAGAAACATGCAAATGTATCTCTTGAATCCAACGAGAAGACCTGAAATTCAATATTTTCTTATTAATCCTTCCATTAAACAATTAAAACAAAAATTACAGCTGTAGAGTAACAAAAATATATTTTTGAAAAAAAAGATTTTAAATTCAAAAATAAAGAAAAATTTACAGAAGAGAAAGCGAAAAATAAAAATTTGCACATAAAGAACAAGCGCCGCAGAATAACAATTTAACAAGACATTAGCGAATTAATAAAAAAAAGGTGTTTAAAATTTTAAAAAGGAAACTTTCGTTTTAAGTAAATTGTAAAAAGCGAGAGGAAACAAAAAAATTCGGGAAGATCACTTTTCTAAAATCTTAGTTCACCTGAGACTCATACGGCAAGAAAGCGATGTTGATCTCTTTGAGAGTTTTGATCTTTTTAGCGGCGAGTGACTTGCAGATGTCATTGAACAGCTCCTCCGGACACACTAGGCAAGTGCAAGTATGATAGGATAACGAGACGTTAATTTGTGCAAAATAATTAATGAAAATGAGACGTGAAATTGAGAGAATTTCGAAACATATTTAAACATATTTTTCTTTTTACAATTATTCAACTCAATAAATAGAAAAATAAAACAAAACTATATGTAATAAAATAAAATTACAAATCAATCAATTTGATAAAATTAATAAAATAATTTGATAAAAATTAAATTAAATTAAATTTAAATAATAATAATATAAATAATTATGTTTTAATAATTTTAATAAAAATTATATTTCTCTCCATATTGTATTTTTCACTTTTCTTTGCATTCTGGGAAAAAGTGTGTTACGGGTTAAATGTTAATTCATTCAATCATCACTGAACCAAGATCTTTTTCCCTCAGGTATTTATTTTTCTTATAATATTAACATTCAAACGAGTTATTGAGCTATAAACCCCACAGTGTTAGACAAATCAGTGTTGTTATTTTATAATCGAACGTTACAGACAAAAATGTATTAAAATAAAATGAAAATAAACGATACAAAATTGTTTATAAGACAAATGATCAGACCAAGGACATTAAAAATGATTTAGTAAAAATTTGCCAAAAACCATCAGAAAACATGAAAATATACAAACAACCCTTTTGAAATTCTATTTTTTAATTACCTGTTCCTCATAGGGAATAAAAGCGATGTTGATCTCTTTTAAAGTTTTAACGTACTTAGCTATCTTCGCGTTAGCAATATCATTGATCAGATTATCAGGACAAGCTGGAAAGAAATAAACTAAAATTTCCAGAAAAAAATTTTTAAAAACATAACGAAAATAAATACGAAAAAAATCACGTTCAAAGTTGAAAGACATGAACGTGCATAGAATAGATAACTAAAAGAAAATAACTAAAACAAATTAATAAGAAAATAAATAATTAAAAAAAAATACAGGGTTGCCACAAAAAATTAAATTTTGTTTTTTTCTGATTTCCAGAAAAAATTTTCTCTTTTATCCCTGACCTAGAAGAATATTCTACTTCACTATAAAAATAATTCGATCATTCGAAAAATTACATTATTTCTAAAAATTGCTATTATTTGTACCTTCTTTAAAATTCAATTATTTTTTTAGAATTTATTTTTAATTAATTATTAATTTATTAGAGTCAAAATTCTTCTATAAATCAACTATTTTTAATAATTAATTAAACAAGAATATATTAAAAAACTTAAATAAATTTAAAAGAATTTAAATTATTAAAATTTTTTAAAAGTACAATTAAATTCTATCGAGAAATTCTATTGAAAATAATTGAATTTGAGCAAAAAATTTAAAATAATTGAAATTCAGTCAAGAAATTTATAAAAAAAATTTTAATAATAATTGAAATCCTTTGAGAAATTTTATTGAAATAATAATTTAAATTCAGACATGAAATGTATCAAAAATTTTAAGAACAATTGAATTCTATCGAAAAATTCTATTAAAAATAATTGAATTTGTGCGAAAAATTCAAAATAATTGAAATTCTGACAATAAATTTATAAAAAATTTTAATAATAAGTAATTGAATTCTATTGAGACATTTTATTAAAAATTTAATTGAAAGTCTGTCAAGTAATTTATCAAAAAATTTTAATAATACTTGCATTTTTACTAAATATTCAAAATAATTGAAATTCTGCCAAGAAATTTACCGAAATTTTTAAAAAATAATTGAATTCTGATATTTTTTAAAAAATTGAATTAAAAATAATGAAATTCATTTAGAGAATTTTAAATAATTGAAATTCTGACAATTTATCAAAAATTTTAATAATTGTTGAATTCTTTTGAAAACGTTTATTGAATAAATAATTGAAATTCTATCAAGAAATTTGTCAAAATTTTTTAATAATAATTGAATTATTATATTCGAGAAATTCTATTAAAAATAATTGAATTCTTATTAAAAATTAAAAATAATTAAAATTCTGTCAAGAAATTTATTCAAATTTTCTAAAAATTATTGAATACTGATATTTTTTTAAAATTGGATTGAAAATAATTAAATTCATGCAACTAAGTTCTTTAAAATTTCTAATTAAATAAATAATAAATAAATAAATCAATTGAAAATTGAAATTCTATAAAATTTTTAATTCAAAATTTATTTATTTGTGAAAATTGTAAACACAAATCTTATAAAATTTGAATTTTTGAAATTTTTATGTAAAATTTTTCATTAAATAATTTTGTAATAATTTTATGAGATAGTTCTTCAAAAATAAAATTATTTAAAATAAATTATTGTTAGAAATAGAAAATATTGTAGGTTTTTTTATTAGAATTCGTGGTAATTTTATAGTTTATTAGGCAAACAAAAAAAACATCAATATTCAAATATTTCTTTTAAATTCTAAAAATTTAATTTTTTTCCTGTAATTTTAATAAAAGTTTCCTGATTTCCCTGACCAATTCTATTTTCTGATTTTCTTGACATATGGCAACCCTGAAATAACTAAAAAAAACAATTAAAAAAATAAAAATGAAGAAATAAAAAATGAAGAATAATTCCAATTGATTTCCCCTTTAAATTTAGTTTTTTTTGTCAAATTCCTTGAAAATCGTAAAAGTTGGACTTGATTTCGAAGAGTGTATTTAATTTAAATTGAATTAAAGTCTAATTAAATGCCCTGTTGTTTTTTTTACCTTCAGTGAAGTAAACGTGGGCGTTTTTATACTGGAGTCTACCGGGATTACTGAAGTCATCGATTAATTTTGTAACTGACGAATTGCTCGGCGTTATCAAATAAACAGCCTCCATTGTCGGTAACGGTTCTCGTTTCTTGTGAATATTTTCCACGAGTGTTATACCCTGAGCACTGATATCGTGCATTTTACAGCAAGCCGACACCATTCTCATTGACAATTGATCAACGACAAGAATCCTCCATTCCATTCCACCAGTTGTTTTCTTTTTCTGCTTAATGACTTCATTCATAATCTCTGAAAATTGTACAAAACTTATATTAGAACACAAAACAAAATTAATACAAAAATTACAGGAAATAAACACAAAAATTAATGAAGAAGTATTTAAACATAATAAATATATAAATAAAATAAAATAAAATAAAATTATTGAATTATAAATTCAGAATTAAGCAAAGATTTTTTGTCTCTTCCATACGAAAAGTCATTTATTTGATTTTCCATAAAACTGGAAATTCTCCAAGATAACAAATCATTTTTCAATTAAATAATGTGTCCTAAATTGTTTAACTTTTGATAAAACGATTAAAATTCAAAATATAATTAAAGATCGACAAAAAATTACAAAAGTAATAATAATATTTTTAAATAATACTATTTGCTACCAAATGTGTAAATATTGGAATATTTTAATTTTCTCCACCCTTTTTTCGAGGGGAAAATTAAAATAATAATATTTTAATTCTATTTGCTACCAAAATCTGTAAATATTGGAATATTTTAATTTTCTCCGCCCTTTTTCTGTAGGAGAGGGAAGGGAATTAAAATATTGAATTTCTGAAAAGGAAAATGTCATATAGAAAAATGATGAAATCACAGGAAATCTTTTGGAGCTTTTCATTGTATTGATCGCCCTTACGAACCAATGACGTCACACCTGTCAACCCTGCAGTCTGATTTCTCCCGTGCCCTGACTTTATTTCTAAACAATTAAGAAAATATTACAATAAAAAAAAATACTTTCTCCTTTAAAAATACAAATTTCGAATCCTTTTATACAAACCAATTTTAAGAAATTTACAAAACGGTTTATACAAAAATTTACTTAAATCTGTTTACAATTCTTTCTTTTTGTGGATAATACAACAATGTAATTGATTTTCTATTTTAAAAACTGCATTCCAAAATAAATAAACTTTCAGATATGCAAATTAAAATTTGTCACTTTTATAAATACTCGTGATCCTTTGACATTTTTATTTTTAAACAGTACCAAAAATAGGTTCTATTGATTCAGAGTGAAAAATGTCAACGAACCTTCTCACGTGCTTCTTGAATAATATAATTAAATTCTATTGTTGCACTTGTAAATAAAAAAACAATTGACAAATTTGTTAAAAACTTAATAACTAATAATAATAACTTTAAAAAGTAAGAAAGTAAATAATAAAACGTAAACACAGTTTTAACTTTTACGTTCGAAAGTATTTTTCTTTAAAATAATTAACCAGTAGAGTTGAATTTTCGATTTTATTAGAAACTATTTTTATTATTGTGAAAAAAAATAATTAAAACAAATATTATGTTTTGGTGAGAGTTTTCTAAAAACAATAAAACAAGTGATTCTTAACTCCTAAGACTTGTCATTTAAAGATTGGAATATTTTGAAAAAATTACTATTTTACAATCAATAGCAAGTTTATTTTTGAATTAGTTTTTTTTTTCTTTATTGACAAAAAAATGACATTTTCTGTAATAGCCGCACAGTGATGAAGTCATCGAGTGACAAACGCCCACTAAATACAACGTCATTTTTAATTAGTACGAAAAGATGAATGCGGAAAAAAGGAGAAAATTTAAAATTAATATAAACAAGAATATCTTTTAATAACTCTTTCTTCATTTTCTTGCCTTTAAATCTAATGAAAATAGTAAATTTCTTTAATACTCACTTTGTCCAACCTGTGATTTCAACGCCATTTTGACAGGACTGATTGTTAATTTTGAAAATTCCCGCTAGGGTGCGCGATTGGTCGATACAGGGATGAATAACTCTTGCAAATAAACATATTAAGGTTCGTTTTCATATTTCAGTTTGTTTTTGTTTATGTTTTTGTCGGTTTTGAGTTATTTGACATTTTAAACTTTATAAAGAGGTTTTAAAGTAAATATAATTAATATTTAATGCGTTCAATGCAATTCAAACAATTTAAAATTATAATTATATCGTAAGGTTTAAAGTCCTCTCTGAGTCTTTCAATTTTTATTTTATTGACAATTTTAATATTTATCTGTGTTCCAACTTATTCCATAAGCTCCATAAGGTACAAAAATATATATAGTTTATTTATTAAGTATAATAGAAAGAATTTTGTATAACAAGTGTGTAATTATTTATAAAGTTTAGCAAAATTTCTAATTTTAGTAAATTGTGTGCTCAAAATTGTTCAATTCAAATATAATTTAAAAGATTTAAAACTTGCGACGCTTTTTGAGGTTATGTCTAAATGTCAAATCTGTCAAATTCCTGAGTGAAATATTTTTAAGTTTATATATAATAAAAGTGTTTTACAATTTCTAGATATATGTTTATTAACAAACAATTAAACAGCTTAAAATAGTTTATTTTATTGTAGAGCGTTTATTTAATTTACTGCCGACAATCAAAATGTTTATTTTTGATTGATATGACCTAAATTAATCACTTACGATCATCGATCAAAAGTTTGTTCTGAAAAAAAATCCTCTCAATAGTGTTAGTGAATGATTTTACATTTTAAATTCATTAAATTAAATAATTAAGTTTTTTAACAAAATTAATTCGTAATTAAATTTAATTAAACATATTATTTTTAAATTTTTAATATAAAAAACACAAGTTTAAAGACAAAAATAAACTTTTGTTATTGATTATGTAAAGTTTTGTTTATATTTGTTTTCATAATTCGTGAACTTTATTCAATTGTTTCTAAGTTCATTATTAATTTGTTTATTAATTAGATTTTTTTTCTCATCTAGTTATGAAATCACCTTAAGATCAAAGTTCAAAAACCAGTCATGCAAAAATTCTCGTCTGTTCTTCCGAATTTAAATAAATTACCAGTAAGTTATCTCATTTATAAGCAAAATATGTTCTCATCGTAAAAGGCGAAATAATTTAAAAAATATACAGTTTTTGAAAGTGAAAATAATGCAAAATAAAAATAATTAACAGTAATTTAAACTATAGGATTAAATATAATTTTTTTCAGACATTTAAACGTTTGAAATTTTATTTTCCAACTATGCAACAAGCTTCGACGATAACTTCTTTAAAACTCAATCAACTCAGTCTTCCGAAACAACCTGTGCCAGACTTGAAAAAAACTGCAGCAAAATATTTAATGTAAGTCTCCAAATTAATACTTTAATTTAATTGAAGAAAAACGAAAATAAATATTTAAAAGTTAAATTTAAACTAATTTCAGATCATTGAAGCCGCTACTAAACGAAGAGGAATATTGCAAAACTGAGAAAATTGTTAATCAATTTATTAGTGAAAATGGAGCTGGACCAATTTTACACAAAAAATTACGAGAGAGATATGAAAAGACTGAAAATTGGGTAAAGATATTTATTGAAATTAAAATTTTTCTAAAGTTTTCAACGTTCAAATCAACATTTTTTTCTATTTAAATATTTTTCAAAATTAGGAATTAGGAATTATAATAAAATTCTTTACAAAATTTAATTATTTTCATTAATAACAATATTCATCACAAGAATTCAATTATTTTCAAAAATTTTCCAGTAATTCTGCAAAAGAATTCAATTATTTTGATAAACAACAAAATTCTTCCCATAAAATCAATTTTTTAAAGGAATTTTAATAAAACTCTTTTCCAAAATTCAATTATTTTGATAAATATAAAAATTCATCAATTTTTTCAAAAGTAATACAATACTTTGCAGGAATTAAATTATTTTCAAATTTTTTTTTTAATTCTCGGGAAGAATTAAATTATCTTTAATAATAGTTAGCGAAATTTTTCTCAAGAATTCAATTATTGTCAAAAATTGTAATAAACTTATTTGCAAAATTTCAATTATTTAAACAAAATTTAATAAAATCCTTGGCAAGAATTCAATTATTTTCGTTAATAAATAAATCAATTCTTCGGAGAGATGCAATCATTTTCCATACAATTTCAATAAATTTTTTTGATGGAATTCAATTATTTATAATTGTTTGATGTTTTTATTTTCTAATATATATTTAAGTTTTAACTGAAGAATTTTCATATAATCGAAATTTCGTAAAATTGAATTGTAAACGAATGAATTTGAAAATTCTCAAAGAAATCTTAACTCCTATAGAAAAATAATAATGATTAAATATTTATTTAAAAACGAAGTTTTTATAATTTAATTTAAAAATTTCTTTAATTGTAAATAAATGTAATAATTTCTTTAATTGTAAATAAATGTAATAATAATTTTTTTTTGAGTATTTAATAATTTTTAGAGTGAATCAGAATAATCTTTATACTCAGGGAAAAAGTCAAAATTTTGTCTGGAAATCAGGGAAAAACAAAATTAAATTTTTGTAGTAACCCTATTAATTCTTTAATTAATTAATTCTTTTAATTAAAGATGAATGAATGGTGGTTGAAAGCTGCTTATTTGGGCTACCGTTTGCCGGTAATTGTTCATTCAAGTCCAGGAACAATTGCTCCCCCTCAAAAGTTTCAAACTCCTGACGAAATGTACTCATTTGCCGCACGTCTTATTGAAGGAGTTTGTAAATACGACGCTATGGTAAAAAGGTAAAATCCAACGAATAAAAGAAAGAAAAAAAATTGTATTTCTTGTAAATTTCAATTGAAATTATCTCCAATTTTAGAATTAAAATTATTTTTCAATTTTTTTTCCAGTCGAAAAATGAAGCAGGAAATGATCCGCAACGAACCGCTCGATATGCTTCCGTATGGGATGATTCTTGGCACTCATCGTCAACCGAATCGAATAATTGACAATCTCTTGCATACAGATACAACTAGGCATATAATAATCATCTCCAATAATCACGTATGATTAATTTTTTTTTTCAATTAACTGGATTTTTAATTCACTCTGCGATTTTCTTGTTTGGTTTTAATAAATTTCTTTTCTTCTTTTTTGTTTTTAATAAATTACTTTTCTTCTTTTTAGCTTTTCAAATTAAATCTTGTTGATCGTAATGGACTATTAACTGAAAATCAACTAAAAGCTTCCATTAAAGATATAATTAAACGCTCAAGTGAACCTGGAAAATCAGTTGGAATTTTAACCGGAAATGATAGAGACACTTGGGCAGAAAATCATGCGATACTCAAAGGTAAATTAAAGCCAATTTATATATATATAAATGTTACAAAGATTATTTTTAATTTCTCCACTAATAATTTTTCATTACTAATAAAATATTTATTAGAATAATTCATTTTCTAATTTTCCTAAACAAATTTTGTTTGCAAGCCCATTTATATATTGAAGTAAATAAATAAATAAATTGCAGGAATTGGTTCCAATGGGAAAATTCTCAAAGATCTTGAATCGTCTCTATTTGTTCTTTGTTTGGATAAAAAACTTCCGAACGATGCATTTAAATCGAAAAACAACGAATCAGTGAGATCAGTTCAAGGCATGACTGGTTTTAGTTCTTCGACGAATGCCGGTAATCGATGGCATGATAAAACGGTTCAAGTAAATCACTTTTATTTAATAATACATAGAAATTTGAAAAATTGCCTTAAAGTAATTAAATAAATTAGTTTAAAATTAATTAAATTGATAAAAAGGAACAATTTTTCAGTATATCGTCTCCAGTGACGGATTCCTTGGAATGGAATATGAACACAGTCCCTGCGAAGGTGTTCCTGTCGCTGTTCTTCACGATTTCGTCTTAAATCATGTGTAAGAATTTTAAATATTTTAATTTGTAAATTTTAATTATTTTACAGTTCAATTATTCTAATTATTTTATAGTTTATTTCTAATTAGTTATGAATTAATAATTAAATTTTCAGAACCAGTAAATTGGACATTAAATGTGAGGATGCGAAAGATTTTCCTCAAGCCGAGGAATTAAACTTCGAGTTAAACGACAAAATTGAGAAAGCAATTCATGAAGCCTCAAATGTAGTTGATAGGTAATTCTTTACATTCTTTGATATATTTAAACAGAAAGAAATAAATTATTTAAATTGTTAATAATAATTAAATATGCAAAAATTAATAGATTTTTGTTAATTTTGTTTTTGACAGACTTTCGGAGAACATTGACATGGAATGTTTTACATTCAAAGAATTTGGCAGTGATGGAATAAAAAAATGCAAACTCAGTCCCGATAGTTTTATACAGATAGCAATGCAAGTGACATTTTATAAATTGCAAAAAAAACCGCCGGCTCATTATGAATCGGCGGCACTTCGTAGATTTATCAATTCGCGAACAGAATGCATACGATCAACTAGTGTCGAATCTGTCGAATTTGCGAAATTAGTTAATTCAAATTGTGATAATAATAGCGAGAAGAAAAAAGCATTAATTAACGCAATTAATGCTCATAAAAAAACTGCTGGAGAGGTAATTTTTTATAAATTTTATTTTACTTTCTTTTGTCTCCTTGTCCTCCTTCAAGAATTTTTTTAAATTAATTATTAAGAATTAAGTTTAAAAAGCGGTTTAATTAATTAATTATTAAAAACTAAATCTAAAAAAATTTTTTTTAAGGCGGCAGTAGGAGAAGGAGTTGACCGACTCTTCTTTGGACTCAAAATGATTGTGAATGAGGAAAAAATGGAAATTCCAGAATTTTATAAAGATATTGGCTGGACCAGAAGTACGCATTTCACATTAACTTCAAGTCAGGTAAACAAAGATATTTTTTATTCCCAACAAATTGAAATTAGCTCATTTCATTAATTTTACAATTATTTTTCTTATCTGATTTTAATTAGAAAAACATAATTAAAATCGAAATTTAAAATTTTTTAAATTTAAATTAAAGTACTTGAAAATACAATAATTGAAATTAAAAATTGAAATTAAAATAATTGAAACTTAAATTTAAAATTAAATTTTTTTAGAAAATTTTTAATTGAAATCGAAATGAGAATTTCAATTATTTCTTAATTAAAAATTAAAGTACTTGAAAATAAAGTAATTGAAATTGAATTTAAAATTATTGAAATTGAAAATTAAATTCATAATAATTCATATTTAAATTTAAACGTAAATTTTCTTAAAAAATTGAAATTGAAATAAGAATATTTGAGATTGAAATTAAAATGACAATACTTGAAATTGAAATTAAAAGATAAAATTGAAATGAGATTACTTAAAATTGAAATTGTTATTTTAAATTAAAATTTAAAATAATATCGATAATTAAAACTTACAATAATTGAAATCAAAATGTACTTTAAATTTAAAATTAAAATAATAAAAATTGAAATGAGAGTACTTAAAATTGAAATAAAAATAATTCAAAGTGAATTTGAATAAATTGAAATTTGAAATAAAAATAATTTAAATTCAAAATTAAAACAGTTGAAATTGAAATTAAAATCATTGTAATTGGAATTTTAAATTTAAATTTAAAATAATATCGAAATTTATACTTAAAATAATTGTAATTTAAATTTAAAATTAAAATAATTGAAATTGAAATGAGAGTACTTGAAATTGAAATTTGATATAAAAATAATTTAAATTCAGAATTAATTGAGGGGAAAATACTTGAAATTCAAATAAAAATAATTTAAATTGAGATTAAAATGATTGAAATAAAAATAATTTAAATTGAGGAGAATATACTTGAAATTGAAATAAAAGTAATTGGAATTTAACATAAAATGATTCAAATTTGAAATAAAAATAATTTAAATTGAAATTATGTAAAATTATTGGAAATTGAAATAAAGATAATTTAAATTGAGGGGAAAATACTTGAAATTGAAATGAAAATGATTGAAATTGAAATTTGTAATAAAAATAATTGAAATTTAACGTAAAATGATTAAAATTTGAAATAAAAATAATTTAAATTGAAATTAATATAATTTAAAGTGCTTCAAATTATAATTTAAATAAAAAATAAAATGAAATTTTGTTTTCGTATTTAAAAAACAATAAAAATTTATTTCAGGTCCCTTATAAAACTGCCTCATTCATGTGCTACGGTCCAGTTGTTCCCGAAGGCTACGGCTGTTGTTATAATCCAAGGAAAAGTGATATTCTTTTCGCATGTTCCTCTTTTAAAGACAATTCTGAAACTTGCACAAAAGCTTTCGCCGAAACACTACAAAATACTTTACGCGAATTGAAGAAAATTGCCGAACAATAGAATCATGATTGTTTTTTAACTTATTTTTATCAAACAAGTTTTTAGAAACTTATCCATTTTTATATATTTTCAGTTAATATATTAAATCATGCTTTTATAAACTTTACAAAAAAAGATTTTTACACTTGTCATTTATAGTTTTTAAAAAAACTGTTTTTTATATAGAAAAAAAAAATTGTTTTTCATACAAAATATTATTTATACATTAAATATTATACGGTTTATGTAAAATAGAATAAGAAAAAATTATTCTTATATATAGAATTTTTATATATAAAAAATCTGTTATAAAAAAATAATCTCACGATTGTTTGAATAAATTAATGATTTTTTTTTACAATTCGACTAGTTTTATAATTCCTCGTGGGTACTTGAAGTGGCTGCTGATTTTTCTGGTGGAAAGCCCCAAAAAAATGTGGGAAGACCTTTCACTTCACGTTCGCGTGCAACAAATGCGGAAAATGTTGATATACAATTACCAATGAAGTAATTTGCTTTCCCGAGAATTGCCAGATCTAAATGCGGAGATACATTTCGTCCCTCTTGTCTAAATGCTCGTACCTTTAATTAATTATTTCAATTAATTGTTAATTAAAGAAATATTTACTTAAGTTTTACTTAAAATTTGCTTAAAATTAATATTTACTTAAAATAAAAAAAAAATTACCTCCATTCTGGCGAGAGCGTTATTTAACTCATTAATCATGTAATTATTGTCGGAAGCGACAAATATCGATTTAATATTATTGTCGTTGCGAATAACGCGCTTAACGTGACGTAGAATAATATCTAGGGGTGGAAAGCACATTGTGGTCGTTGCCTTTCCTCGTTCGTTTCTATATCCTAAACACTGAGGAGCGGCGAAAAGATTCGGACTACTCGAAGTGAATTCACACGCTCGAACCTGAAAAATTAATTTGAATAATTAATTCACTCTTAATTATTGATAGAATTTAAATATCAAATTTCTCTTCTTTCTCCTATTTTTTTTATCAAACTGTAAAATTGTGAAAATGAAGGGAATTTGAAAAGAGCAAAACCCTGGCAACCCTGAAATGTAATTGAAACTAATTACCCAGTCAATTCCATTTCGTAAATGTATTCCAATGAATGCGCCAGCTGGAAGTTTTTGTTTAATAAAATTTTTCGCTTTCTCAGAAATTTCGTCAGTCCATTGCAAACATTTTTGCAAATATTTATTTTCTAATTGAACGGGAAATGTAGCGGGAGCTCCGGTGAATGCAAGAACTGGCCACGCAACAACGGGATATTTTTTCTTCCATTGATTTGCCATATCTCCATGATACATATCATAATGCATAGGTCCATAAAATTCGGAATCGACAAAATCAATATTATAAGTGTCCCAAAATGGACCGAATGGATTTCCCTCTTTGGGATTGCAAGTTGTCGTATTTCCACGTGGAGAATAACAGAAAGCTGAAATTTACACGTTCTTAGAAAAAGTTTAAACAATATTATTTAAAAATTAAATTAATTCATTTCAATTGCTTCAAAATTAAATTCATTCATTTTAATTACTTAAAAACTAAATTAATTTATTTTAATTACTCAAAAATTAAATTAATTAATTTTAATTACTTGAAAACTAAATTAATTCATTTTAATTAATTAAAAATTAAATTAATTCATTTTAATTATTTAAAAACTAAATTAATTCATTTTGAATCTTAATTAATTAATTAACTTAATTAGGGAAAAAATTACCTATTCTATACTCCGGTGGCCAAACATTTGAAGCAATTTCTTTCATAAATTCTTCCATTAAAATAACTTTGTGACAAATTTTCAGATGCGTCACATTGAAGTAGGTATTAAATGGAATTTGTAACTGTAATTTAGAAAAAATAAATAAGAAAGTAAATAATAAAATAAATGATAAATTAAATAATAAAAATAATTAGAAAATAATAAATTTAAAAAATATTAATCTATTACAAAGTTTAATAAATACCGATTTAAGTTCTCCTGTTCGATATTCAACCCACGCTGGTAAAATTAAAGTTCGATTTAAAGACTTTGCAAAACCTAAGGCACCTAAAAAGTGATCCGCTTGATTTCCAAACCGACCTGAAAAAATTTAATTAATTATTATCTCTAAAATAAAAAATTAGAAGAAAAAACAAATTTTTAATTTAGTTTCTATTAATATATTACATTTAATTACTAATTATTAACAAAAAAATGTAATTATACACGTATAAGAGTAAATAATGATTTTAGTTTTAAATTGTTAATAATTATCTCTGTATATTTTAATGATTTTAATAAATTAAACGAAAGCTTTGAAACAATCGTTAAACCTAACCTCAAAATTGCCCATTGAATTTTATTAACATTATCAATTTCTCTGTGAGAAATTAATTAGAATTGTCAATGAAACTACATTGGGATACAATTAAAAAACAAGTTTGTTTATTAATTGTTATAAATAATTGAAATAATAGCATTTATTTTTAATAAAAAAATTATATTTACTTACCCATGCAAGGACAATAAGCAACATATCCATTAACGTCTAACTCGACATTGTTGCAAAAACTTGTAATAATATTTGTCAAAAATAAACAAAAGACAATTAATTTTTTGTTTCTAAACATATTGTTGTAAACTAAAAGAAAAAGAAAGAATTCTAATAACTGTCAAACTCGAGAAACAACTGTTGTCATGGAAACCGAAAACACACTTGACAGCAAAGATGCCAACGACCGTCCCCAAACGTAACTGCGCTTGCGCTACAAAAATGCTCTTATTGGTAAAATAAAGCGCCTCTATTTAAAATGGTATGTGTATAAAACGTTTTAAATAGACGCGCTTTATTCTGTCAATAAAGGTCTTTCTCCAATAGGTTCCTAAAAGTCTGCGTTGCGTAGGTTCCTATGGCAACATATGCGTTGATTTTAACGAGTTATTGCATTGTCTAGCATTATTATAAAACACGTCGTCTAATTTTAAAATTAACAATTTGGAATCCCCTTAAGGCCAACAAAGTAAAAACTTGGTAAAAATAAATAAGTAAATTTTGATTTGATTTCTTTTAAATTATTTTTTTATACATGTAAATTTATTTATTTATTTTTTACACGTAAAAAGTTTCGGCATGTCAGATGTACTTGTGTCAAATTTTCTTCCACATTTATTTTGCACGCCATATGTGCCAGTTTGGCGTATCTGACGTGCATTATTTACATCTGATCGAAATGGCACCTCAGACGTGTAAAATGAAATGTACATACTGCTGTTGACACTGTCCTCGGCACATATACTTGACAATTATTTTTAATATTCATTATTTATTATTTCTTTTTATTTAAATTATTTTTAATGATTTTGTTTAATGTTCCATTATTTTTTCTATTTATTCTTATATTTAAACAGAATAAACCCTTTCAGTTAATTTATTTTCTATTACAATTATTTATAATTTTTTCATTTATTTATTAAATCTAAAATTTTATTTATTTTTTATTCCATCTAATTAACTTCGTTATTAATTCTTCTTTAAAAAGAATTTTATTTTTCTTTCACAATTATTTATTAAATTTTTTTACAAATTCAAATCTAAAATTAAACTCCCGCCATGACATGTGACCGCGCATCATCATTCTGCGCACACTTGACATAGTCGGCCATTTTGCTTCAGTCGGCCATTTTGCTTCGCCCACTGAAATGTAAAGAACACGAATGTAATCGTGTCCATAAAAATCGACGAATATCATTAAAATCAAGTGAAATTTTCCATAAATCTAAGAAGAATAAAGTAATTCAGTGCTCTGGTTCAAAGTTTTTCGCAGTAGATGTGAGTAAAACATGTTTTTCCTTGAGATTTCAGCAAAAATGTAAGTGACGCTATCGGTGCGCGTCATCGTTGCATATTTTACAATTGATCGCATTTGTCAATATACATTATTATTGATGTGTATATTTGTCTAAATCGTAAATGTTGAGCGAAAATATGAAATATTGAGCTATATAAGTAGTAAATATTAAAAAAAATTTTGACATATGCGAGTTGATAAATTGAGGTTACGTTCACATTACGCGCTGTAAATTTGTCAATTAGTTCTTACATTATTAATTTTATTAAATTCCTCCTCTTTCATTTATTATGAATTTTGTAATTAGTTGCGTAAACTTGCTCAATATAATCAATACTGCTGGCACCCCCTTCCCTCCCCGGCCCACATTTTAAGTTTATCTTAGGTCTACTGTAGTCTTACAATGTTAGCTTACAAACTTTACGTGCAAGCCTACTGTAAGCCTCTGGTAAGTTATTGTGCTGTGTGGGCGAAAGTTGCACTTTTCTTTTAATTTTACAATTTACTAAACCTTATGTGATTACAGATTATTGTTTAAATAAAAATTAAATTTTTATTTCTATCTGTAATATATATATATATATTTTTTTTTTTATTTAAACAATAATCTGTAATCACATAAAGTTTAGTAAATTGTAAAATTAAAAAAAGTGCAACTTTCCCCACTCAGCACAATAACTTACCATAGGCTTACACGTAAAGTTTGTAAGCCAACATTGTAAGACTACAGTAAACCTAAGGTAAACTTAAAATGTCCGCCTATATATATATATATTGTTGTAATTTGCATAATTAGGAAAAAATTACAACTTTCTATGTGCATTCTGTAAAAAGTTGATAAATAACAAGAATGGTTTGACTAGTGTCAGTAAATATTGCTTTTAATTTTTTCATTTAATACTAATTAAAGCTAAAAAGAGATGAAAAATTGGTAAAAATTTAATAATCTCTCTGTTTACTTGAAAATGATGATTTTGCAATAATAAATTGTTTAAACAAATGCAATATGGAACATACAAAGGATGGGTGTCAATAAGGCCGTTTTTTGGGCCACGATAAAAAATTTTTTGGAATTTTACTAAATATTAATTTATTTTTTAGTTATCTCGTATAAAAAAGTTCTTGAGAGTAAAGAGCAAACAAATTTTTTATGATGCGAAAGATGTCTTTTTTGTCTAGTAAAAATTAAATTAAAACATAATTTTTTGAAATTCTTTGAAAAGTACAAAAACCCATGTATTTGGCAATATTTAAGTCTGGTTATTTTCGTTAGTTTTTGACAAATCGAAAAATGGTTTTGGGGTATTGTCAAGCATACTAAAGAGAAGAAAATTTTTATAATATAAGCCGATTTTATCGTGGCCCAAAAAACGGCCTTATTGACACCCATCCTTTTTGAGCCAAAAACTCAATCAGAATTTTACACTGCTCTATTTATAATTAATGGCATAAAAATTAATTTACTAATTACACTTTCTTTCTTTTTTTTTGCTTTTAGGAAATTGTGAATACTTCAAAGTCATTCAGTGATGTAGTTGAATAAACATTTGAAAATTGAACTCTTTAGCGATTCTCTTCAAATTGTAAAATAGAATAAGTTTATATTTAAGAAATTTGTCAAGTATGGGATATGAAAAGATGAATATTTTTGAATGATTTTCTTGAAATTGTAAATTATTGTTTATGAAATTTATCAAGTATGGATGACAAAATGAACAGAGATAGATCTCCCCAATTGCATAATTTGAATGAACAAGATCAAAGTGTAGTGTCGCGTGTTCTTCAAATTGAAAGGCAACGTGCAGAATCTGAAACTAATGAATCATGTGCTCAAGTGCAATTTCAATCAGTGTTTCAACAATTTCGACCATTATTACCGTCCAATCAACAACAGTGTAAAGTGCCTCAACAATTTCGACCAGTGTTACCGAGCCATCGAAAACAATATAAAGATATTCCTTCAAGATCAAAAAAAAGTGCAGTGTTTTCGTCATTTAAACCTTTATTTCCGCGTAATCAAAATCAATATGAAACTGGTGCTTCTACTTCAAAGGAATCAATTCACCGACCCGAACAACGAGAATTTCTTGTGGAAAACGATGACACTCGAATGTCATTTACAACTGATGACGAACCGTCTACATATAATATCGCTGAAAGCTGTGCTTCAACTTCTTGGCAGCACAATCTTGGTTTATTGGACATTGATTCTACAACTGGGAATTACAGTGATAACAGCAACATTGAACACATGGATGTAGATTCAGGGGAAAATAATCAAGCGCCACAAGAAGATTCTCGACAAAGTCCAATTCCAAAAAAACGATATAAATTAAGCGAATTTCAGGAAAAACACATTGATAATGCCCGTGAACCACAACCCTCAACTAGTAGGCAGGCAGACCTAAGCGATTTGAAGCAATTGAAAGAAGTTGAATTTAAAATACCAGCAGAACCCGATATAAAGAGAAAAAAAAAGAAAGCAGAAGAAAATGTCGTATCGCAATCAAAGTTTACAATTAAAACAGGGTTTAACGAAACCTTTTGTCCTGATAATGATATGCGTCAGTTGATAACTGACAAGGCAAAATTAATATCGCGAATGTTTGTTTTAATTACAATCTTTGTAAATTTTGCTTTGAGGCATCCAACCAAAGATTATCTTCGTAATCTTTGGAGTGCAAAAGGTCCAGATTATGTAACAATAACCTATTTGTTTAAACAGAAACTGGGGAAAACAAATAAAACTGAAATACTGGACCAATTAAAGAAGCAATTTGTTCAAGAATTTATTGAATATATGGGTAGACCATTCGAGAAATTCGACTGCGTAAATTTAACTCCAACAATTAACGAGATGGCTGAACAATTAAACGTTAATTTTAAAACAAATTTAACTCATCACGCTCGCAGTCGACTAGCAAAATTTTTTGAAATGGAATTGTTTAAAAATGAAGAAAAGAGCGAAACATATGAAGAGCACCGAAAAAAACAAGAAGCTAAACGTGAAGAAACCAAAAAGAAGCGCAAAAAAAAGAACAAGAAGAAACGGTCCCGATGGAAAAGAAAGAAAAAAAAGGGGAAAGAAGCATCAAGAAGAATGCGTCGTGTAAGGCATGAACGGTTAATGAAAAAATATCCCGAAAAAATAAAGAGAGATAAACATATATTCAATCTACTGCGAAATAAAAAAAGAAGTTATCGGATTTTACAAAGGAAATGTTTTTACGATGCAACGAATACAACGCGGCGAAATCGTGGAAAAAAGATGAGTAAAGAGGAAAAATGGAAACAAAAAGGAAAATCAAAAAATACTTCATCTCATCAACGCAACGACAAAGACAACGAAACAAATCCAACGAAAATAAACAACGACAAAGACAACGAAACAAAGATGTATGATAAATTAAAAATTATTAAAAACCTCGTAGACGAACTTCTTCTTGAAAACAAATGTGAAAATAAAACATTAAATAAGATGAATGAAGAAAATTTAAATTTTCAAAACATCGATAATCCTGACGATTGCCATAAATTCCTCAATTTTTTCCACCGATTACAATTATATTTCGCAAAAAAAAAATGCAAAAGTTTTAATATTGTTCCAGTTATGAATTGCGGTTTGAAATATGTAACTATCACGAATTCCGCTTTGTTTGAATTGGAGAGGGAATTAAAAAAAATAAAAGGAAAAACTTACGTTGTCAGAAATCCCGTTCCTGTTAAAACTGAAGGTTTATCACATTCAGAAATTAGGAAAAAGATCACAGCCGAGGAAGAACTCCATCGAAATAAAATGACACCTTTAAAAGCGAAATCAAATTCTCTTACTGAAGATAAAAAAAAATTGACTAATGAAATTAAAGCCTTAAAGAGGAAAAAAAATTGTAACGAGGCAAAAAAGGAATTGTCAAACCTGCAAGTTAAATTGAGGAAACTTAATGATGATTTGAAAACGATTAACGAGGATGAGAAAAAAGTAAGACAAGATCATGATGAAATTTTGGGGAAGAGACACGAAAACAAATATAAGGAAAATGCTAATCGATGGACTCGACTGTTTAATATTTCTCATTTGCGAATAAATGAGGAAAAGATGAAATTTTCGGGCACCATTATGACGGATGGAATAGGTGTGTCTGTGATTTTTAATTTAAATCAACCTAAGAAGCAGGAAAATTTTTCAATTCCAAAAAATCCAATTTTAAATGAGGAGAAATTGGAAAATTTCCATCTCTTAAAGGGACTTGATCCTGGCTTAAAATTTTGTTTTGGAGGTGTCGAGCGTGAAGTCAACGGTGAGTTTGATATTAATTCCGATGATAGACACATCAAAATCAAATCTTCATCATTTCGATGGCTCACCGGTCAGAATAGAAGAAGAGAAATTCTTCAAAAACATGTTCCGCAAAATTATCACCAACAATTACTGGAAAGAGAAGAATTCAAGGGTAAAGTCAACAACAAAGATCCACGTTTAATAGTAACAACAACAAAATTCCTTTTAAGAGAATTTTACGACACTCAACCAATTTTGGAAAAAAGAAAAGTTGCTCGTCTTAAATGGGACAAGTACATGTCAGTCCGGCGAGAAACAAATTTACTGGCAAACTACATAATCGGTGATGAAAATAAAAAACAATTAATTGTCGTAGGACAGCCAGACATTCCCCCCTGGTTAAAAGGACATGTGCGAATGTCCTTGCGTGCAGTGGTTAAGCGGTTAATTGAAAAGCAACATAAATCGAAAAATTTATCCGTTGTTTTCGTCAATGAGCACCGCACTACCGTCATGTGCAGCAAGTGCAATGTTCGCGTCAAAATATTCCGCAATCGGACAACTTATTGTTCAACGTGCAAAACAAGATGGAATCGTGATGTTAATGCGGGTAGAAACATTTTACATTTAGGATTAGTAAAAACTGGATTAATCGAAAAAGAATGTCTACCACATTGGGAGATGTTTAATGCCCTTACGGCTTCAGTCGATTAACTTTGTTAATTGGGGAAGATCTATATTAGGCAGATCTCTTCACTTGTGACGTCAGAGTCGTTTCAAGATCTGACGTCACACGCAAACTCGAAATATATCGACATTTATCGGCTTCCTCACTTTCGATGGGAAGTTCATGCCTGAAAAGGCGAACTGAGATACCAAACGTCCCCAAACGCAAGCGCACTTACGTTTGGGGACGGTCGTTGGCATCTTTGGCTCTAAGAGTTCGAATGTTGACACAAGTTGCTATTAAAATATTAAAATAATTGTTTAAAATGCTTAGGAATTAATTTTATTATTGTGAAATAATTGCGAATCATTCAGTATATTTTATTTATTACATAGTTATTAGAAATTAACTATAAAAATGAAGAATTCGGTAAGTAAAATAAAGTGTACACAAGTATGAAATTTCTAACCTCAAAATTTTGTATTTCTTGCAAATTGAAATTTTTCTTTACTTTCTGAATTTGTTTTATATTTAAAACATTAAATAATAATAATAGTAATAATTAATCAAAAGATAAAATAGAATACTTTTTTGTATATTTTAAAATTAAATTTTCAAGGAAAGAATTACAATTTTCTACACAACTTTTATACTTATAAATTACTGTATTATTATTATATTTATTTATTTACAAACTTTACTTTATTTATTACTTCACTTATTATTATATTTTTGTACACAGCTTTACTTTTATAGCTTTGATCGAAAAATTTAAATGTTTGCATTTTATTCTCTTTTTTATGAATTTATAAAATTATAAATTATAAATTTATAAAATTATTCTTTATTTTACAGGACGATATACAGAAGCACTCTGTGCACACTTTAGTGTTTAGATCTTTAAAAAGAACACACGATATGTTTGTAAATAATCAAGGAATGTTGCCTCCATTCGATCCTGAAATGTAAGTGATTTTTTTCGTCTTTGTAAAGAAAGATGTGAAGTATGAAATTAAAAATTAAATTATCTAAAAGTAATATTATATTCAACGGAATTTTTTTGATTTTCAGAGACAAATTTATTAAAAATATCAAAGCTAGGGATACTTATGGTTTAATTGTGGACAGAGTGAAAAATATGAAAATGATGAAAGCTCAAAGTGAGACTGATAATGCTGATCCTCCTCCACCTGGAGGTAATTATTGTTTACTGATCGTTTAATGGAAATAATTTAAGTTAATTAATAGATTTTAAACATATTATTCTAATATTAAATATATTAGTTTAAATATTATCTAATATTAAATATATTACTTTAATTTTAAATTATTCAATCTATTAAATATATTTTCTTTTAGATGAATCATTTAATGCAGTGGTGCCTCAACAAACAGCAATGTCCAATTCCCTGGTACCAGTAATGCAAAATAATGCGAATACTGCTCTAGCAATTCCACAAAAGAAAGCACCGTCAATGGCAAAACCAAAATGGCACGCGCCTTGGAAATTATATCGTGTAATTTCCGGACATTTAGGATGGGTGAGATGCTGTGCAGTTGAACCGGGTAATGAATGGTTCGCCACCGGATCCGCCGACAGAGTTATCAAGGTACTTTTTCTATTATTTTATCGAAAATTTTCATTTTACTTTTAAAAAAATAATAAAATTTTACTTAAAAAGCTTTTAAAAAAAATAAAAATCAAAAAATACTTTTACTATTAAAATTTATATCAAATTCAAAAAAATTTCTTTGTACTAAAATTTAATTTCTATTATTTAAGATTTGGGATTTGGCGTCAGGAAAATTAAAGGTGTCATTAACTGGTCATGTAAGTTCTGTGAGAGGTCTACAATTTTCCGACAGACATCCCTATTTATTTTCATGTGGCGAAGATCGACAAGTAAAATGTTGGGATCTCGAGTACAATAAAGTGAGTAATTGAAAGTATTTCTCAGGAAAAAGAAAATTAATATTTTATAAATAAAAATAAGGGAATAAAAAATATTCATTTTAATAATATAAAACAATTTGTCGAGGGAATGAAAAAATAAATGAAACAAAAATGAAATAAGATAAATAAAATAAATAACAATATAAATAGTGAAAAAAATTAAATTTAGAATCTAATTTCAGGTGATTAGACACTATCACGGTCATTTATCCGCTGTTTATTCGATGGCACTGCATCCTACACTGGATATTTTATTAACTGCTGGTCGCGATGCAACAGCAAGAGTTTGGGATATGAGATCAAAAGTGAATATTCACACATTAACTGGTCACACGAATACAGTTTCAAGTGTTATTTGTTCTCAATATGAGCCTCAGGTATTTATTTATTTTCAATTTCTTTCTTAATGTTATTTAATTTTGATGGTTTATTATTTTTATTACTAGAAAACGCAGAATTCGTTTTCTTATTGTTATACAAATTACAAAATTTTTTATTTTCTAATATGAACTTCCAAATTTTTTTTTAAAGGCTTCAATTATTTTTATTAATAATAAAGTTCTTGGTAAGAATTCAATTATATTTTTATAATTAATAAAGTTCTTGGCAAGAATTCAATTTATTTTTATTTAACGGTCATCAATGAAAAGCATTTATTATTATTTATTATTGATTATAATTATTAACATTAATTCTCAGTTGTTATAATTAAATGAAGAATTTAAAAAAAAAATTTTCCATTAGGTTATTACCGGAAGTCATGATCAAACAATAAGATTATGGGACTTGGCTGCTGGGAAATCTCGAGCAACACTCACCAATCATAAAAAGAGCGTCAGGGCAGTTGCTCATCATCCTGGATTGTAAATAATTTTACTATTTAACATTTCAATCGATTTTTAAATGATATTTTTCTTTAAATAATACTTTAAATATATACTAAATAATTTAAAATTTAAATAATAAATACCTAAATTCTTTAAATTTAAATCTAAATTTTTAATTTTAAATAATATCCAATCTATTTTTCTTCTTTAAAACAGATACGCCTTTGCCAGTGCTTCGCCGGACAATATCAAACAATGGAAATGTCCAGATGGGAAATTTATTCAGAATTTATCAGGACATAATGCAATTGTCAATTGTTTGGCAATTAATCAAGAAGGTGTTCTTGTTTCTGGAGCTGATAATGGAACAATTCATTTCTGGGATTGGAGAACAGGGTGAGAGATAAATATGATTCTCAATATGAAAAACAGAACTAAATACCTATTTAATTTTTAAAAAAGGAACTTCTTCAAAACATTCTTAAATTCTTGATGGAATTTTTCTTTATAGATACAATTTCCAACGATTACAATCGCCAGTTCAACCAGGTTCAATGGATAATGAAGCTGGAATTTTCAGTCTTACTTTCGATAGATCAGGCACGAGATTAATCACAACCGAAGCTGACAAAACGGTGAAAATGTACAAAGAAGATGACACAGCGGTATGTTTATTAGATTTAAAAATTTATTTTGAAAAATATTTTATGTTTATAATAATTCTTATCAATTATTATTAATATTATGAATCAATCAACTTTTTTTACCAAAATAGAAAAATAGTATAAAAATCATTATTTTTCTTTCAGTCCGAGGAAACTCATCCAGTTAATTGGCGACCAGAAATCATTAAACGAAGGAAATACTAATTTTCCTAAGTATTGACAGGAAAATAGAATAATTGATAATTATATAATTTAAATAATAATTAAAATATTAATTTTAAGATGTCGATGAATTTTTGAATAATTTTTTAAAATGGAATTGAAATAAAAAAGAATGTCTTAAGAAATCAAAACTTTATTAATCGGCCAACTGAATATTAAAAAAAATACATTAAGCTTTAATTAATTAATTGATATTAATTTACGTTGATAAATTAAAGTTCCTCATCCAAATCGTAATCTTCCTCTGGAAAATCGCCAACTTTCACGTGGTGAGGTTTAACAAAACCACCATATTTTGGGCCACATTCGAAATACACCTTTCCGTTGACACTAAAAGAATAGATTGATTATTTTAGATGCAAATAAAAATAAAAAAAAAGAATAATTCTTCGCAGTAAGAATAATTATTTACCTTCCGTTATTTTTACCAAGAGGCTCATCGTACTTTACTCCTATCCACCAACCTTCTTTAAAATCGGGTTCACCTTAACAGAAAATATTTAAATTTAAATTTGAATTTGTATTTGAATTCTCAATAGAAAGTAAAAGCATTTGTTTGTTAATTTATTTCTTTTGCTCTTTTTCAAAAACAAATTTATTAGTTAATTAATTTTAAAAATTACTCACCAACATACATGACTGTCGCTCTTCTTTTTGCCTGATTTGGCACCTGAACTTCACAACGATCTCCGATTTTACATAATCGCGCCGAAGCTTCTTCTGCATCCTGTTCTCTTTTTTTCTCTTCATCTCTACGCTTCATTTCTTCTTCATTATACTTTCCCAATTTATTTTTTTCCAAGAAAGCTTTCAGAGTATCTAAAATTAAAAGAAAAATTATCATTATTAATTGAAATAAATGAAAATTTTTCATAATTATAATTAAAATAAAATTATTATTAATTTTTCCTTTTCTATTCTTATTTTTTATTTGAATTTTATTTATTTTGTTTTGTTAAAAGAAAATATTTCTGCAGTTTCTTTCAATTTACTATTTTAGAAATTTTTGTTTTAATTAATATTTATATTTAGACATATTAATATTTAATTTAATTTTTATTTTGAAATTGTTATGAATTTATTATTTTTTTTTTATTCACGGGGGAGAAGAGGAAATGCATTTACGCATGCCCAGGAAGATCCCACTTACCTGGGGTATGTCGGACTCGCACAAAATGCAAGGAAAAAAAAGAAACCTCACATACCTGCTTTTTACGGCAGTCACAATACCGATTTTACAAATTAAATCTTTTATAATGCACCTGTTCTTTTTGCATATTCTTCCTCAGACAAATCGAATTTCTCCACTTCTGATAAATCTTCTAATTGACGAGGGAAATTATCTACTACCTGTAAAAAAAATTGTTTTTATTATTTTAAAAATTATGGAAAATACAATTCAGATGAAATTTAATTTTTTTCTCAGAGAATTTTTTGTTAATAGTTTTTAAAAAATTTACGTGTATCCTCATGCCATCTTCGATTGGATACGATCCCAAAAGGCGACTTCCTTCATTAAATTTGCATATAAGTTTATCATTTTTATCATAAACTTCGACAGTCATTGTCATTGAATTTCCACCCGTTATTAGTTCCAATTTACCCTAAAATTAATATTTTAAGAATCATTATTTCTAAAATAATATAATAATAAAAATAAAATAATATTAATAAATATATTTTATATATTAAATAAATAAATAAAATAATAATAATAATATTCTGTTTAAAAATAATTACTTCTTTTAAAATTTAATTACCTTTAATCCATCGACTGTGATTCCTTTTTGAAATCTCCTTTCAACACAAATTGTTTGATTTCCAGAATTTGTCACCGAGACATTTACGAAATCAGACGTAATCACAGTAAAATTACTCATTTTTTTCTTGTTGAAATTTTCTTTTATTTAGAATGAAGCTCAAAATTTGCGAATTTTACCTGTAAGAAGAAGATTAAAAATAAAAACAAATGTAAATTTAGAGGTTAACATTTATAAATGTTCGTATTATTTTTTATTAATAATTGTTGAAATTTTATTCACTTTAATAAAGTTTAATATTTTCTTCTTTAATAAATATAAATGCAAATTTTTAATAGAAGCTTAAAATATCTGTTTAATAGAATTTTGACAGTTATGCACGAAATTGACAATAAAATGGTTTTTGTTAAAAATGTTTGTGTTCAATAAAAAGATAATTGATATTTATTTATTTAAATTATTTCTTGCCGTTTTTGTTAATACTTCTTAGAAAATGTAAACTTTCTTCGTCAAAAAAATATTATATTGCGTATGTACCTAAAAAGGAATTCTTTTGCGCATTCAAGGGCAGATTTTGAAAGAATTTTTTTTTATTCACCGAGTATATAAACACATACCGAGTGATTCTCTTTTACTGATTGAATATAATTTACATACCTAATAAATTGAATAACTTGAAAGAAAATTTGTTAATCCAAAAACAGTTAATATAAACAAATATTTTAGTAAACAACAAAAAAATACCTATAATTTCTTTTTGTTAATTCGACTATTTTTATAATTTGAATAATATGCAATAAAATAATGCAGAATAATAAATGGGATATTTTCGTATTTTTATGCTGATGTTAATTTATTTCTATCTATTTAGTTATTTTATTAATATAATTAATAAATTCATTGACAGTTATACCACACGGCAGTTACTAATTTTAAGGTTAGAATTAACGTTTTTTTCTAATATACATTATATTTAACAGTAATGCAAATATATTTTCAGTTTTTACCTATAAACAATATTTATTTTATGTAATTATATATAATTATTAGTCATTAACACGTAATTGTTATTATTTGATACATATTTAACCAACACTTCAAATTAATACCCGTAATACTTCTTATTTTGATTCAACATACCAGCTTAATACATTCAATGTAGTGAAAAGGACGTTTCTCAGTGGGAAAAATGACAAAATCGTAACAGGAACATAGGATGATATAAGAAGTGGCATAGTATCATCCAATCAGAACGCTCCTTTAGATTTGAAAATTATGTATTAAGAATATAGCCCGCGAAAATTCAAAAAATCTTAATGCAGCGCTCTGATTGTTTAATAGTCGTGCCACCTCTGTTTGCGTATACAGCTCCTAATACTTCCCCCTAGAGTCTTAGACTAATTCTAAAGGAGCGTTCTGATTGGTTGATACTATGCCACTTCTTATATCATTCTATATTCCTGATACTATTTTGTCATATTTCAACTGAGAAAATAGCCTTTTCACTGCATTGAATATATTAAGAAGGCATCTATATTAAAATAAGAAGTGACATGACTATATTTAAATCAATTAAATTAGATATTAGAAATGTGTTAATATATGTTAATTATATACTGATTAACGCAATTAATTAATAAAATACCAATTCTTAATTGTTTAAAAATGAAAAAAAATAATTTGAAATACGGTATAAGGTTAATAATGCAATTATATATAAAATCGTTATTTTTCTTTCAGTCCAAGAAATCTTATCCAATTTATAAATTGGCAATCAGAAAACATTAATCGAAGAAAATTCAAAGTATTATATTAATAGGAAAATTAGAATAATTGATAATTATATAATTTATATAATAATTAAAATATTAATTTAAGGATTTAAGATATAAATTTTTGTATAATTTTTAAAAAAGGAATTGAAATAAAAAAGAATGTTTTAAGAAATGAAAAATTTATTAATTGTTCAACTGAATATTACAAACAAATACATTTAGTTTTAATTAATTAATATTATATTTATGTTGATAAATTAAAAGTTCTTCATCCAAATCGTAATCTTCTTCTGGAAAATCGCCAACAATTATCTATATGTATACCTGTAAAAAAAATTGTTTGTATTATAATTTGTAAAATATAGAAAATATAATTCAGAGATATAATTTAATATTTTGCTCCAGAATCTTTTTGTCTTTTTATTCACCGAGTATATAAACACATACCGTGTGATTTTCTATTACTGACTGAATTAAATGAACAGATTATAACTAAAAAAGAATTTTATAACACTTGAATAACAAATAAGTATTTTAGTAAACAAAAAATACCTTAAAAAAAATTTTTGTTTTGTTAATTATTTGATTATTTTATTCGAATAAATTTTCAATAAAATAATGCAGAATAATAAAGGAAATATTTTCGTATTTTTCTAATGATGTTAATCTATTTAGTTATTTTATTAATAAATAATAAATTCAATGCTTGATATCTTGACATTTACTGATTTTGAGGTTAAAACTAACTGAATAATAGCGTTTCTTTCTATTAATATACCTATAATTTCTTTAGTTTTTACCTATAAACAATATTTGTTTTATGTAATTATATATAATTATTAGTCATTAACACGTAATTGTTATTATTTGACACATATTTAACCAACACTTCAAATTAATACCCGTAATACTTCTTATTTTGATTCAATACCCTCTTAATACATTCAATGTAGTGAAAAGGACGTTTCTCAGTGGGAAAAATGACAAAATAGTAACAGGAACATAGAATGATATAAGAAGTGGCATAGTATCAACCAATCACAACGCTCCTTTAGAATTAGTCTAAGACTCTAGGGGGAAGTATTAGGAGCCGTATACGCAAACAGAGGTGGCACGACTATTAACCAATCAGAGCGATGCATTAAGATTTTTTGAATTTTCGCGGGCTATATTCTTAACACATAATTTTTCAAATCTAAAGGAGCGTTCTGATTGGTTGATACTATGCCACCTCTTATATCATCCTATGTTCCTGATACTATTTTGTCATATTTCAACTGAGAAAATAGCCTTTTCACTGCATTGAATGTATTAAGAGGGCATGTATATTAAAATAAGAAGTGGCACGACTATTTAAATTAAATGAATTAAATTAAATATCACAAATGTGTCTATACGTATTAATTACACTGATGAATGCAATTAATTAATAAATTACAATTTCTTAATTGCTGAAAACGAATAAAAATAATTTAAATACGGTATAAGGTTAATAAATACAAATACAAAACAAAGTTCTAACCTCGAAATTAGTAAATGTCAAAATCGTCAAAATTAAATTATTTATTGCATGTTAAACGACAATAACAATTAGTTAATTATTGATTGCGACGTAATAACAATAGTTAATTATTGATAACAATAGAAATAATACTAAAACGAGACAAAAACAAATATTTTATTATAGGTACGAAAGAATTGATTTTCGAACTATTGATTTTTACAAATTTAAGTTAATTGTTTTAAATTAATTAATTTAATAAATTGAATTAATATTTTTAAGATGACAATATATTTTTAAATTTTAAATTAAAATTTTTTTTTTTTAAATTAAATTTTTATAAACTACTGATAGCAATTAAAACATTTAATTTGCGACTGTTTGTGACTATTTTTTATATAATTCTTCAAAAAAATTCAATTATTTATTTCATAAATAATAAAATTCTCCTTAGAAATTCAATTATTTTTAAAGATAATGAAATTTTGCTCAAGAATGCAATTGTTTTTATAAAGAAGAAAATTCATTGCAGGAATTGAATTATTTTCAAAAATTTTCCTTAATTCAATGAATTTCAATATCTGTTTTAATAAAATTCTACGCAAACATTTAATTAATTTAAAAAATTTTAAATTGTTACTTTTTTATATGCACAAAATTTTAATTTAAGCAAATTAATTAAATTGCTTAAAAATAAAAAAAAATAATTTTGTTATAATTATTTAAACAATTTTAGGAAGAGATAATTAAACAAGAATAATAAATGTGATACTATTTTGTTTATTCATTTAATTTACGTATTATTTAATTTAAAATTATAAAATCAACGTTTGAAAACAAATTTATTACATATAACACAATAAAGACCAGGTTTATAACGAAACTATTCTCTGTAATTAATTAATTAATTATTAAAACTATTACACGTTGATGTTTATTTTTTTTTAATAGAAATATCGAATTTCTACAATTAAACGAACAATCCTCCTTTTATTTTGTCATTGATTTATATCAAAAGACGGAAAATTCATTATCATATATATTACAAAATACGTTCATTCAATCTCTATTGGGATTAGAAAAAGACCCTGGTAAACATGCTGTTATAAACTCCCTGTGAATAATAGATAATTATTTTAAATGCAACGAAAATAAAGCATTGCCAAAAAAAAATAATAATTAATGAGAAAAATGGACCATTACAGAAGTGACAAGTAATAATTTCTCACTCTCTCTCTCTCCGTTTCTCTCTCGGCATTTTTTTTTCTTTTCGCCGTTGAGAATTTAAAATACAATTAACATTGTTTGACGGCTCGTTATATATAAATCAAATTCGATTTCGTCATTTTCAATATATACGCAAAAAGCTAATTACAACTTTTTAATTAATTATTAATATATTACAATGGTTCCCTATGCTCACATAACTTGTCACTTATTTTTTATCACTACAATTATAATCGATAAAAGCTTTACAAAAAAAATTTAATTTTCCCTTTAAAAAGATGAATAGAGAAAAAATATTTCTAATATACAATTAATTGTGACTATTATAATAATCGCAATTTTATACAAAATTTGCGATGTCGATTAAATTTACATCTTTTTAAAGGGAAAGTTTTATGTTCCCTTCTCTTTACATATCAGGGCGAATAATTATTTTTTCCATTCTCTATAAAAAGAATTATTCTTATTATATGCAAATTAAAAAAAAAAAAAAGAATCGTCGCTGATAATTAAGTTCTACTTAATCAGTGATAAAATTAAAACTTTGGATATGCTCTTCAAGTCAAAGTTACACCGATCGTTTGATCGAATTTCTCGGCAGTTTTCATATTTTTTTTCTCTCCCTAGCGAGATAATAATAAATTAATTACAATAATTAATTGCTAATTGTAACAACGTTGAAATAAAAAAGAAAAAATAATAATAATTTCTCCTATCGAGTTATTAATTAATATCGACAAAATTTGGTGTGTAGCAAAAGAGAAAAAATATTTTTTCCCCAAAGAAACAATAACTTCATTTTTCAATAATCAAAATTCTAATAATTTTTCTCATTAAAAGAAAACCTTTCTTTTCAGAGAAAAATTATTTTTTTTTTTTTGAAAAGTCTTTCTATGGTAAAAATATTTTTTCTCTTTTCAAACGAAAAATGAGAATACCATTCAAATCGTTTTCACAACAACAGACTCGAAGTTTCTATTTTTTTTTTGTGCTAAGAGTAAAACATTTTGCGCTAAACTAGCAGAAATGTCTATTTTTTTCAAAAAATCTTGTCCATTGTTACGTTTTGTGACGAACAATTATAATGAACACTTGAGTAGAAATCTTACATGCTTTCTTAAATCGTAAAACGCTTCATACAAAATTTTTTTTTAGTAACATTAATTCGCAAAGAACACACGAAAAATTTGGTAGTATCTGAAACCGTTTTTTTTTGTTTTTCATCATTCAGTCCTATACACACAACATCAATTAATAAATCCAAAAATTCAAAAGGCGATGCGAATTGCAATATGATTATTCGGCATTATTAATTATTATTATTAGTGTTATTATTTTATTATTATTGTTATTATTTAGTATTATTATTATTATTATTATTAATTATTATTATTATTATATTAAACGCCTTCATTTTGTTTTCGAAAATTACCTTCTCCTTCTTCTTCTTTCTCACAAAGGACAAAAAAAATTACAATCAATCCAATTTTTCAATTATGATTATAAAAAATTTAATTTCTTTTCTCTCTTAATAGTCAGACGTACCACTAAAATATTGAAGATCTAAAAGTTCGAAATTCACATTTTTAATAATTCAAAGCGTTTAATTCGAAAACATTTAAATGGAAACTTTTTTATTAAGAAAAAAATGTAGAAATTAAATTGAAAACGTTTTCAAAGTAAAATTTATTTCAATATTTAATGAAAAAAAAAATGGTTTTTATTTAAAGTGCATAACTGAAAAATATTTCTTTTAAATTTAATAGAAAAAATGGTTTCAATTCAAAAATAACTGAAAAATATTTATTTTGAATTCAATAGAAAAAAATGTGTTTATTCAAAATTGACTAAAAAATATTAATTTTATTTTGAATTCAATAGAAAAAATGTGTTTTATTTCAAATAAACAGAAAAATATTATTTTATTTTGACTTCAATAGAAAAATTAATTTTCATTTGAAATTAATTGAAAAATACTAATTTAATTTTTAATACTGAAAAAAAGATAGAAAAATAATTCTAATCAGAATTTAATATTTAATTATAAAGAAAAGGAAAAAAAAATTTCCATTCGTTTTTATTTAAACGCCTTAAAAATTATCCCGCGAAATAGTAAAAGGCGCTTTTAATTAAACATTTGTACTTGAATGGAAAATAACGAATCAAGTAGAAATGTTGTAGTGAAAAGCTTTATCGAACTTTTGCAAACGCTTTTTTTTAAATCGTTTCAATATTTAAAAACTTTTAGATCTTTAAAGGGGCAATTCGCATCTCCACTTTTTAAATTCTCTCTCATATTTAATATTCGACACTGAGATTAATATTTACGAGACTTTTACAATACACTTTATATTAAACTAATTGATTTGGGAGCCTTGGTGTTCTCTCGGGGGAAAAAATTTAAAAGAAAATTCAATTTTTTTCCCCTTATCAAACAAATATTACGAATAATTTAATTTTTTGAAAAAAAAGAATCTTTAAATTTAACTAAAAGCGTGCAGGAACAAAAAAAATTATTTCTTTGAATTTAACGAAATTTTAGACTTCGGAAACATGCAAAAATAAAATTAATGTAAAAGAAATGTAAAAATGAAAAAAAGAAAATTAATAATTCGAAATGAAATTAAATCGTAATATTTTGTTTTCATAAGGGAATTTTTTTTTTAGAATCCGTATCTGAACCGTTAAAAAACTAAAAGTAAATTTCTTTATTATGGCAATAATTCTACTGTCATTTATAACAAAAATAATTTTCCTATTTTTCAGTGCCTTTAAAGAAAATGTTCACTACGTGTTTGTGTGTTGGATAAAAAAGTGGTTTTTGCATTAGAAAAATTCAAGAAATTTGAACTATACGGTGCACGTCAAGATACAGTTTCACTTTTTTTTTTTGTAAATTTAATCTAAAATCGTGCTTAAATCAAAGAACACTATCAATAATATAATACAAGTATACAAGAGGATAGATTTAAGCACGACGTTAATTAAACTCTTTTTTTTTCATGAAATAAAAAATAAACTCGACTAGGATTCGAAAAAAGAACTCAAATATTTCACTATCGAAAATAAATCATTTAGAAATAATTCTAAATAGAAGAATATATTCAGCTAAATAGAATATATTCAACTAAATAAAATAAATTCAACTAAATAGAATATATTCAGCTAAATAGAAAAAAAAATAATATAAATAAATAGAAAAAAAGAGTAAAACTAAAATTCTTAACGAGGCATTTTGTCATCTTATTTATAAATGTTTCTCACTTTCACAAGTAATTTTATTTTTATTAAAACAGATTATCAATTTCTTACAATATTCCTTCGATTCTAAATAAACGGAAATTAAACATTTGATGTAAATTTCCAATCTATTCATTTCAATATCAACGATAAGCAATATATTAATATATTTCACGTGCAAGAAAAAATATATACACAGAGAGAATCTCTCAATAAAGAAAAAAAGGGAAGCAAAATTCTCAACCCTTCAAAAAAAAATGTTCAACAGTATTTAAAAAAAGTCAATTAAAAAAAAATTCTTAATCGAATTAAAAATAACCCGAGACTAATAAAAAAACAAGTAAAAAAATGCATTCGCGATATTAAACATGAAAAAGAAACTTCTATAACTAATAAAAACTCCTTTCTTCCTCTCTCTCTCTAAAAAGAAATAAACGAATGCAGTAAGTACCTGCCAAAAAAAACTAAATTCAACATCAACAATCGATTTCAATAAATAAACTTAATAATATATATAAAAAAATTGAATATTTTAGTTTTTAGTTTAAATTAAACCTAATTAATCATTTAATCGAATTCTAAATTAATAAAAATAGTCCCAAAAAAGGAAGTAACATTTAAAAGAAATAAGATGACAAATTTGAGTCATTAATAAAAAAAAAATGAAAATTTTCAAGACTAAATCAGAAATTCATCTAAAAAATCCGATTCACTTTTCCTGTGGTCGATTTATTGGTTATAGTTGTTCATCATTCGGAGGCCATTGACCCGTGTGATTCCAATCCCAATCCTTGCCCTTGGGACGAAATTTACTTGCATTATTATTATTGTTGTTATTATTATTACTGCTGTTACTGCCGCTACTGCTGCTGCTACTTGCAGAATTATGCCAGTCGCGATGAAAGAATTTCTTTTTAAAATGATGTCTCTCGGGATCGAGTTGTTGTCGTTGATATTTCAATGGTACTGAGGGTCCATTTAATGTTGCGCCATTCACTGCATTAAGACGATGGGGACTGTGAGGGGATGGTGTTCGTGGTGGACCGAGAGCCTCGTCGGGCGATGGTACAACTGGAGGCGGTCCCAAAACAACACTATCCGAACCCAATCCACTATCGGGACTTGTATTAACACCCTCGGTTGATCTTCTCCTTTTATCCAATTCCGTCGAGGCAAATGCAACCAAACGATCGAATCCGGAACTTATTCTGTCCTGCCAATCCGTCTCTCCATCTAAAAAATCAAAAGGAAAAAAATTGAAAAAAACTGTTTTGCTACAATTTATTTTTTTCTTTAAGTCCCAATTGATCGACTTTTCGATGAAAATATGAAAATATATTCGCAAATATATTTTCATTTTCTTATGACTATCTGACAGTTAAAGTTAACTGAGAGAGTTGGATCAATTGGGACTAAATCATTTTGTATAATTCAAAAGAATTCGAAAATACATTTTCATAAAAATAAGCCTCTATTTAAATCTGTATTTGCTTTTCTACTTAACTTTGTATTCTTTTTTTTTAATTTCTATACTAAAAGATAATTTTCGTACTAAAAGATAATTTTTATACTAAAATAAAAAATAATTATAATTTTTTACTAAACGATGATAATTTTTATACTAAAATTATAAGTAAATATGTACAAAGTAAATAAATAGAAATTTTTCAATTCAAAACTAAAAAGTTTTATATTCATAAAAAAGAAAAAAAATTAGTTAAGGGTTGACATAAAAATTTAATTTTATATTTTTCCCTAATTTCCAGAAAGAACTTCTTCAAATGATTATTTTCAAGATTTCAATTTAATTACTTTCATTATGGTTTAACTAAAAATTCTTCTCTGAATCAATTAATTTTAATAATTTTTGAAAAAGTTAATTGAGAATTCAATTATTCAAAACCAAAAATTAAAAAGAAGTTCGCCTTCTATAATTCTGAAATTGAGTTTACAATTTAATTTTACGAAAAAATTCTTCTTTGAATCAATGTGTTTAATAATTTTTGAAAAAGTTCTTCAAAATTTCAATTATTCAAATTGAATCAAAAAATTTCAAATTTTACGAAAAAATTCGTCTCTGAATCAATTATTTTCAATAATTTTTGAAAAAGCTCTTCAAAAATTCAATTAATCAAACAAAAAAAATAAATAAAAAAAGAAAGTTCACCTAAAATAATTCTGAAATTCATTTTACAATTAAATTTTACGAAAATTTAAGTAATTTAAAAATAATTTAAATAAAAAAAATTCCAAAATACGTAACTTCTTTAGAATTTTAAATTGAAATTATGTAAAGTTCAAATTATCCAGAATTTTAATTTGAAACCTTTTGAAATTAAATTATCTATAAATGTTGTAAATCGCAACTCTTATTTTTAAAATTCATTTATGTTTGGAATTTTAACTAAAATTCTTTTCTGAATTATTTATTTTTTAATAATTTTTGAGAATTCAATTAGGTATTCTTCATTTTGTTTTAACTAAAAATTCTTCTCTGAATCAATTATTTTTAATAATTTTTGAAAAAGTTCTTTAAGAATTCAATTATTCAAAGAAAAAAAAAGAAAAAAAGAAACTTCGTCTAAAAAAATTCTGAAAATCCAGTTTACAATTCAATTTTACGAAAATTCAAATAATTTAAATTAAAATATTTTAAAAAACGTAACATCTTCATAATCTTAAATCAAAATTACGTAATATACAATTTATCAAAAATTTCAATTTGAAACCGTTTGAAATTAGATTATTTATAAATGTTCTAAATCGCAACTCTTATAAAATTAATTTATTTTTGGTATTTTTAATTTACAAATGTTTCCTAAATCAATTATTTTTTAATAATTTTTGAAAATTCAATTATTCTTTATTTTTCAACTAAAAATTCTTTGATCTGAATAATTTATTTTTAATAATTTTTGAAAAAGTTTTTTAAGAATTCAATTATTCAAACAAAACAAAAAAACAGAATGTTCATCTAAAAAAATTCTAAAAAATTATAATTCTTTTGAAATTAGATTATTTATAAAAATTGTAAACGCAACTCTTGTAAAATTCAAATATTTTTGGAATTTTTAATTAAAATTCATTTCTAACCCAATTATTTTTAAAATATTTTTCCGGAATTCAATTATTCAAACAAAAATAGAAAGTTGCTCTCCAAAATAATTCCAAAATTAATTAATTGTAAAATTCTTTACAAAATTTTAAAAAATTTCAATTATTTGAAAATTTTTCAATTAAATATTCAAAAATTTAACTGTTTTCAACAAAATTTTGTATAAATTATTTTCAAAGACTAATTTTTTCAAAATTCTCTATTAAAATTATTTGAAATTAAAATTTTTCAAGAATTTTAAATCGTAACCTTTTGAAATTATTATTTTATTTACTTAAGAAATGAATTTTAAACAACAAAAGTACTATTAAGTAATTAAATTTGTAAATTAACTTTGTAAGTAAAATATTTTTTAGATTTGCATTTTAAGAGAAAGTAGATAATTTAGAACCTAAATTTCTGAAAGTAACACAAAAAACTAAAAAAAAAGACTAGTTTTACTTGCTACCATGCAAACATGCAACACCTTCAAACCACTAAAAGTGAAAAAAGAGTAGCTTTTTAGATGAATAATTATTAATTACATGCAATTTTCTTACCAAATTATTGTTCCATTTCTGTGACTGAATTTTTTTTTGGTAATGATGTTAACAAAATTTAAGTAAAACAATAAAGAATTACATCGAAGAATTTTTTTAAATTTTTAAGAAAAAGTTTTTACTTCAGCGGCTTATTTTCATGTAAATATCGAAACTAAATGAATAAAACAAAATAATTACTAATTTATCCTTGAGAGATCGACAAGTTTAAATACTGTTTCTTTTTTTTGCATTATTACTTATTTTTCATTGTCTGTGTACGTGTGATGTGTGAATTAAAAAAAATCGAGAATTAGAAATTAATTAATTTATAATGTGATAAATATGGTGAACGACGAGAATTTTTTTTTTGTGACGGAGAAATAATTTCGACAACCCCTGCGGGACAACTCACCACATTAACCACGAAACAACCAAAAGGCAGCCAATTTTTTCAGTGTGTTTATTCTTTTCATTCTCGCCCCCTTCGGTTTTTGTGCGGTCTCGAATCTCGAAATAAAAATAGCTTCGGGACTTGTGAGGGAGATCGAGTGTGTGACAGAGAGCTAACCAACAAACAGCTACAGTGCATCTAGTAAATATATTAACAATGTGAAAAATAAATATAAATAAATAACAATAATATATTGTATATATTTAAAAAAAAAAATTAATGTTCTATCTCCGTAAGCAAAGATAAAACCAAAAAACAGACAACTAGTGCAACATTCATTTTACAAAGTGAGCACAGCAGAAAAAGAGTATATAGGAGAAATTTTTTTTTTTATGCTAAAAATTGAATTCTAATTAAGGAAAAAAATATTTCTAAGAAAATGAAAAATTTTTTAGAGTAGACAATAGAAAGAAAAAAAGGGGATGATTTCTAATTACTCGAAAAAAAGAGAAATAAATAGATATAAAAATCATGCAATCTCTCAATAATTGAAAATTTAATTTTTGATTTATAATTTTTTGGGAAAAAATTTACAGGTGAAAAGAACTCACCGTCATCACCTGTTCCATTCCGTTGTCGTTGGGTCATGTGCGGCTCATCAACGAGAGGTGTCGAGGTATTTGAATGAGGTTCAACAAGTGGACTCAAAGGGGCACCGCTCGTGCTAACGGAAGAAACTGCCGACTCCGTCTTCAGAACCGTCGACGACGACTGCGACTGGGAAGTCGTTGGTACATTATTGCAATTGCTATTGTTCGAGTAACTTGAATACGGATGATACCTGACAAAAAATAAATAAGTGTAAATTATACAATTTTTTCTCACTAGTTTTTTTTACATTTTTTTTTCAAATTAAAACGTCACGATTAAAAAGAAAATTATTTCATAATATTTAGTTTTTAAAAACGTTGCTGAATGTAACCTTATTATTAAATGTTACTTATTGTTAAATGCAAAATACAAAATTTTTTTATTTCAAACATAAATTTTTGAATAATTTCATTATTGTTTATATTTTCAAAAATTTGTAATCTAATTCTTCGCAAAAATTCAACTATATTCATAAATAATAACATTCTTCGGAAGAATTAAATTATTTTTTTAAATAGAAAAAATTTTTTGCAAAAATTCAATTATTTTTAATCATTAAATTTTTTTTAAAATTTCATGAAAGAATTCAATTATTTTCCGTAATTTTAATAAATCCTTCGACACAATTCAATTATTTTTTTAAATAGTAAAATCTTTGCAAAAATTTAATTAATTTCTAAAATTTTAATAAATTTTTCAAAAAAATTCAATTATTTAAATTATTAAGAAACACGATTATTTTAAACACTTGAAAGAAATTATGAATAAAATTCAATAATTTCTTTCAAAAGTATATAAAAATTAATAAAGAAACTATTATTTTAAAAAAATTCAAAGAAATTCTTCAAAAGAATTTAATTAGGTTTTTAAAAAATTGTAATAAAATTCTTTTCAAGAATTCAATTACTTTCATAAATAATAAAATTCTTTGCAAGAATTCAACAATTTTCAATACATTTAAAATTGAAAATATTTAAAAAGAAAAATTATTATTGAATTTTTCGAGAATTTTTCAACTAAAAAATATGAATTATTATAAAATAAGGATAAAATAACATGGAAATTACCTTCGACTATTATTCGCGGTACTCTGATCACTTTTTATATTACTATTTTGATTGTTAATGATTCTCGCGTGTAAGGACGCGGCGAGTCCCTCAACAGGCAAACCATCTCGATTTGATGATGCTTGATTCGAATGATGAGACGAACTCGTGTGAGATTGCGTGAGCGGTGGCGTTGGATTGTCCGAAAAGTACGATTCATGATAAGGCTTCATATCAGCTCGTGGAAGTTGTACCGGTGTGTACCTGCAAATCGTCGATAAATATTTAGAAAAAAAATCACTTTTTTTTCACCAGATTCATTAAATTTAACTTTGATAGAATAAAATCCAAAATGATTTATGACTTTACCTAATTAAAAATGAATAAGGATTCATTTTTAATTACATAAAGTCGAAAACAATATTTAACATAAGTTTTATTTATCATAAGTTTCAGAAAAGTAGAAAAAGAAAGTTCATTTAAAATAAAATTTAAAATTCAATTGATTTCAATACAATTTTACAAAATTTCGATTACTCGGAAGTTTTTCAATTAATTTTTCATTCACAAAAATCCAACTAATTACAAAAGAATTAAAGTATAATATTAAATATTAGTATCAGTTTCTATCAAAAGATATGTTATTTTTTTTGCAATGTGTTGAGGAAAAGTGGAAATAGTTCCCTTTTTCGAAAATAAGTCGAAAAAAATAGTAGAAAAAATCTGTCAAAGAAAAAAAAAGGAAAATTCCAATTACGGATTAATTAAAATTTAATTTAAAAAGTAACAAACCTCTGCGGTTGACTAGAGGGGGTAAACAAAACGGAAGATCGTGAAGTTGTTGGTGTTGGCGTTGACACTGATGTCGATGTTGGCGCATAACTTGCAACATGCGCCAAAGTAGCCAGTCCAGTGTCACCTTCTGCGCTAGCCGGTCGACTTATTGGCGAATAAACAGTCTCTGGTCTCATAAGAACGCTCATATCAACCGCAGCATTAATAATCGCCTGATTTGATATTTCCAAAGTTCTTTCAATTTCACCACTAACCAAATCGCCAATTGTTCTTGTTCCCAATAATCCACTCGCTCCCGACATTATTCGATTCTCATGATTCGATTGTCGCCCATCAAGTGTCTGCCTATCCGTCGATGGCAAATGTGACGTTAAACGTTCCTGTGATAAATGACGACGAAGCGCCAATTTCGCCGGTGAGACCTGGAAAAAAGGATAAATTCAACTATTCGCTTAATATTATCTCTTCATTCATATTTATTATTTATTTTTTATTTAAATTTTTTGAATTAAGTCTCTTTCAGTAGAAAGCGCCGATAATACGAAATTCAAAACACAAACCTGAGTGTAATCTGGAGCAGTAACATTTGCAGGTAGAGCCATACGTTTCCTGTCGGGCTCATTTTGCTGCATTTGTTGCATTTGAATTTGTTGTTGTTGTTTATTGCGATTTTGTTGATCCTCATTTAAAACACTGGTGATAATGCTCTTGAGTCGATCCTCAAAATTTGCGACTCTAGGCGGTTCTTGAATTCGACTCGTCGATTCTTTACAGATTTGCGATTGGATTTGCGTCGAAGGTGATGAAAAACTCAAAGTAGCTTGAGGTAATCTTGTTCGTGTATTATTGCTGTTATTAGTATTACTGTTATTATTATTATTACTACCACTACCACTACTACTGTTATTTATATTATTATTACTATTAATATTATTATTAATAACAGGATTAACACTCGATTTACTCGGAATTCTACCAGCTTCTATCTGTCGTCCAGTTTCAAGAATTTTTTGTGCCAAAATTTCAGGATTATTTTCCTGAATTTTTCCAATGTCGGGCACATCAGGCCAATCTTGAGATCGCGAACGGCTCTCGCGACTTTTTCGCGATGGAGGATTTTTACTGTTTTGTTGTTGTAATTGCTGTTGTTGTTGCTGTTGCTGCTGTTGTTGTTGCTGCTGTTGTTGTTGGTGCTGTTGCTGCTGCTGCTGTTGTTGATGATGATTGTGATTATGATGGTGATGATGATGATGGTGACTCGATAAATGCTTCACGTTAGATGCATCTCTCTGTTGTTGTGCTAACGTTGCCGATTGTTTCTCCGAATTTGTTCTCTCTAGTACATTTAATTCCTGTTCCAATTTTGAAACCTGAAAGAGTTTCAAAAATTTTATTTTAATTTAATCATATGTGAATTATTATTATTACTAGTAAACTTTAAATAACTGCACGAGTCGTTCAAATAAAAAAATTATTCAAAAAAATTTACCCGAAAAATTATATTTTTTTGAAAATATAGAATTTTTATACAATTTCCAAAAGAAAATTTTTTAAATCAATAATGAGAGTTTCGTTTTATAATAAACAGACTTCGCACTCGATAATTAATTTTAAAAAGTAGCTTTAAGAACGAAAAAAATAGTAAAATTCAAAATAATTGTATTTGCCTAAAGAATATTATTATTTATGACGAAAATAATTGAATTCCAGCAAAGAATTTTATTATTTATGAGAATAATGGATTCCTTACATTTTTTTCGACAAATTCAATTGAAATTTTATTGAAAGTAATTTAATTCTGATATAGAATTTTATAAAAATTTTGGAATATAATTGAAGTTCTGCAAAGAATTGCATTACAAAATTTTTGAAAATAATTGAATTCCAGGGAAGAATTTTATTAAAATTCTTTTAAATAATTGATTTTTTTCGAAAAAATGTAATAAAAATTGCATTTTAAATAATTAAATTACTGTAAAAATTTTTATTATTTATGAAAATAATTATTTAATTCTTTTGGAAAATTAAAATAGTAAATATTTATTATTATTATTATATTTTATTAAAATAGTAGATATTGAAAATTGATGATTTTCGAAAATTGTTTGAAAATAATTGAATCGTTTCTAAGAATTTTATAAAAATATTTTAGCATAATTTTTTTTATGTTAACTGTTAGCGAATTTAAAGTTGTGTAAATTCTAAAAGAAGAAAGAAAAAAGTAGCTTTTGTATCACAAATCTAAAAAAAGTATCCAAATAGTAACAAATTGTAAAAAAAAGTAGTAAATAGTAGGTTTTAGTAGATGAGTGTGAAGCCTTAAAATATAATTTAGAAAAAAGAGGAAGAAATAAAAAAGTATTATTTTCTTTAAAAAGAAAATAAAATTCTTTTCTTACCTGAGAGTGGAGTCTCTTTCTTTGGGACATGGTGGTACAAATTTCTTTAAGTATATAGTCCTGGGTGAGAGGTTGTGGTGGTGTGGGAAGATTATTAGAGCCTGGATTGAACTTTTCTTGCAATTCTTGATAACGTTGTGCTGTTACTTTTGCCTGTTCGGTTTCAATATTCGACACTTGGGCCTGAAGTTTACTGGCTTTATTTTGCAATTGTTTGTGTCGAAGGACAATTTCTTTGGCCTTTGCGAGTAAATCACCGGGTGATGTAGCATTTATTCCCAATTCTGTCATACGCGCTTTCAATAGTGCAACACTGTCGTCAATTAGAACTTTAATTTGCTTCTCGAGTTGAGCAGCTCGCGATTGAAGTTTTGAATTGCGTTCACGTTCCTTGGCAATGTCGGCGTTCACCGATGCTCGATACGTTGGCGTTTTCATTGAATCCAACATCTCCATGAATTGGTCCCTAAAAATAAAAAGAATACAAGTTGCTACAAATTACAAAAATTGAAAAATCTGAAGGTTTTGTATTAAAATTCGTGGTAATTTCATAGTTTATAAGGCAAACAAAAAAGACACAAAAATTCAAAATTTCCTGACTTGATATTGATTGTTTTGCTAAAAATGAGATCAGATATTAAAATCTTTATGTACCTGTAGAGATCGAGGAGAATTTGTAGGGCGTAAGGAGTCGCGGCCGGTGCGGCGGGAATACTGAGTTCCTCATGAACATTATTCGTATTCTGTTGAAGTGATAGTGAGAGTGATGACAATTGTTGATCAACGCAACCGGGAGCTGGTGGTGGTTTTTTCCCGAGTGCTTGTGGCGATGTACTGAGAAGCGTTTGACTATGAAGAAGATCAAGTCCAGAAATATTAATTGCTTTCTTCGGTTTTGTTTTCTTCACACCACGACCTCTTTGTCGTCCACCACGCGCTGGTTGTCGTGTTATTCCATTGCTCGCTTTACGATTTAATTTTCTACGCATTTTGTTTGGTTGACGACGTGTTTTCATTGTTGGCTCATCCATATCCGAATCGCTATTAGTGCCATGCTGTTCGGAATTATTGGGACTATCCAATTGCCTCGAGAGATCTCTCTTGGCACGTTCACCACGTTCATTTCTACTCGACATCCTATTACTATGGCTGGCAGTGTTACTTATCACAGAATCATTATTTTCAATGTCAGGCGCTCCCTGTTTATTCTTTAAACGATGAAAATAGCGCTCGAGTTTTGTTCGATCAATCACGTGTAGATAATAAGACACAGGTTTACCAGTCCAGGAAACTGATCCCTTTAATGGTGACATCTCAGAAACGTGCATTATCGTCCCAATGTCTGAAATAATTAAATTACACATGAGATTTGTTACATTAGAAAAAAGAAACTTGTATATTTTCTTTGAACGAAATTTACCGCTGAGATTTCTGTCGGTTATCCTAAAATTCAACGGACAGAAGGATTTCGAAGAAACAATTCGCGCACCATCACGCAAATCGGCGAATCTTTCTTTTAATTGATGATCAACATTTGGGCCGAATGCAAAATTATTTACAAATACGATTGTGGCTCCCGTAATACTCTCTCGATGCTCGTCAGCTAAAAAGTCACCTTTCACCAAACGATATTCTCCGCAGCGTTTGCCGTACCAATTGAGCCATTTTCGGAAATTCATTTCCATACTCTATAAAAGAAAGAAACAAGTTATTAATTGTAAAAAAAAAAATAATAATCACAGGGCTCGAACTAGTGAAAGTATTTAAAAATACAGACTTTACGGACCAAAAATATAAAATTACGGACAATTTAGGACCAAATAATGACAAAAATATAACCAGTCCGAGTCAAATAAGAGAAAATTTTATTTAAAACTCCAAATTTTTTTTATAACTATAAAACATGAAGAAATCGATAGCTCCGAGTCTTCGACTCGGAGTCATCGATTTCTTCACGTTTTATAATAATTAAAGATAACCGAATGATAAAATAATTATCCATTCAATTAATATTTTTAAGAATTTTTAACTAAAATTCTTCTTTAAATCGATTATTTTTAATAATTTTCGAAAAAGTTCTTTGACAATTTTCAAATCCACTTGTTTGCAATATTCAATTTTAAGAAATTTCAATTATTCGTAAATTCTTCAATTAAATAAATATTAGAAAATAAAAACTTAAAATAATATAAAAAAAAATTCAATTAAACTTTTTCAAAACAATTCATTTCAAAATTCAATTATTTCGAAAAATTCACGCTATATTGCTTTTAATATTCAATTTTTAACTAAAATTAATTTTTAGATCAATTTTTATTAGAAAAATCTATTAGAATTTAATTATTTAAATACAAATAAAATGCAAATAATTAATTTATTAAGTAATTGAGTGTTTCTTCAAATTGAATTCTCATAAAGAATTTTATTAACAAATTTTTAAATAATTGAATTCTTCCAAAGAATTTTAATAAAATTTTTAAGAATAATTACAATTTTCGAGAAATTTGTTTAAAATTGTATTAAAAATAATTAAAATTCTGCAATGAGTTTTATTATTTATGAAAATAATTGAATTTCTAAAAAGAATTTTATTATTTTTGAACAATATCAAATTTTTGCGAAGAATATTATTTACTACTCTTGAAAATAATTGAATTTCTATGATAATTTGTAACTTTTTCAAAATTAATTTTTTTTTTGTATTTTTAACTAAAATTCTTCTATAAATGCATTATTTTTAATAATTTTTGACAAAGTTCTCAAAGAATTTTCAAATTCATTTGTTTATAATTCAATTTGATAAAATTTCAATTATTCGTAGATTCTTCAATTAAATATATAATTAGAAAATAAAAACTTGTAATAATTTCAAAAAAAAATCCGCAATTAAACTTTCTCAAAAAAATTAATTTCACAGAATTGTTAAAAATATGAAAAATTCAGATTTTCAAAGATTTTAATATGAAACCTTTTCAAAATTTAATTATTTCTAAAAATTCACACTCTAATGCTTTTAATATTCAATTATTATCTAAAACTTTAACTGAAATTAATTTTTAAATAAATTTTTATTATAAAATTCTTTTACAATTCAATTATTTAAATAAAAAAGAACAATTTATTGAATAATTGCATTTTTCATAAAATTCAATTTTCATGAAGAATTTTATGAATAAATTTTTAAATAATTGAATTCCAGAAAAGAATTTTATTATTTATGAAAATAATTGAATTATTGCGAAGAAATTTACACAAAATTTGTGAATAATTTGTTTTTAATTAAATTTTACAAACTTTCGGTTATTCGGAAATTCTTCAATTTAATATAAACTAGAAAATAAAAACTTGAAATAATTTTGACAAATTTCGATTAAGCTTTTAAAAAATTTGTTCCATAGAATTTTTAATTAAAAAAATATGAAAAATTCAAATTTTCAAAGATTTTAAATTGAAACCTTTACCCAATTTAATTATTTCTAAAAATTGCAATTATCTATTAGTAACTTCTCCAAAATTCAATTATTATCTGAAACTTTAACTGAAATAAATTTTTAAATCAATTTTTATTAGAAAATTAATAAATTTTTAAATAATTAAATTCTTTTGACGAATTTTTAAAAAGTTTTTAAGAATAATTACATTTTTCGAGGAATTCGATTAAAATTGTATTAAGAATAATTGAAATTCTGCAATGAGTTTTATTAATTATGAAAATAATTGAATCTTTGTAAAAATTTTATTGTTTATGAAAATAATTGAATGATTGCGAAGAAATGTATAAAAGATTTGTAAATAATTGAATTCCTGTGAAATTTTTATTATTTTATGAAAATAATTAAAGGTTTGCGTAGAATTTTATTAAATTTTCTGTTAAATAATTGAATTCTTTTGGAAAATTTTATTGAAATAGATATTAAAAATCATTGAATTGAGGAAAATTTTTTGAAAATAATTGAAATTTTGACAAGAATTTTATTAGCATATTTGAAAATAATTGAATTTCGGAGAAGAATTTAATTATTTCTAAAGATAATTGAAATTTTGACGAGAAGTTTTTTTCAATTTTTGAACATAATTGAATTTTTGCGAAAAATTTCATTACTTTTGAAAGTAATTGAATTTCTGGAATCATTTGTAATTTTTCTGAAATTCCCCAAATTATATCGTACAATTTATGGACTTTACGGACCTTTTTCCCAAAAAAACTGATTTTTACGGACTTGTTACAAATTTACGGACCTTTGCTGAATTTACAGACCTAGTTCGAGCCCTGTAATGATCAAAAATAGTTTAATAAATTGAATTTTTCTTTATACCTGAGCGTATTTCGAAGGCACGTCTGCCCTCTCGACGCCGATGCAAATTTTACAGAAGGTAGCCGCAGCCATTTGAAGGACAACCTGCCCAACACCAGACCCAAGATCAACGAAAACATCATCTTCGGTGACGTCGATCTGATCAATCATTTGGCAAACGAGCTCATAACTTGTCTCTCCATAAACTTCGGGTGAAAATGGCTCGTAATTATTTAATTTGTCTGGTTCGACGACAGCTTGATTGTACGTTTGCTGAAGAATATGACGAAGAAGACTCCTACTGGGCCTCTTATTTAACCGCTGTGAAGGTAAACTCGTACCTTTTTCCTATTATCAGAAAAGAAAGAAAATTATTATTCAAATCTCTAAACAAAAATTTAAAAACAAATTTGTTAACAAAAACAATTCTTACCAATTGAACTAAACTGTCGATAGCTCTGTTAAATCTATCACACAAGCCTTTCATACTCTCAAAATCGCGAGTGTCATAGTTGCAAAGAATATTATTTTCTAACGGCAGTTTTAAGTCGGGTAAGTCTTCGCAGACCCATCGCATTGTCTCGACCACGTCCAAAGCACCATCGTGACGATCCTGATGGAAAAAAATACAAATTTACCATTAATTCTTCTTTTACAATTATTTTTATCCCTTGCAGAGTAATATAAATCCTTGAATTTGAATTATTCCATTTGAAAGTGTAAGAACGGCTTAACCTTGTTAGTCATGGAGCTGATTGAATTATTAGGCTTAGGAAGATATACGGGTCTTTCATTCACATTTTTTTTTGCCGGCTACTATTTATTTATTTTCTTTTTTTTCAAATGAACTTGAACCAAGTAGAAGAAAAAAAACATTGCTTTGAGTTAATTTCTAATGTTCAAAACAAAACATTTTCATTGTTTTCGATTTAAATTTCCCAGGATTCTCGTTTCATTATTATGTGTTTGGAATAACAAGTTTGTGAAACGAGAATATTGCCGACAATTAGTCAAGCTTTTAAAATACACTTTCTCTTTCTTCTCGAAGCCGAAAAGTCTATGGACACCCGGAAAAGGTTGTAAATTACGTGGATTGGGACTTTCTAAGAAAAGGAAATATTTTTCCTTCCCTAATTTGGGTCTACAAATCGAAAAAAACGTCAAGTCCATAAAATTTGTTTTGAAAAACATTTTTTTCTATTATTCACGAAAATTTTCGTATTTCCTTTCTATTGTTGAGTAAAACTGAAAAAAGAAGTAAAAAAATAAATAAACATTGCCAATGGAGCAAAAAATAAACAAATATTTTTAAGTAGGTCATCAATTATTTTCTATTTTTGTAATTTGCCAAAAATTTGCAAAATTCTAAATTTAGCAGCAGAAGAATTTAGAGATAAAAAGGAAAGAAAATTGATCAAAAGTGGAATGAACTCGAGTTTAAGAAACACGGCTCCTTCTCAAAACAAAAATTGAGATGTTTTTGTTGTTGATCTCAAGTTCTGCACTGATAAACATTAAATGGCGCGATTTCTAAAGGAATCAGCTGTGTATTGGTAAATGGCATGCGCAAGGGTTTCGTGTCATAGGTAACATGGCATTATTTTCTCATCTTCATCGTTATAAAATCAAAATCTTTCCCAGCGGAAAGAAAAATCTCCATTTTTTACGAAAACAATCAACTCCATTACCGCCAACTTTCACGTACAAATAAAATGAATAAAAATCCTTTGCCCTACAAATTTTCATTGCGCGTACATTTTGTATCAATTTATAGCCACACACTTGAAAAGAGAGAGGGAGAGAGAGAAAAGAGAGCAGCAAAATAAAAGAAAGAAGTCGCGAAAAAGAGAAAAAAAAATAATAAAATACTTACGGATCCTGAACCCGAGGTGAGGGGCCACTGATAAACGATAGGCTCCGCTCCGGCCGGGGAATGTAGTCGTAATTCCATGCTTTGACTCTTCCAGTGTTAAAATTTAAAAAATCAACTTAAAAGAAGCCTTGGCACGTGACGTAATCACCCAGAATCCCGTTGTTGGCGTTTGGTTGCACTAGGACACTATCACCACGTAGACGACGCTCGCGGAACCCCCCCCCGCTCTCTTAGCCCGAGCCACTTTCCCGCACATCCAAACGCTTGTGAATTGTCGTCCTTCACGGACGTTTTTAGGTAATAACCTCGGTGAAACACGATTAACACTTGTGCTTTTCGGGCTGGGGAGGGCTTGCCAAAAACCCACTACCCCGCAAGAAGAGAGAATCACGGGTGCACAACAGAAAACTGCGGAACAAGTTGAACACTTTTGGGGGGGGATGACGACATCAAAACATGGCGTCATTCCTCACTGTGCGCCTCTCCTGGTGTGCGACATCTGCGCAAGCGCTTCCATTGAACTTTAAGGCGAGAGAACACGTTCTCTTTGAAAAAAGAAGAAAAAAAAACAAACTACAAAAATAAACAAAAAAATTTGCTCATTTCTCACTAATTTTATGTCTAATTTCCACTAAATCAAAATTACCACCTTTGTTTCGTAGATATTTCCCCAATATTTCGAATTTTACAAGTAGAACAATTTCCTGAACTACACTTTTTAACCCCAGTAACTCGTGTACGTTCCTGAATGTTGACCTTCGATATTTGACCTCTTATGTTTGCACGTAGCACCTCATGGTTCCCAAAATAGAGTGACTCCCGCTCCTTGACAACTTATAAACAATGCTGAAACCATTCATAAAAGTCTAAAGAACGTCTTTTGTTTTTATCAAAAAAAAAAAAAAAAAAAAAACGAAATAAGACCTCTCTAGTACTAACACTTTATCACAATAATTTTTCTTCCTCCCCCGAAATACTTGAGAATTTAATCTTCTTTTCAATGAATATAATTTGACTGCCTATAAGTTATTAAATTCCGTTCGGATTTTTTTTTTACGAATCATTTAATAACGTGACACTTTTATAACGTCCGCAAAATGCGAAAATGGCAAAAGCACGGCAAAGTAATTCTGATTGTTGAAAAATAACGCCATTTTTAAATAATTTTTCCTAAACTGCGCACTGGGTTCTGCGCAGCTCAATGCAAAATTCCACTTTTTCGCGGTAGATTTAAACTCAGTAAATTCTAATTCGCAAAAGGAGACAGTTGATAAAAATTGTCAAAAATTTTATAAAAGAAGGATAGTAAATTAGAAAGAAAGAGAATTTCCCGAAAAGATTAGTTAAATAAAGATTTAATTAATTAAATTTTATTACCCTTTCGCTTGTATTTTAGCGATCCAACCCTGTACCCTGCTCGCAACTACCCAACCCTGTCAATCCCGCTAGAGCGCGCGCAAAATCAACAAACTGTTTCGCATCTCCACCACTAGATGTCAGAGATGTGTTCATGAAACAAAAATGGTCGACAAACGAAAATGTAGCGGTGCACGTCGAGTTTACATTAGATTTAAATCGCGTTTAGTGCGTGGTTTACAGGGCGGCCGGTTGCAAAAATGGTGAGATAGTGTTGTTCTTAACGAGAACGAGAGACGGGAGAATAATGGCGTCAACGCCCAAGTCCGAAAAATACCCAGGTGAGTAAAAAAACCAAATCTACATTTGCGAAGAGATTGCTATAGGTATATAATATCGGGACGAGATTCCCAGGAACATGAACACATATATATATATATTTGTGTATATATATGTGTGTGTGTGTGTTGTCAACTCAAAATTTATTGTTTCCTTATCTAAATTTATCAGAGATACGAGTATTTTTTACAATAGGGTTGAAAGACATGGTTTTTATCTCAATTGTCAATTACGTTCGACAATAATCAACACTATGTTTGTTCATTGTGACAAAATGTCAAAAGCTTATGTTGTATATGTATTAGTGTTTTCGGGCGGGAGCGAAATCTTTTCTCCTTTCTTTTCTTTGTAGATTCCTTCTTTGCTTTTTCCCCCCATTTAAATGTATTTTTTTTACATATTACAAGATCTGTTTTTTTACCTTTCGGGAGTTTTTTTGTTCATTATTAAAGGATTGTTTTTCTTCTGTTTTCTTAAAATTTCTACTTTGCAATCGATAATCTAGAAGTCACGGTAAGTTTTGTTAAGAAAAGGGTTGTGGCAAAAATTTTAAAGTGACAAATAAATAACAAATTACCCATATATTAAATTTAATATAAGTAAGGTAAATATTTCGATTTAATATATAATTTTGCACTTTTTGTTTGTCATGACTTTTCAAAACACTTAATATTAGATTTGAAATTCTATTTTTTTTCTAAATAAGGAATTAAATTCGAGTAAATATGCGAGGAAAATTAATTCATTAGATAATTAAAAGATTGCGAGGGGAAATTTGGGGTCAGATAAATCGCCCTTTGAGGGACGTACTCGTATTATTTCTGCACCAAAATCGTTCTTGTTTTCTCGCTTTCTAATTAGTTCGTTTCCTTTTCCTAGCCACTTTGTCTGTTTGAATTCATAAAGGCTTTAATATTCCATTTTGATGAAAGAGGAAATTATTCACCTGCAGTAAATCTCTCTGGTTTGTTATTATAAAAAATGCTTTCATCAAGTGAATGTGACAGTTTTAGAATATTGACTTTTTAAATGCAATAATTGATCCAATAATATAATTTTTTTGAGAGGATGTGAAATGCTTTCTTTATACTTAATAATAATATTTAATTTTGACATTTTTTTCCTTTGAGAATGGAAACTTTATTCGAAATGAAAATTAAACAATATTTCTTTCGATAACTTTTTGTTTTGCGATCTGAGGGGGAAAATAAGAAGAAAAGAAATCATGTCGCGTTGAAATTGGGACTTGGTCCAGAGTTTGGTCCTTTTTTGGTCAGAACATATAAAGAGACAAGGACAGATAATGCATCTTGAGCAATATTCTTAACTCGAATATTGTTTTTATTTATTCAATTCAAGGAGTTTGGTGTTTTTTTGTTTCTTTCTGAAATTTTTCTTTTAAACTGTCATCAATAAATTATTATAATTATCAACGTGAAACAATTTGTTTTTCAATTTTTCTTACTTTTAATTTATTAATAATTACAAAATAAAAAATAATTAAATAAATAAATTTAAATATAATAAAAAGATAATAAAAATAATAAATAAACGAATAATTTAAAAAATTGTTTACAATTAAAATAAAAAAAATAACTGCTTTATATTTGGAATATAAATAAAATTCCATTTTCTTTTTTTGAGGAACAAAATATAAATTTAATGGGGAAAAAGAGAAGCATCCCTCCCGACAAAATCGTGATTCTGCACATACTTGTAATTTTTCATTCTGAATGAAAAATTTACATAACATTCGTGACATATTTGACTATAGGGATTATTCCTTAAGGCCGAGGGAGAGAGAGAGAGGACCCCCCTTACTGTATATAGCGGTTTATACCGTCGCATAGAAATTATTTCAATGAACTACTAGTTGGGAATTTAATGAGTTTGCTTTTGAGAGGTCTCTTGACAGTTCTAAGAGGTCGTGCTTTGCTTCGATATCGCGAAACTATTGACCCCATTTAAACAGCCGTCTTCTGTCACGTTGACATCAGTTTTCCAGCTAATTCCTCTATATATTTTCTTCTTTCTCTCTCTTTTTTTCTATTTTTCTTGTTCTCTCAAAAACTCACCGAGCGAACGTTTCTTCGCATAACCCAAAGGCAATATTCGTCTGAGAATTTGGACGATTTTTCATCGTTTCTTTTAATATACATGTATATGTATATAACACTCATGGCTAACGAGAAATTTTTCCCATGACTTATAAGAACCAGACCTCGAAGTACTTTTCCCAAAGACACTTTTAATTTACATAGTTTAAATATATATCCTTTTAGTTTGGGGGGGAATTTTGTATTACTTTTTTTATTTTTATTAGCTTTTTTTTAGCTTTATTTTTATTAGCTAGTATTTTTTATTAGATAATTTAAAAAAGTTTAAAACGAAAATTTAATTTAATTGTTAATTGATAAATAAATGAATTAATAATAATATATAATTAATATTGTAATTTATAAATAAATTAATGACTAATAATAATATAATTAATATAGAAAATTGTTAATTAATTACCTAATTAAAATAATTGTTTACTTTTTGAAAAATTATTTTCTTTCTTTATTTTATATTCGTTTGTATAAAGGATGAAAAAAATATAAAGAGTAAATATGTTTTTTTCGTTATATAAATAATAAATCTGAGATGATACGGTAGTCTTTCTTTTTTCTTTTTCTCTCTCTAAAGCATATAATAAAGTATACATCCTGCGGGTAAAAATCACGTCATAATTAAACGAGCCCGACTCACATAGTTTGTCAACAAAAATATGGAAAGTGCAGAGTGTTTGCTTTTAAAAAAACCCGTGCAGAAATCGCCACTTTTGTTCCCGATTACCGCCCTGGCCCCGGTCGGGTTTTCATGATCTGGCCCCGACTTCGTGGCCCCGACCAGGACCAGGCCGGGTTTGCCCAAGGATCTACAAACAGCGCACAATGGGATTTTTTTTACAATTTACTGTTCAAAACTGTCTACAGCCTACAATTCTTAACCGGTTTCAGTATTCTTTATTTTAAATTAAAGGCAAATAAATTCTTAAGACATCCCTTAAGGTCAATTTTTTAGTTCTTAATTGTTTATAATTTTTATTTTCAATCAAAGTTAACAAATTAATACAATTTTTCAAAAAAGGAGGCTTATTTTCTTATTCCGTTGCTGCATATGATCTGAATCAGTTCAAATTAATACAATATGACCACCACACAATTAATAAAACAGAAAGTAATTTATATCAATTGTTATAAACAGTATTAATTAACAAATAGTTAACTTTGATTTCTTTCCACTAAAAAATGTTTTTTTCACCTTTTCTTTTTAATTTAAGTTCATTTAAAGAATATTTGTCCTTTTTGATTATAAAATAACTTATTTAAATTGTTATAAACAATATTAATTAACAAATAGTTAACATTGATTCCTATTCCACTAAAAATTTTTTTTCACATTTTCTTTTTAATTTAAGTCTATTTAAAGAATATTTGTCCTTTTTGATTAAAAAATAACTTATTTAAATTGTTATAAACAATATATTAAATAATAAATAGTTATGTAACTTACGTTCCTGTCCACCAAAAAAATTTTTTTCACATCTACTTTTTAATTTAAGTTCATTTTAAAAATATGTGTCCTTTTTGTTTAAAAAATAACTTATTTAAATGGTTACAAATAATATTAATTAACAAATAGTTAATTTTTGTTCCTTTCCACCAAAAATTTTTTTTTCACGTTTACTTTTTTATTTGGATAATGTTAAAAGACCACGGATATATAATATTAAATATTTAAATAAGTTATATTATAAGAAAAAAGACATATTAATATTTTTTATTGGAGAGGAATCAAAGTTAACTATTTGTTAATTAATGTTGTTTATGACAATTGAAATATATTACTTTATAGGTTTTTAATTGTCTGCTGGTAATATTGGATTAATTTGAACTGATTTAGAGCATGTGCAGTAACGGAATAAGAAAATAAACGTCCGTTTTTAAAAAATTGTGTTAATTTGTTAACTTTGATTGAAATTTGAAAATAAAAATTATAAACAATTAAAAACTCAAAAATTGGCCTCGAGGGATGTCTTAGGAATTTATTCTCCTTTAATTTAAAACAATAGGACAAACGCACCAATTATTTTTCACACTTAAATTGAAATTCCATGTTTAAGGCAAAAAAATAAATTATTATTAATTAATAATTTTTAGTATTATTGTGAATTATTAATAATAAAAATTTTTTTATTATTTTAAAAAATAGTTAAATTATAAATAATAGAGAATAAATAATTAAATTAATAATTTTTACCATATTATTATGATAAACATATTAATTTATATATATATATATAACATACATTTTTAATAATTTTTCTATAAATAAATATGATACAGTCAATTTATTATGATAATACTGTATATAACGGTCCCATGATTCAAAAGGAAGTTTAAGCGAGGTCGCTTCCAAGCTT